CTGATATGAAAAAAAAACAAGTGCTTTCCAATATTATCCTCAATATTGAATGAAATAAAAAACTCGAAATGTTCTGTCATTAGCAGTTTTCCAGTTTATCTAGAAAACGATTTATTATATCCTCATTTTACTTGCCAACTTAATAAATAATATATTTTTCATTAAAACAAAAAGTTGATTATATTTTCCTGTCAATATCTAAATTGTTAAAATAATATTTTAACTATAAATAATTTTGTATATAAAACATAAATATTTGTGTATCATTGAATGATAAATTATTTATTATTTATTCAAAAAATGTTAAATTATTAAATATTAACTTTATTAAAACATTAAATTTCAATCAATATTAAATGAGAGTGGAGGTAATTTGTTTATTTTGAGTCCAAACAAGTATAAAAAAAATACTCATTGAAATTAATACTATCGATAATCACAGCTGAAGAATATTACAAAAACGGCGTTTAACATATTTTCCAATCCACTTGTGTTTCAATGGATTTAAAGAAATAGTAAGTCTTCTTTTTCTATCTCTAAACGAGTATATTTCTTTTTAAAGTTACTAACTTTATATGTTATTTTATTTCCACATGCACATAAACACAAATAAAAATATTCACCATGACCAAATTTAATGTAACATTAATTTTCGGTATTAAATCGATGGACGCTGGGGGTCAATTTGGAGATATAGTAATTAAACAGTTAAACAAATTGGCAAATAAATGAAACACGCATCTATTTGGTAAATAATTATTATTCCAATACATAAATAATTCTGTTTACCATTTGCCTCTAACATACAAATTGTTTATTAACGCAGGAAATCGATAAAAAAAAGTAGAAACAACTTGTGGGTCAAATCATTTAGTTAATTAAATTTCATTCCCGAAATGGACTCGATCAATAAAACTAAGACATTTTTTCCTGATTTAATGTAGCTGTTGTTAATGAAATGAACTTGTAAAAATAAAATGATAATCTTTCAACTTTTTTTTTCTTATTTTCAAAAAATGCGTGCTCTTTAATTAAATTTAACTTTCCAATTTTTTTGCTTCTGCTAATTAACAAGTTTCTCTAACTTGAAGTAGAAAAAAGTGGCTACGAAAAATATTTATTTTTCATGAACGTTGAATTATCATGCTTCTGTTGGCTGAGTGTATTTATATCCACCACAGGGAAATAGATGGAGTTGAAACAAATGAAGAAATGAAAATTGATGACCTCAAAAATTATTCATCATTTATTGTTCATTACTTTATTTATGTTGGTATTGAAGCGAACTGTGGCTTCTACAATTAGTAGCGTAATTAAATATAACGATGTTTATTATAACCACAATGGAGCCCAGGGTTCCAGGTATAAATAAACTAAATAGGATACTCACATTAATTCATAAAAATGGACCAAATACAACAATGGAATAAATAAATTTCAATCATTGTATTTTATTTAACAAGAAATATAAAATTATTAACACATATTGGTAGAATATTTGAATATTTAAATTCAATTTTTCTTGCTGTTTTTTATTTTTTTATGAACACACCAGTGCTGTAAATTTTTATCAACATGATACAGCCATTTTTAGTAAATTCTAAAGTAGGTTAAAGTTTTCAGTTAGATGGTGACTGTAATTATTTTTTTTTTGTTAATAACGTCAAAAAAGCTTGACAACTATGTTGCGTACTCAACTTTAATGATCTCCGGTGCTATAAACATTATATGAGGGTTCATATGAGATACATGGCCTCTAGCAGATGAATTCCTTGATTTAAGAGAGGAATATGTTTTTTAGGAGATGGACATTATGTTAAGTTTGGTTTAAATAACTTGTAATAATTCATTTCTCAAGTAGAACCACATCTACCACAATCAACAGTGCTCCAGTGATTTAAACAGATGGTTCAGTCAGCCACATATGGAGCTGGAGATGTGGGGGATCCTGGGGTCAGTGATGGTTGACTTGTTCTGGTAATTTTATGGTCCGAATATGGTCTAATTTAATTCACCATTTATTCTTTTCAAATTAGTCTATGATTTATCATAAATCAACTCATTCATGAAATTCAAAATTGGAGATCACTGACATGGAATATCAGATCCAGTTATACCGAAAGTTGTCTATTAAATTTTGAACATGATATCAGCAATTGAGTATGCTGCAGGTGATAATGATATTACTATTAGTAATGTTCTTTGGCAACTTAGCCTAGAGGCTAATGATGTAAGCTTCATTTGCGGTGACAGTATCATTCCCAGAGATTGGGTCATTACGGCTGCTCATTGCGTTCCAATTCGTAACGTCCGAGCCGGAAGTACTTTCCACAATTTAGGGGACACTGTTCATCAAGTTGATAAGATTATCAGACATAATAGCTTTTTCAGTGACAATAATACATTTTACTAAAAAATAGTTTGTTTTACGATGTAGAACTATTTCCTACTTTCATTTAAAGCATTACTTTAGAATTATTTTCTTTAATCTTCATCCACTGTTACTGGGAATTGCTTTAACGTTAAATTTAAATACCTCAGATTTTTGTTTCAAGTGTTTTCTTCATTAATTTGTTTGTTTTTATAATTAGACAAAATAAATCAAGTTAAAATACACTTCGTGTAATCTAAAGCTGTGAGTTGATTGTACTCTTATTTTGAAGCTCAAGTAACCGAATCAGAAATACTTCAGTGAAGACTTGAAGTCATTGGGAAGATGAATATTCAAGATTCTTGAGAGTCTTCATCCCATTAATCTTATCAGAGCCAATTTGTTGATACCAATTTTCAATTTAAACTAACATGAGCGATAATGAAGAATTTTTCAATGGTTCAAATGGGAACACAGCAGTACCACTTGTAGGGCTGATGCTGGTGATCTTGTAACAATCAATAGATGTCTGGCAAGAGTAATTTTGTGGGTTCAAGAATGTGATCATTCTTGTGATTGGATTATTTTTAAAGAGATCAGATTCGTTGAGATTAGCTTGAGGATTCAAGGATAAGATTCAAGATAAAAGTTTGGTTAGAGTAAAGAGATTAATAAATGGACGGTATGAAGCAATAGTTTTAATTTGCTATTATTAGTTTAGCTTCTTTAGACATAATTTAAATTAAAAGGTTCCATTTATTTATTTTTTTAAACTCTTTATCCAAAATTATTATTCAAAGTATTTATTTATCTTCAATTCAGTTGACTATTTTTAGTTCATCTTGAAAGAAAAAACTCCAGCTTCAATTGGTATTAAAAATAGTATTCAATATCAGCCAATCTACAGCATTATTTCCTTTATTGACATCGCTTTTATTGTTGAATTGAAGTCGAGGAAAATACAACGATTGGGAAATTTCCTTATCGAATCGCTATTCAACGAGATGAAAAGCACCTTTAAGATGGAAGTGGTATTAATTCTAGTCAACAAATAATTACAGCTGGTCACTGCGTTCATTGAGATTTTCCAATCTGATTAGTTCATGTACCATTATTGTCCTTTGCTTGTAACTATTATTGTCTCACAAAAGGGATCCTATTTATTCAATATTTTATAGTAATTAAATTATTACGACTCTCGCAACAATACTAGACACTTTAAACTTTAGTGTCGAGATTGAATTACTCTCAATCAAAATCATCTCCAAGCTGTTGAAGCATCAATGTCATCAAACTTCAATTGTCATAAAGTTTTCATTTCCTCCGGTGGCTATTCGTCAGGTTAAATTTACGCGGGGACTTGAAAGCTGATTTCAACATGAATTTCAGCATTATTCTATAGTTATCATTGGTTGTCCAGTTGGTATTACATCGGGGTCAACTGGATGCGCACGCTCTACATATCCTGGAATTTACACTGACGTTGCTGCATATCGATCGTAGATTAGTGACGAGACAAGAATTTATAAAACGTGGTTTTATGTTAGGTTTCTATGATAAATTTATATTTTATACGTAGCATTGCAGAAACGACTTATTCATATAATTGTGGGAATAATTCAAAACATGGAAGAATGAAACTTGTTATTGGAATACAGTTTTATTCAAGTTTCATTTAAGTGTAAATGTTATTCTAGGTCTATTTAAATTGTAAATAAATATTCTTGATTATTATTAATTATAACTGAGTCGAAGAAAATGTTTTTTAAAAAAACTTTAAGCTTGAAATTGAAAAAAAATGTGAATTAATTTTCACAAGTGTAATGTTCATTTCTTTGTTTGCTGATGATGTGGGAAAATCTAAAATATAGTAATTGCACGAAATTTAAGTTTAAATGAGCTTTTATAATTTCTTGGTTTAAAAGTATCATAAAAAAAAATTTTTTCAACAATAAAATCTCACTTAAATGAGAGAAGCTTTATTACTTTTAATAAAGTACAGATTTTACCTTCACCACTTAGCATATCCACACCCTTATTTAGTGTAGAAGAGAGATTTTCAGCAATCACTAAATTACAGAAAAAGTGGATCCTACTAAGCTAACAAAAATAGCTGGTAAAAGAGGAAAAAAAAATAAGAAATATTCTCTGGTTTAAAAACCTTCAAATAATTGATGACACTGTAAAAAGCTATGTTTAAAATGATAACACAAATTTTAGCTGAAACAAAATCTCTATTTCAGCACAAATCTTTTAATTAGGTATTTTCACCGTTATTACAAGCTTTGCATAATTCAACATGATCCTAGTAACACACCTCTATAACATCAAACTAGAATTGTTGGCCCTTTTGTCTTGTTATGATCAGTATGCAAATTCCTTTGAACTCTATTACCTGGATACACAAAATAAAATTTCTACACAATTTAACTCAGGCACAAAAATGAGCAACAAGGGAAAACATTATCCTATCAAACTTTACAAACATTATCAAACATAGTATGAAGATAACTTTGTAGCAAATAAGTAATAATAAAAAATGAGATAACTGGAAGATTATTTTCCCAGTTTATCTTATTATCAACGATAACTAATATAAAAATTGGTCCAGTGATATAAAAGGCAAAAAGAAATAATGTTCTTCGATGATTACGTTGAAAATAGTGTGTCGTAATGAAACTGTTAGTTCTACTCGCAGCTTGTGCTTTCATAGAAGGTAAAACTTTAAATTAAATTTAAGAAGAACAAGCTCAACTAGTTCTATATTAACTTGGTTAAATATATCTAAAAGTCAAACTGTATCTAACTTTCCAGCTAATTATATAGAACATCATTTTGACAACTCAACTTCAAATGATCGCATAGTAGGAGCTGGTGATATTGATATCAGTAACACACCATGGCAAGTTAGCATTCACAATGCTTCCAAGTACCATTGTGGTGGTGCTATTATTTCAAAAGACTGGATCATCACCTCTGCTAAATGTATGAGTCAACCAAAGAATCTATACACAGTTCGAGTTGGAAGCACTTACTACAACAGTGGAGGAGCCATTTATAATGTAGCTGACATTATCAAGCATGAAAACTTCAAAACAAATGCTAAAGGACTTTCTTCTGATGATATTGCTTTAGTTCGTCTCAATACATCAATAATATTCACTGCATCTCAGAAAATAATTCCACTATGTAACATTGATGAAGTGGTGCCCATGGGCAAGCCAGTTCAAGTTTCTGGTTGGGGTGGTACTGTTCCCTCAAATTTGAGAATCCTTCAATCATATCTAGCAAATGTTTTGAGAAAAATAAATTGTAATAGCACGCATTCTACTCGTGGAGGACTTTACGATCATCAAAGTTGTATTGGTCCTGAAAATGGACAGAGTGGTGCATGTCCTAAAGATGCTGGTGGTCCAGTTGTTTATGGCTCATCGATATTTAATAAATATCTTGTTGGAGTAATTTCGTGGTCAGAAGGATGTGGTAAACCGAATCTTCCAGCAATATTTACAGATGTTGGGGCATATCGATTTTGGATCAAACGTCACACTGGAGTATAAAATAGATATATTTTTTATAATTAAATTAAATAAATATATTTTTAAATTAAAAAAAAAATACTTTTCCATTTCATTTATTGTTGAATATTATTTACTTTTCTTTCTGTAGCTTCAAACAAAATTTTTGCTTCAATTGATTAATCGCCTACTGTTTTTTGATTGGTATTATCATTTGTGCATTGTAGCTGACAATATTGTTTACTGGTATTGAAATACATGATATTTTATCGGAGTATGGGTTGGTTAAAAAATTCATTCAAGCTAATACCATTTATTCAGTTGGTAACTTATTTCTTGACTGACAACAAAACTTCTGATTAAATCTGAGAAGAAGAACGAATTCAACTAGTTATTCATTCTAACAAGATTGAATTAATGAAGAAGTAGAATTGTTTTTAACTTTAGAATTAATTGCATCAGAAAATGTTGTACAAGTTCAACTTCAAATAGCCACATCAGATTTTTGTTAAATACAGTTTAAAACATTGTTCCACTGCTTCAATGTTGATAGAAAATGTTAGAAAAGACTTGGTAGTTGCGTATTGGTAAATTTCCGGTCGAGAAAGCATCCAATATGATCAAAAGATTCTACAAGCGTACAGAAGAGTAATACTTGACCAGTCTGAATGTGATCATACTTATTCAAAATATGGACAATTTACAGGAGTAAAAGATACATTCAGATTGAACATGAAGCTGCTTCTGAATAGAAAGAAATTTTGGAAGAGATGTTGAAGTTTTATTATAAGATGGAGATTAAAGTTTTCTGATGAAGTAAACATTTTTCGCAATTCTTGAGATTTTATTTTTGATATAAAGAAATTCAATTTCCAAGGATGAAACTACTATTGATTTTTAAAAATCAATGGAAACAGAAATAGTAAAAATGAGTTATTATCCAGAATAATTGAATGGATTAAAATTTGTCAACTTTAGACAGCTTATTGATAAACATCATAAATATATTGATAAGTAAAACTGTGATAATCAGATAAATATAATAGGTCGATGATTATCATGTCTGATTGAGATATATATAAGGTAATTTAGATAGAAATTTGTATGTAAAAAATTTTATCAAAGTACACGAAGATGATTAAACTTATAATTTTATTAGTTCCTATCACGGTAGCGACTGGTAAGTTACTTTAAATTACATACAACACATTCATGACTAATACACAATATTATTGATCAAAAAAAAAACTCTTATCAACAAGCAAAAAAAAAATTGGAGCTGAGATAAATATTCATACGCAGTTTACAGAAACATTTCAATATTTTGAATAAAATTTTTGATTTCAAGCATCTTGAATATTTATTGATAATACAATCTAAATATTTGTTAGTAAATCAGTGATAAGAGAGATATTTGTTTTCAGAGACAATCGATTTCTCATCAAGATCATTTCCACCTAGCATATTTTACCGTATTATTGGGGGTAAAAACACGACGATTGAAAGAGTCCCATATCAGATAAGTCTCCAACAATATGGTAATAATAATTGTGGTGGCAGCATAATTTCTTTAGAATGGGTAATCACAAGTGGCCATTGTGTTGGTCGAAAACCCGAAGTGCTTACGATTCGTGCTGGTAGCACGTTTCATGATCGAGGAGGGTCTATTCATACAGTTAGAGAAATAGTACGTCATAAGAATTATGATATCAATGAGCACAATCGAGCTGTGAATGATATAGCTTTGATTCGAGTGAATGAAGTTTTTCAATTTGATAAAACTCGTCAACCAATTTCGCTTTTCGATAATAGAGAAAATGTTATCACTGGAACAATGTCCAATATCACTGGCTGGGGCTCTTTATGGGAGTTCGGACCCGAGGCAGAAATATTACAAATTGCTAGAGTACCGATAGTAGCAAAAGATGTTTGTCATAAAGCATATATTTCTGTTGGTGGGCTTTTACCAGGTCAAATTTGTGCTGGGTACCCAGAGGGGGGTATAAATGCTTGTATCGGTGATTCTGGTGGCCCTCTTGTTATCAATGGTCGACTCGCTGGTGTTATATCAGGATCAATTGGATGCGCAAGACCTGGATATCCAGAAATTTATACCGAAGTTGCTGAATATCGATTATGGATTAAAGAAATTGCAGGAATTTAATTATTATACTGATTGAGAAAATAATTTTTAATTAATTATACTCGTCAATATTCAATTATGATAATTACAATTTAATAAAGATTATATTCATTAATAATTTGATGACTATTTTTTTCCCAATCTCTCCTTTCATCCATAACAAAAAATGTAGTCAAAATTTAATCAGTAATTGAGTTTAAAAAAAAAACTGATGTATTTTAAAAAAAAATTGATGTCATCATCGATATCAAGTTTAGCAGTGTTGATAGGTTGTTATATTTTTAGGTATTTATTAGCTATCATCAAATATTTATTTGTTGTCATAAACAATTATTACACATCAGATCAATACATTTATTTACAGTCAATAAGCTACATCTATATGTTTGTATGTAAAGGGATTTTTGTCTAAAGAATTTGTGTTGCAACTAAATATTTTCTCTTCAGCGTGAAACATTAATTTTCACTCCTGGTACAATAAAAGAAGCCATTGTTAAATCTTTCGCTTTTGTAGTTTGAATTTTGCAGTAGAAGATTGTACCGATTCAGAAGTGTTGCGAATTGTTCGAATAACTATTAGTTGGTGAAAAAGGACTAAGGCGATGTATATATATATATATAGATGTATGCATTCACTATGACTCGACTTTAACATAATGAAACACAGGGGTTCTATGGAAGCCGGATAAAATGCTTGTCACGGTGGCTCTAAAGTATCTCGACTATTGATAGACATTTTGCGAGACTTGCAAGTTGGAACAATAGATGGGGATTATCTAAATGTCCTGAAGTTTGTGCAAAATTCTGCCATCACGTCTTAGATACAAAAAGAGGCGAGACTTTTATGATGTTGCTGTTAATTAAATTTCATTTGAAAAATGTTAAATAATAGAAATAAAATTAAAGTTCATCAATTAAATTTAGACATGAAGAGTTGATAAGATTGATACTTAATGAGCAATTGTCTGGCCTAGATTTTAAATTTGTAAACAAAGAGAAATAAATATTTATTTATAAACATATTCTTTTATTAAATGATTTGAAATAAACTGAAGAGTAATAAAATCATATCTATCAAAAGATTTTCAACTGCGTTTCTTAAGATAAGAGCAATGATCAGACTGATTTTTGTGAAGAGCGGGAAATTCCAGATACCAAACAAAAATTTCGAGGAAATAGTACATTCTAAGAGGTAGTTTGAAGAAGCACATGCGATAATAAAAAGATTATTAATCTCTCTTGATTTTATATAATAGATTGGTAATTATCTCGATCAGCAGCTAGATATATAAATGATGATTTTGTGAGCTCGAACAGTAGTCATTGTAGTAGAAGATCAAAATGTTGAGTCTATTGACTGTAGTTTTTGTTTTCTCAGTGGCTACTGGTGAGTTTTTTCTTTCTTTTTTTATATAATTTAATTTTAAATCCAATTTACAAATCCGTTCTTTCAAATTAAAATTCAATTGAACCAATTATTTTCAAAACTGAAAAATGAATTTTCAATGTTCTATCTATCTTTACTTTCAAAAGTATTGGTTGAAATTGAACTAATCTTGCTAATTGCATTGTATAGCGTCTTTTAACGACGTAGTGATCATTGACCCTGATAAAAATTTTGTACGGAAATTAGTGTAAGGTTAAACGCCTTTATACTCGTCTAACATCATTGTTGATGTTGGTGATAAGCATTAGATAAGCTAAAAAATGTCATTCGTTTCAAGTATAGGATTAAATGGCAAATTGTAGTAGTGCGAATTCAACTTATCAGTTTTCATGCTTCTTTTTTATTACTACAGCACTTAAGTCAACTATCAACAATTATCATCTAGACTTCATTCATCATGCTAATTCATGTTTCATTTTAATTGCAGCTGACCCATTGAGGTACTTCCCCGCCTGGAGAAATGGTCGCATTGTTGGTGGAGAAGATGCAAGCATCGAAGAATATCCATACCAAATAAGTCTTCAGCTATATAAGAGTCACAATTGTGGTGGAAGTATCATTTCCAAAGAATGGATAGTAACAGCTGGACACTGCGTAGGTGGAGCTACGTCTAGACTTACAATTCGTGCTGGTAGCACACTTCATAACAAAAATGGCAGTTATCATAACGTTGCTCAAGTAATCAGGCATGAAAAATATGGTTCCAATTCACGTGGTCTTCCAGAAAATGATATAGCTGTTATTCGAGTGGAAGAACCTTTCCAATTTGATGAAACTCGTCAACCTATTCCTCTCTTTAACGACCTAGAAGAAGCTACTCCTGGTGCAATATCTGTCATCACCGGCTGGGGAAATACGTTCAATGGATTCCCGGATAATTTACAAACTGTCAACGTTCCTATAGTCTCCAAGGCTCAATGTAATGAGAGTTATAAGACAGTGGGTGGAATTCCTGAGAATCAGATTTGCGCTGCTCTCCCTCAGGGGGGTAAAGATGCTTGTCAAGGAGACTCGGGTGGACCTCTAGCTATTGATGGAAGACTCGCGGGGATCACGTCTTGGGGTATTGGATGTGCAAGGCCAGGTTATCCAGGTGTTTATACAGAAGTTTCACGGTACAGGTCTTGGATTAAGCAACAAACTGGAATTTAAATCTTGATGTAAACTCTTAATAAAAAAATTAAAAAAAAAGCTAACTCCTAAGATGTATAAAGTTGTATTAAAGTATTTTCTGATAATTATCAGTGTATTTTAGTTATTGGAAAGAAATGTCATGAACTAATTAGTTTCTTGTACATAGTAAAATAAAATACCTCAATTAATAGCAATACTGATACTAATTGTCATTAAATAACTACTCATTTGGATCAAAAATTCGTTATTATCATTATTCAGTTAGACCACACGTGTTGCGATTTCACTTTCGGACATTGAACTCAGATGTATTAACAGCATGACCGGATTTCTAAACTTTGTTGTCATTTTGGAATTTAGATCATTATCAAAGAAGAAAGTTCAATCCAATCTTAGATCAATAATCCGCAGCTCTCATTTTGTTTTGATGATAAGAACACTGGTTATTCCATTGTCTAAAAAACAACACCATTAAGTAAAACTTTTGGATATTTTGAATAAATCAATTATAACGATTTTAATAACTTGATAGAAGTACTTATTAATATGTATGTGTCACATTCTATTATATTTTAAATTTTTATTGCAGCTAAATAATTCTTTTATTTTTCTTATTATCATTGTTGTTAGCATTATTTTTATTGCTACTTAATAAACTTATAAATATCCAATTTCAACAATGTTAACTATATAATTTAGCGTTTCTACAATCAGTTTTCATCATGCATGAAACTTTACAATCACTCGTGTTTTACTTGTCATTGTTTGAATAAAACTCAACTTTATTTATGAGGACATACATCTTGGTTGTTTATACACCAAGGAAAGTTATTTAAACAAACAATTAAGTCAATTTAAATAACCGATAAAAACAATTTTTCTGATAATTTTGGATGAAAAGAATTTGCTATTATCAAACAAAATTTTTTTTTGATAACAATTTAAAGTAAAACTGCTACATTATCTGATTGATTAATTGAATTTATTGTATCAATTGATACTTGACTATTTAGGTAAATCTTGATGACGTTATATTGTAATATAAAATATATTTTATCATCAATGTAAAACGGAAGACACGAAATGGTGACTTCTATCTTTTTATCCAGATATTTTAATAGCTAGTGCACGATAATGAGGCACGAACTCGTATTTACCATCCAATTGATAACTACACATGCTATTAATTGACATTGCAATGATAATTGCATTTATTCATATACTGGAGAATGATGAGTACAAGTTTTATTGAAGTAGATATTTTAAATTATGTCAAGTACATGACAAAAATGATTCTCCATCAATATTCATTTTGTTTCTATTCGTCAATTTATTTTAATAGACGATGAGAAAAACTGGATTATTTCAGAATAGTAAAAATTTATTGGATTTAATGAGTCCTCTAGAATTTTTATTGACAAAGTTTCAAGATAGTTATTCTTAGAATTAAAATATGGTAAATATTCCCTAGGTGTCAATTTAATGGATTGATAGCTTTCAACTATTGATGTATATTAAAAATAAAAAATCATTTAATTGATGATAATAAGGAAAATACTTGATGAAAGTTCATTAAAAGTTGATAAGATAGAAATGTTCAAGTTTCAAGATGATTATCAAGTATTTAGCTCTATATGCAGTTTTAGAATAATTAGTATTCATTTCAAAACTTACAAAATATATGATAATTAGAACATGGAAATCAAAAGTAAGTATATAAGTGAACAAATTTTTGAAATGTAGATTAGTCGAGTTTTCTTTTCAAGTATGTTCAGACTTGGAACAGCCAGTCTTCTGGTGATCCTACTGGGTAAGTCAAATAATTTAGTGCAATTGAGATTGCTATAAATGTGAGATAAAGTTGGGCAGATAAAATAATTTATAATTTATAGTGTTTAATACAAATAAGAATTTTCCATGGTTTATATATTTTGTGAATTAATCGATTGTCATAAATTGAAGTTAATGGATTAAGTAAAATAATAAATATGGAAGAGAGCTGTAACAATTTCTGTTAGATCACGTACATTGATGATATATTTTTGATATAAATATGTCGAATTTTTTTGTTGCTGTTATAAATGATCATTATCTTCTAAGGTTTATATATCCGTTTTATTTTGATTTATTTGTCTGGATAAACTCTATTGACTTATTATTTTTTCAAAGCTTCAATAACATTTTTATTCCTCTAGCCATTTTTAAGATATAAATAGTGTATAATAATGATAAAAAATGAGGAAGAAGTTTTAGTTAATTAATTTATGCTAATTTAGTCAACATTACAATTATATTCAGAGAGGGAAATTTTGGATTTACGTACAGAATAATGCATGTTAAAAGCTTTTATTTCAAGTGTTTCATAAGTTTCAAACATTTATCAAAATATGTGGTGGGAAGGATATGTATTCCTGCATATTTTAGGATGTAATGCATTTGCTCTTGACAGATTATACCGAGTTTCTAACGATAAATGTATTGTAAAAAAAAACATTTTCATTCATTCATTTTTCTTTCTTTGAATTAGTAGCTTCAACAAAAATTTTCTTCCAATGAGACTTAAAAAGAAATTAATTTTATCATAAAAATGTTGCATCCATATTTTTAATATGAACTGAGAAAAAACATTGAATTACAACTTCACCTTTTATTTAAAATGCTTGAAATTGCAACAAATTGCCAAGGGGAAACACGTCACAACTCCAAATGTGCGGAAGTGTACATTCGTCCAAACGCATATTTTCATCAATTTTTTACACTCACAGAATACGAATGGACCTAGAAAAAAAATCTCCCTAACGAGAACATGTTACACGTAGTTTTTAAAAACTTTACTAAATGATGATTCATTTCATTCTCTTCATATTCATTCCACATAAAAAAAAATCTAACAATTGCATAATATGCAACACTTCAGTTTCAGTGGAATCTCAAGCTTTTCAAGAGCTAAAACGCGTTCGACGAGTGATTGGTGGTGAACGTGCAGTTATTGAAGACTTTCCATATCAAGTGAGCATTCAAGTATCCAAGCATCATGTCTGTGGTGGCAGCATTATTGCTAAGAAGTGGGTTATCACCGCGGCTCATTGTATTAATCACCCTGTATCTGCATATATTGTACGAGCTGGTACTTCTTATCTTGTAGGAGGTACTCTTCATAAAGTTGACAAAATATTCAGACATTCACGATTTCATGTAGACAAATACCAGAGACCAAATCATGACATTGCTCTGATGCTTATAAAAAATACATTCCTCTTTGATCGAAAGCATCAACCTATTTCTCTAATTGATTTTGGTCAGAAGATAAAACCTGGAGCTATTGGTATTACATCTGGTTGGGGTAAAACAGAATGGGGTACATCTGTTCAATTGCGAACTGTTGCACTTCCTATTATTTCTAAGACGATATGTAATTCAAAATATTTCAACCATAATGGAATTCCTGACAATCAAATCTGTGCTGGACATCCTTATGGTGGGAAAGATGCCTGCACTGGTGATTCTGGTGGTCCCCTGGTTGTAAATGGCAGCTTAGCTGGCATTACATCTTGGGCTATCGGCTGTGGAGAAGCTGCTTTTCCGGGTAGTTACACCGAAATCGCAGCTTATCGATTATGGATTAGAGAAGTGACTGGTATTTAATAACATTAGTTTTATTGTGATGAGTTGAAAGCCGATGTAAATATGAATTGTTAAATATTTATAACTATTTTTATATTATAATAAATAATATTTTTCATTAGAATAAAGACGTGATACATTTTTAATTTATTATACAAAGACTGTAATAGATTTTAGAAAAAAAACCATTTTTGAAAGGGAACTATTGTACCTTGGGGATCATCTTGCTCTGGTTTCCCTCACATTAAATATTCCACAGCTAATGTAGCTGAGAAAATTGGTGGTATACTAAACCATTCAAGCAACATAAAATCATAAACTTGTAAGACCACTAATTAAAAATTTCCTTATTTTATCTGTACAAAAGAACACAAAAAAAAAATTATTATGTCTCAGGAACAATAAATTTATTTATAATGAGCTGAATTATCACCAGGAATTTCTTCAAGTTTGATTAATTTTTAATTCTTAAAACATAAAACCTCAAAACGCTAACTCTGAATGACTTTTAGCTTCAACTATTCTGAATGTATGTACCAGTTGTCTGATATTCTGTTGACAATAAAAGTGCATGAACAAAATTTACATGCTATTGAAATCTACTATCTGATAAATTTCGAACTAACTGCACACATTACCTAAGAGCAAAAGAGCTTTCGTTATTCAATGTTCTGCACCGCAAGCAGTTAAAAAGCAAACTTGCTCAAATAAATTAGGTGTGATGTTACATATAAAACATTTTTATTTTTCAACTTTTCCTAATCTATATTTAAGATCATACTGACTATCATAAAAATTATATGAGTTATTTTATTTAAAACATAAAAATAATCGATAACCTTTCCAAGAATTAAAGTGTCTAAACTTTTAAAAAATATTTGTCGAACAAGTTGAAACTTTTTAGTTAGATTAATTCCCATGATTAGTTGAAGAATTTTCACCTGTCAACCTAATTGATAAAGTCAACTATTTAACTCAATTTAAGATATATGACTTTGAGTTTAAGACCAAGATTACTGTGCATAGTAATGTCCATGGAACTTTAAGACAGACATGTTCAAATAAATTGCCACAAGAGTGATAATAAATCATCAAAACAGTGCAATTACAAATTAGAACCAAAGTCGAAGTTTGGATCACAAATAATGAATTCTGGAGGTGTAAACGTACGTTAGATTCCTTTGTTGTGATTCATTAGAAACTATGTCAATAAAGGAAGTGAATCGAATCCCAGAGACTGACTACATACTTTATATTGCTGAGACTTCATGGAAATTTAATTATCACCGTTTTGATGATATAGGTATGTGTGACAGTTTGAAATAGATATACCTAGAAGTATGAGTGAGAGACTTGATTAATAACTAATAAAGAATGTGAATAATTTATTCATTTGACTCAATAAGATAAATTGCACTATTTTCAATTTCGAAAATACAGCTTTTAATTAGTTAATTAATTCAATATTAAATTGCAATGGAAATAAAATGACTATCATCATTCTTTATATTTCTATTTATAAGTTAATTGTTGTTATTGTTATATTGATAAAAAATATGAATTTAAAAAAAATTATCATTGTTATTATTATTTAGATATCACTATAATAAATGCCATCCTATTCATGGAATTACCATCGAACGATGATTTATCTTAACTGATACGTATCTCGATACTTCATGTGACATTATTTTATTTTCTATTTCTACTTCCACGATTTATCTATCAGTACTACTGTCCATCATGTATCTCAACTACTCTATTATTTTTTTTTTTTGTTTAACTAATTGTCAAATAAAAATAGAGATTAATTTAATACCCTTATCCTTTTAGCTTTCCTTGAGTTTTTTTTTACCTCAAGTGCTCTTCAAATCACTCTGTTAAGCTAAAGAATGATTAAATAATTATTATGATATCAATTTCCAAAATTATCAGTAATTAAAAAATTAATAATTAATTAATACTTTCAATATGACTTTTAAATTATATCCAATTCAGTTTATCATTAATTAAAAATTTTAATATACAGATTGAACATTGAATTTAATATATATTATCGTTTATTATAATTACTAATTACATAGATAAAAGTCTAAATTTCCCAAGTATATCAGCTTGATAAAGAAACACTTATAACTGTAAAAATGGACTACAATTAATGGGTATAAAAGAGCCACTGATTTTTGAACATCAAGTTATTGCCATTTTAAAGAGTTAGCAGTGAAGATGAATAATCATCTAGTAGTGATCTTAGGTTTTGCAATCTTAAGTTCAGGTAAGGTTATTCAAATTTAAAATTTTCATTTAAATGCTAATTTCTTTTCCTCATTATCTGACTCATAGAAGCATACTATTTTTTTAAAATATTTTCTATTTTCCTCTTTAGAATTGTCTAAATCTGTTGGTCTACTTTGAAATTTTTTTCCAGATAAAAAATTTTTTAATTAAAAATTCAAATTATGACTCTACCCTTAATTTCATTTTTCAAATATTTTCTTTGTATTCCTATCAATGTTGTGGTGGAAGTTATTTATCGAATAATTTCGTGTGAAATTGATTTATTTCTTTTTAATTAATTCTTGCATTTACTATTTGAATAAAATAAACGAACTTTTCGACGATTCTTTTGTGATATTAATTGTTGTAGAATTATAATTGAAAGTCACTTTTTATATGAAATTTCGAGTAATTTGAAATCCAATTAAATATTTCCCATCGTTCTCAACTGTTTTCAGTATTATAACATTATAAGTATTTTTAGTTTCAATTAATCAAATCCAAATGCCAAGAGCAGACTACTTGTAACTTCTACCCTTCTCAATATATTTAGAAGCATAAAAATGATTATAATTTTTTGCTTTCAATATTTTTCTGACAATTTTTCTGTTTCTGGCTAACAGCATGGAGTCTTCCACATCATCATCCTGATCATCTACCACCCACGTCTGACATTAGAATTTATGGTGGTGATGATGCTAAGATAGAAGAAGTAGCTTTCCAAGTGAGTGTCCAAGTATCGGGACGTCATTGGTGTGGTGGAAGTATTATTGGTCATAATTGGGTTTTGACAGCTGCTCACTGTGCTGAATTACCTGTACGTGTATACTCAATTCGTGCGGGATCCATATTCAATGATCGTGATGGAAACATCTATCAAGTAGATAAAGTAATAATACATGAAGACTATCATCAAATATTTGGAATTCCCATTGATGATATTGCTTTGATGAGGGTAGAACCACCATTTGATTTTGATGAAGCCTGTCACCCAATCAACATGTTCGGAAAAGGAGAAAAACCCGCAATTGGGTCAAATGCAATAGTAACTGGTTGGGGTGATACTGGAAACTTTCCTAAAGAAAAAAGACTTCAAACTGTAACTGTTCCAATAATAAGTATTGAAAATTGTCGAGTGGCCTACAATTTTACTGATATTCCTGACCATGGAAGACTTTGTGCTATGACGCCTGAAGGTGGTAAAGATGCATGCCAAGGGGACTCTGGTGGTCCTTTGACTATTGATGGACGACTTGCAGGAGTTGTATCTTGGGGAGTTGGATGTGCAATGCCTGGAAATCCAGGAGTTTATGCGGAAGTTCAGTATTACAGAGATTGGATCAAGGCTAGAACTGGAATTTAGATTAGATGTTGATTTAAGGAAAGAATTACTCAAACCGTGACTGTTGTTGAATGAGAATCGAGGTAGAAGAACAAGAATGTATAATGATTTGAGTTAAATAAAAAAATGCTTTAAAAATACTAATAATATATGCTCGTCTTGTTTTCTAGAAATAGGTTTTGCTCTAAATGAGCTTTCTTAAAATCTATGGTGTTTTGAAAAATATTTAGTAAAGGAGGCTTTTAAAAGTTATAATATTGAAATGGATTTTTGTACAAACATTTCAATGTGTATAGAATACTTTTGATATATATTTTATTTTACTAAATATAACTTCAAAAGCGTATTGAAAAAATTACGTTTGATTTCTTAAATATCAAAGGTTAATTTTCTAAATATAAATAGCACTGCTTAATCAATAAAATAAATGGAACAAATAAAATTAAATGAAGCTATTTTTCGATGAATATTAAACATTAAGATTAATTTTGTGAACCATAAACAAAGAATTGCCATACAGGAAATTTTTTAAAGGCCTCAAACGTAATATAAAGATGAAAAATTCTATTTAATATGACAGTAAATTATAATAATGAACAAAAAGCAATTTTACAGACAAATAAAAATAATATCCAATATTTAATAGCAAAGAATAAACAAGATTGATTGACAATCTATAAATAATTTACAAAAACATACTTTTTGCTAACAATAAAAAATTTAAACCCCTCGAGAGCATTATTTTAATTTCATAGAGTAAACATTTCTACTGTTTTATTAAAAAAAATAACAACTTCTTTTTTTCATAAAATTACTTTCTCTCTAAATCAATATAGCTATTTTTAACATCCGAATATATTATTTAATCATGAAGAAATAAAAACAAAAAATCGTCATGCCAGCTTTCCAACAAAAAAATTAGCCTGTGTCAAACCTTGATGAAATTACGTTTGTTAGCTACTCAACCTAATATTTACTTATATAACACAATGATGAAAAATCTAATCCAACTTTGCACGAAAATAACAGAAAACCACTATTTCCCCTTCACAACAAAGTATACAATGTTGAAAAAATACCTCAGAAACTTTTATTTTCTATCACCACATATTCCAATTTACCTGTCAAACACCCAAAAATTCATCAACTCTTCTCTTTATTCATAGAACAGCAAGAGATTTATTTAAAGATCAGTCATCTTGTTAACTATTGTGTCTTAAGTCAGATTATTCAGAATGAAAGTTTCATTATTAATAAACACAGTATTAGGGTTAACTATTTTTAGTTGCTTAATACAACGGAATAGTTGAGAATGTTTTATTATTAACAAGTATTGGCGGTATTCTTAGAGATATTGTTGAGTAAGATTTAATTATTCATAGAGTGTTGAAGATCGAGTTCGAAAGACACCCTTTGCATTGCAAAGAATATCATAAAATTCTAGATCCTGGAGATTCTAGTATTCTGAATGGTAATAACCACCCTCACATCCCACTTCTCGAGTTGTTTTGCTCGTTGTCGGAAATGCAACAACTCTCTTTGGAATCCATCTACATCCTTGTGATATTCCCAATCAACTCAAAATATTCCGCTGATGTCTTGCTTCGACGAATTGAATCTACGTTACAAATACGCAGTGCAGAATTTGATTGTCAATAATAAAAAATAATCTTTAAATTATGCGTCATTTGAAACCTGGTAAATTTTTTTCATATTTATCAGATGTTGATAAGATTGGTAGAAAAATAATCAATCTCCATTTATAAATTAATTTCCTTTGTGTGTATTAAGGAATCTTAATAACAATCGGTCAATCAGTTTTTAATTTATCATCATTTTTCACAATCAATTCATCAACTAGATATTAATATTTTATTTCCAATAGAAATCTATCAAAGTCATCGTGATAAACACCATATCAGCTTAGATTTTCATATAAATACCCTCAAAAGTATTCAGCAGTCATCCAGTGAACAGTGCCAGTTTGGTTGTAAAAAAATGTTCAAGTTTTTGATTCTTTTTGGCCTTGTGGCCGTGGGGCTTGGTAAGAATTTATCAAAAATTCATTGTCAACTTTGTTTAAATATTTTACATTTCAGTAAATATCACTAAAAAATTATTACAATCATTTTATAGCAAATTCTGAATAAAGTTTAAAATAAACTTAATAAAAAAAAATAAGATTGTAAGATATCTATGAATTTCTAACACATTGTAAATTGCCTGAACAAGGTTTCAACACAATCATTTCTCCTTTATTACCATGCTCATAACTAAAGAATATCCATGTATCGATCTACTCTCAATATTCATGAACTATTTATGCAGTTGACCAATATGCAATCTTAATTAATGCTGAAATAACACTTGAATTTTATTATTTATAGCACATTCAATCAATTGGATCTCCAACATCAACCGCTCGACACCTAGTGGACATATTGTTGGTGGAGAACCAGTAGACATCAAAGAAGTACCACATCAAGTATCTCTTCAGCTGTATAATTTTGCGTTCTGTGGCGGCACTATAGTAGCTAAAAATTGGGTACTTACTGCTGCTCATTGCTCAGCTTATGGTACTTCTATTTCAGTACGTGCTGGAACAACCAAGAAAGAAGTTGGTGGCACTGTTCACTCTGTTACTAAAGTATGTACATGTTCTAGTTTGTATATCATTTAAATATTTTTTTATTCACAACTTGTTAAGCTGGAGAGTCATAGATTGAAGAAGAACTCATAAACAACTGGGAAGCTATGTTAGAACATCGTTTATTATTTTTAATGAAGTCATTAATTTTTTAATAAGCGTATGACTTTTGTATTACATAAATAAGACTTTAATGCAACAATTACCTACGTTGAGGTTGCTTCTATGCACCATTTACTCATGAGTACTTTTTCAATTTTAATTTCATTGCTTATGAAAACTGAAAACCAACTAATTAGTTTATTTCAAAGAACGTATGAAAAGAACCTAATTTATCAAAAAAAAAATTCATCAATTATTTCCATTAATAAAATTTTTTTTCTGTCATTCTTTTAGGTACTTGTCCACGAGAAATATGGAACAAATCGCTATGGGATTCCTATTAATGATGTAGCATTACTCAAAGTAGAACCAGAATTCACAATGGATGAAGTCCATCAAGCAATTGACCTTTTTGATTTTCAAGAAGAAGCTGTTGTAGGCGTTCATTCGGTCATCACTGGTTGGGGTGCTGTATGGGAAGGTGGTTCAACTACTGAAGTTTTGAACAAAGTCAAAGTGCCAATCATTTCCAAAAAGAAATGCAATGATGCTTATATCAGTTATGGTGGAGTTCCAAAAGGACAAATTTGTGCAGCATACCCAGAAGGTGGAAAAGATGCTTGCCAAGGTGATTCTGGTGGCCCATTAACAATTGATGGACGTCTTGCGGGAATTGTTTCTTGGGGCAATGGTTGTGCTCGACCTGGATATCCAGGAGTCTACACTGAAGTCGCCAGTTATCGTGATTGGATTGACATGAAGATGATCATGTACTCATAAAATTTTATGACCATTGATTGGTTTAATGTTACAAAACATTAAATGTGAAAATGATTAACATCTATTTGATTACTTAAAAATCATTCTTGAATGATGAATAAAATTATGCTCTAAATATATCTTCTCAGTCTAATTACTCATTTTAATAAAATTTTTCATTCCCCTGGCTAAAGTCAAGTCCAGTAATGTGTATAATGTGCCCATTCTAATTAAGTTAATTTAATCTACTGAAAATCATATAAATAGCAAGCATAGAATTTTTTTCAAACATTTTTTATGAACCATGTTTGCTGGTGCTTGAAATAATTACAAAAAGCAGCATCACAGATATAAAACATAGATTTTACCTCTGAAATAAAAAATTTTTTTTCTACCTAGCAGTTTTTCTGACAGAAACATGTACAATATCTACTTTGTTATTGGAAAAATTTAGTTTATTTCAGCGCATCTAGCCTAGGTATATCATGCATCATCTCAGTATAAAAGAACTGACGTACTGTATTTAGTAGCTTAGGGTCATCATTTATTACGATGCAGAGAGAGCACGCTACTTTTTCTACTGTATTATTAAATAAAAGTTCTCAATCTTGATAAAATTGAGAAATACAAGAATCATGATAGATATACCAAATTGCTATAAGCTGGAGACTCTACGATCAACTTTCAAAAATTCTTCATCAAACTTTTTTTGCTAATTGATAACTATAAATATAAAAATATTTAATCAAGAAATGTTCAATTAAAAACCTTTTAGTGAATTGATGATATGAAAAGACTAAAGTAAATACCAGCAAGTTCACATCATATTAAAATCTTACATCGAATTAGACATTGCCAAGCTAATGTATGTCAAATCGCACATTAAACTTGAAAATTTGAGTTAAATTATGTTGGAAGTATCTAATTTTGTGTGAGATTCAAATTGAATGTGAATTGCTTCAAATCGACCTTAATCAAGTTTTTTAGATCTAATAAAAAAATTATTGAACCAGAAAATAATATACCTATTAGCTAAAAATTCAATTTGCAACTTCAACAATATGATAGTCTCTTGAATTGATATTTTTTTTTTTATCTTTCAAGTAATGATTGAACGAGGAATTTATATTTTAACCATTAATTAATGAAAAAATTCTTAAAAATTCATGTTGATGATCCGACAAATCCCATAAAATTGTCGTTCCTTGTAACTTCCTAATAATGAAACTTTATTCGACTCCCTAATGGCTTTGAAGAAAGTGGTTTGAAGAACCTTCATGAACGACACAAGAAACTTTAAAACTTCAGGTAAAAAAAAGTTCTTAGACTGTTGGATAAGAAAACCACTGTCGAGAACGAAGAAAAAAATTGCTTAAAAATGGAAAAAGTACAAAAACGTGATAAGAAAAAAAGGAGGCTTCTATATGCCAAAAAGTGTTACAAGAAAATTCTTTAGATTTGTTATTCACACAAGAAATTATATAATCCTTATTGTTAATTATAATTTACAACCCAAAAGTTTAAACTTAGCTAAGTGGACCTTCAGCAATAAATTGAAAATTGGATAGCTAATAAAGTTGATGTCGAATCTAGAATTCCACAGCTCGATTAAAGTTTCTGTTGCCAAGGTTTACTGTACTTGCCAAATTCATGAAGCTTAACAGTTTAATTGTCTCAGACAATCAATTTCTATCGTTCAATAACCTTAGACTTTGAACAATAATAAATTATGACAAAAATATCAGCTCACAATAATCTAAAAGAGAAATAAAGAAATAAAATTGATGAAAACAAAAAATCAAAAGAAAAGAGTTACTATTGTTTGTATTGACATGGATCCATCTAACTTATTAGCTCTTAAAAGTCTCTCATATCTCCAATAAAATGATGTTTGTTTTCTTCCGGTCAGAATATCTTTTGAACGACATATTTCACTACTCTCTTCATTTGACTCACGTATTTTGGTTCCTTGTGAAAATTCCTAGCACGACGTCAACGACGTGGCCTTATCTCGAGCTGAGACTGGAACTCGGCCAACTGGCGACGTCCTATAGTAACTCTAAACATTTTTGTAACGATTTTTTGATCTAGAATTTCGTGAATGCTAACTGATATTGATCATGTATTATGTTTAATCATTATTGATTACCACTCTATCAAGCTGTCTACGTTCTCTTTCCACATCAGCTTACATCTATTCGACAGGTATTACTTCATCAAATAAACATCAGAATCTAATCATGTCCCACTGTTTCACCACCACTTATTTATTTATAACACTACCTTTTTTTTCATGCTCAAATTCTTAGTCAATTTAACATCAATTACTTCATGATTGTTTCTGATCTCAATTTCAAAAAGATTTTGTTCGAGATAAATATGAAGATTTTAAAAAAAATATCAAAACTTCATTCATGAATTAAAATAAAATTAGTATTTATTTTGTCAGTGTTGAAAGATTTTTAATTCATCAGCATAAATCCTTTTAAGATATTGCAAAATACATAAATAAAATCTGCTTTGTAAATTTTTAATTTGAAAAGATTGATGCATGTTAATATAAATATAGTTTATCTGAGCATTTTAAAAAAACCTTCTGATAAAAATTCTGTGAAAGAGTTTTTAATTAAAGGTAATAAGAGAAAATGTATGTATTTTCTTGTTCATTTCAGGATAGTATATATCCTGTCTGACTATACAGACCACTTTCTACTGCAATACTCACTTGATTAAGTGTGAGATATAAAACAGTAAGAAAATATAACAGCACAAATGAAGTATCTGAAGCATCTTTTAACATTATTTCACAGAATTACAATTAGCTATATATTATGATCAAATATTATACACACTTATACTATGCATGTAAAGCTACTGGTCTAGAAATTAAATAAATATACCTCTTAACAAATAATATATTACACTAAGTTTGTGAAATATACCGTGTTATTACTCATCAGCTTCACTTTTCGTAAAAGCTGAGAGCAACAGAGCAAATAAAGAAACATTTCTTAGAACTTAACCGACATAAAAAAAAAGTCCAACGACATAAAAACACAAGTAAAAGAGCATAAAGTGCTCGAAAACTTGTTTCTTGTAAACAGTAACAATGCTATAAAACAATGTAACAAAGTACTTCAACTTTTTCCTATTTATTTGAGAATGTTATTCACATGTCTATAAATATTTTTTATTCCAATTCAAACTGTACTCGATCTATAATATCTCACATATGATCGATGATATTTCCATTAACCTCATTAGGTTATATTCTCTTATTACACAATCACCATAAGACCAATTTAAAATTTACATTTTTTTAAAAACTTTTTTTGGAATATTTTTTCAAAAAAAAAAATGGCGTCAAATACTTAAAATCCTTGAAAAATGAATTTTTGTTCATTTTTTTTTTGTAATGGAAATATTTGATAACTCACATTAAAATTGTATTTTTGTTGAGTTCTGAATTCTAAAGAATGACTATTTATAGATGGAAAGCAAATTATCGTTAAAACTTACCGAACGGCGTTTCCAAGAACGTTTGAATCCTCAGACACACTCGAACTGTAATAAGTTTGTAAAACTCAGAAAACTCACTTAAAAAAATAACTAATTATAATAGAATATTTTACAAAGCGAATCAACAAAGATTACACTTTAATTAATATTTTTTTTCGTAATTACACTAACGAATCCAATTTTTTTTTCGCGGGAGAAGTGCAAGGGATCGCGGCGAGTGTCACACTGAGGGTAAATTCTCGCACTAGGTGTATCTACACCACCGCCACCCCACGGACGTTTTGTTTTACTTCAACAATAGTAGACGAATAACTAGCTTATTCAAGATGTTATGCATACAAAAGTGGTTTTCAAATCTTCACCCATTCTCTCTTATTTTCAAAATAAAAAGAATTATACATGAAAATAAAAACAGCCAATTTTTCTACGCCAATCATTCTATTAAATATGAAATAAAACGAAATTAAAACACAGTTTTTGAATTAAAATCTTACAAATTTCTCACAGGAAATAAAATTAGACGTTTAATGGATTACCGTAATTAATTGTAAAAGATAAAATCAATGTTTGCAAGTATTATTTAATTAATTTAAAAGTGATGCCAACTTTTTCTTTCAAATTAGATGAAAATGCAAAGAGGTAAGTATTTCTAAATAACTCATTACTCCAAAATAAAACTATGTATACTTTAATAACCTTTAATTAATTTTTTACAGATCAAGATGCTGGTCATTTTTTAAGCTATGTTTGTTTGATGAAAATTGAATAATTAAGTAATCATAGAGTTCAAATATTATTGATGTAAATTTCTAAAGTTTAGGTAAACAATACAACCGAATTCTATATTAAAAGATTAAAAGTGTTACACATGTTTGCATTTGATAACACGAACCTATTAACCGTGGATTACTGTAATTTTACTTCATTATCTATCATCGACGTTTAGCAGTTAACATTTTGTTAAATGTTCAAACATTCTTAGTAATAGTTCAATACGTGATCAATAACGATAATAAAAAATACTATGTAATACATCGTTAGAAAAGAATAATTTTATATTGAACCATAATGAAGCTAATAATTTTTTGTTTACTAACAATTTGTAAGTAAAGGATTATTAGGATGAAGTTAAAGTTATTAATTTGTTTATGTGTAAATGTTTCATTTAGTTATCATCAAATCCAAATCCATAGTAAATAAAGATAGCCCGGATATAAATCTTGATATTAATATAACAGAAAGTCCATTTGCGGTAAGAAGTGCATATTTTTTTTTTAATAAATAAATCTTACTTGACTTTAAACTATTTTACATACAATTTATTTTTAAATTTATCTGAGAGAATTCAAGTTCAAATTAATTTTTTCCAATTGCTGGTATTTAATCAGTTGCTTTGCCATTTGAAGAATTAATATTATTTAATACATCTGATAATACATAACTAAAATTCGTCATCAAACATAGCATATGGAATAACTTTAATATGTGAATCGTTAATTATGATTGTTAAGTGTCATTAAAACGTCAATAGCAAATAATTGCAAATTATTATTTGTATTAATAAATATTTTCAAATAATTGTGAATTAATTTTCATTTATAAAAATGTCAAATTAATGAAAAACTAAATTTGTTCGATTAAAAAAGAAATATAGAAATAAATATATCCATATGTTAATACTTTACGTAAGCAAAGTTTCAATCAAAATTTTTCAATATATAATTACAAATCGCAGTTACAAATGCATTTAACGTGTCTTTTAATTGTTAAAAAAATTGTTCTGTTGAAATTACATTTTTTTTAATGCGTCAATTTATGTAATGTGCTACATTGTTTATATATTTTTATTTCTAGTTGTCCCTCAGACGGAATGACAAACATATATGTGGAGCAACAATTATTAGTTCAAACTGGGGCATCACAGCTGCGCATTGCGTGTAAGAAAGGATAGTTCAATTATAATTTATTAGTTGGTATTGAATTTTTTTAACAACCTAAACGCATAAAGACCACGCATTTATTGTCATTCTTCATCATTTCTCATAATTTTTATTACACAATCATAAGGAAGCATCAACATGAAAATAAATTTCATGTTTTTATTATGAGTTCTATATTTAAATAGTCAAGAAGAGTTTTGGGATCAGTAAATAAGAGGCAAAAGACAGTTTAATGATTATGAAATTCTCATAAAAAATAATCTTATTATTAAATATGACACAAAGATTCTGTCATTCTCTAAGACTACTTATTTTTTTACTTTGAAAAGAAAAAGATATTTTATCTTATTTAGATCAAGAGATTTATGAATTCAAAATCACACTAATGAGTTAATAATTTATGTATTCTATGATATACTAGCATTAATTGATAAGGTTTCGTAACATTAATAATCGATTGAATATTTATCATCTATAATTATAATATGATTTGTTAATATAAACCATGACGTTTAATCAGAGAAGGAAACATAGAAACATAAATTAATCTGATGGAATCATTGTTTAATTTCCAACATTATGATGAATCTCGTTTGCAAAAACTTTCAGACTTTTGCCAGTATCAACAGCCAACTACTCTGTTCGTGCTGGATCAAATTACAGGAGTCAAGGAGGATCTGTACATAAATTAGTTAACGTTATTCACCACCCTCAATATAATTCTAGTATATCTGACTATGACGCAGGGCTCTTTATGGTCGAACCCGAATTTCAGTTCGATAATTCAACACAACCAATTGTACTGCCTGCATCAGATGAGGAGGAAAAAACAGACACAAGTTGGGGTACTGCTGTTGGATGGGGTGCATATCAGGAAAGATAATTTACTTTTTTTTTCATCAATCTAATGAATTAATGGTATATATGTTTAAAAATATTTTTCTTTTTAGATAGATGATGAGGAGAACTTATCAGAAACATTGAAGGGTGCTACGTTACCAAAATTTGATTGGAATGAATGTGAGGATGCTTATTATCCGATCTTCCCAGTAACTAAAAATGAAGTTTGTTATGGGTTTAAAAATGGAACTCTAGATACTTGCAAAGTAATTAATTATTTATTTGATAAAAAATTAATTGAAAGAAAAAATAAAATTTGGACTGTTCATGCTTTTAGGGTGATTCTGGAGGTCCATTGTTTTCCAAAGACAAAATTTTTATTGGTATTACTTCATGGGGAGATGAATGCGCAGAATCTGGTTCACCTGGAGTTTATACGAGTATTCCAGTCATCCGTAATTGGATAAAAAATGTAACAGGTGTTTAAAATAATTTACTGTGATAAAATTGATCTTTAAATTTATCTTTATAAAAAATTCTTGCCATTGAGTCATCTGCATAACTATTACCAAGTTGTGATATGAATTCTCTTCACTTAACAAGATCTGTTAATTAATTTTATTGAACGTTTTTAAAAAATAAGCTATTCTTTATTAATTTCAATTGATAATTATAATGTGAGCATTTTAATGATCTGAAACTGTTATATTGTTCGCTTTCACTGTTCGTTTTACAAAAATCAAATAATAAATCGCACTGTTTTGCCATCTTCTTCAATAACTATTGTAGAATTTTTGTATTTCAACAAATTTGTTGCTCTCTTAGTTGTCCACTCACTGTATCCATATTTATAAAATTCAGGTAATTTTTCTATTTTGGCTTCACTTGCTAGCCAATCATTATATTCCCATTGATATCCAGGCTCAAATGCATGAGGATATTTAGACGTTTGTGAAACTAATTCTTCTGACATTTTTTCCTGTGATGGTAAATTAGTTTCACCCAAAAGAATGCTCAAGAAATATTGAATCTATAACAAAGAATAATCAAAACATAAGTAAATTTAAAGCTCTTCAAACCATTTAAATTAATTCTCGCTAAGTTTGAAAGTTCAGGATTAGTACCTGCATGTGAAACATAGGAAAAGGAATAACTCGAGACGGTACTCCCACAATTGCCATTTTGGGATGTTGAATATTAATTAAATGTTTATAGAGCGGTGTCACATGATTACCATTTATTACTTTAACTTTACATGTTTCGTTCAAAAATGGGAATGAATATTTATATCCTGTACAAAGTAAGAAGGCATCAGCAGTTACCGTTGTCCCATCTTTAAGATGAAAGTCGTTTCCATTGATAAATTCTACACCCATTGTTTCAGTCATATTCGATGGCAATGGACTAATCAATCTAAAAAAGCAATTAAAAAATTCTTGAAGTGAAATTATAAATGAATATTAATATTTATTATTAATAGAAGCTTTGTAATAAAAATTAAAAAACATATCATGATTATTCAAACATTTCATACCTATCACGATTATGACTTAAATAAACATGATTAGCATAGTGAGTAATTTCTATTCCAATATCGATTCCAGACGGTCCTGATCCAAGAATCAAAACAGTTTTTCCAGTATATTTTTCTGGAGTTCGATAGTCATGGCTATGCATCAAATCTCCAGAAAATGTTTCAATGCCAGAAATTGATGGTATAATAGGATCTACATAATGTCTAAAAATAATAGTAAGACCTTAGAAACTTTTATAGAATTATTAGTCATTAGTTCAGTTATCTTATTACATTACCCGTTACAAACTAAAATAGCATCAAAATATTTATCTTCAGTTTTTTGGGTCAATATATTTTTTATAGTTACTTTCCACGTTGTTTCGTGCCAATTATCGTCTTCAGTTATTGGTAAAACGTTTTCAACTCTGGTATTGAACTAGTTCCAATCAAAAAGAGTAAATAAATAAATCACCTGTCATAAAGTACAAAAAATTTTACAAAAAAAAAGCAAACCACCTGAATGTACTGACAAAGATTAAAATGATCGGCATAGTCCTGTAGGTATTTTAAAATTTGTTGATGAGTTCCACAGCTTGGTTGAGATTGATTCATGCGTTGAAAATCAGGAAAATTCATCAGTTTTAAAGGAATATTTGTCCTACAATAAAATTAATAATGCTCAAGTTTTTCTATAATTCAAAATTTGAAATTAAAACAAAATTATGATTATTATATTAATCAATGTTTAATTTTATTTGTATCATTTTGAAGTTTTTCAACTTACTTAAGATCTTTATACATGCTTGAATGAATGGGAAGCCCATTATGAAATCCAACTTTTTCAGTATAAACCCATGTTCCACCAATAACATCACACTGTTCAAAAACCGCGGGTTCAAATTTCTGCAAGTCACTAGCGAGATGACGAACTGAGCATAATCCTGCAGCACCAGCTCCAATGACGCAAACTCTTATTCGTTCTCTTTTTATTTCACCATCAGCTTCACGATTTTTTCTTCCACTCATTTTTAATAAAACTAAAAATCATAAAATCTTATCTGTGTTAAATACCAATAAAAACATTCAAAGGTATAAACAAAAAAGACCATTAAATTTCTATAGTGGTATAGGAATCGTATTGCAATGGGATGTAATATATGATAGAAAACAAGGCAACTGAGTATATTTATATCTACAAGTTGTAGAGATAAATGAAAAATGCGGGAACTAAATAGACATTCAAATAATATTCTACACGCGTACAAATCTTTAATAACATTGTCATGTTGTTGGGAATTTAAAGCTGTAATTGCTTACTATCAAAAATTTCAAATAAAAAGTCAACCAGAGGAAGCTTTTTGCGGAAATCTTGGTTTAGAAAGACACAAAAGACATAATAGATAACATTTAAAGAATATAATGATTATAATAATAACCATTACAATTTGATAAGCGACATAAATTATGAAGTATGTCTTCAAAGAAGTTGATAAAGTACAAAAATTCCATTGCATGTGTATTAACTTTATCAGCAAACGTCCGTTGTTATTAATATCATTATTATTATTATAATGCTATTATCAAATTACGAAGTCAAAAAGAAATATAAGTACATATAAAATAATAACAAATTTTGTAAGATACATCTTTAATTAGGCCAATTGAATTTTTTTAGATAATCTTATTTTCACACAATCACAGAAAATATTTCGTCATTACAAAATTACCTCCACGACGTATTATTATTTTAAAGTACACAATTTAATAGTACGCCTTGTTATTTTATTTCATTGTCTAATTGCTGTGGTAAAATACAAGTCATTAATCATAACAGAGATATAAAAATACGTTTGAAAAAAAAAATGACCTCATTTTTCGTATTTCCTAGTCAATGAGCTAGGTTATTTTAAAAAGAAATGTTAATAAATGATCTATAAACAATTTAAATAAAAAATTACAAATAATTTGGTGTTATTATTTATTGTGTAAATACTTTATTTATCGCTAAGTCTTATTACGTTACTTATTTAACAGTAATAAAAATGAAAATGATAATAATAAAAATAATAAAATAGACAATATTAATATTTGTTTTATGAATATGATAAATATAAAATTTAAAATTAATTTGAATGTCCTTAATAAATGCGTGATCGATTTCTAATGAATTACTATTAATCTATTAATCAATTATTAACAATGTACTTATTTTTATTCAATTAATTTTATTAATTTTTTTTTCGTCGATCGAACGTTTAATAATCGAACATTTTAAAAAATTTCATCTCATTACACATGTACAAAATGAGCAATTTATTTATTTCTAAGTTTCGTTTACTCCTTTTTGTTTACGGATAATTTTTAATTACAACAAAAAGTCTTTATTCGGGCGGATTTTTTTATTTCTCTTTTTTAGTATCCTAAAATTACTTTTCATTTCATTTGTTCATTCCTAATTTCAACGATATTTTAAAAGAAAAACAAAAAATTTCTATATACAATCTTGTATTTTCTACATACATTAATATTTAATCATTTAATTAATTAAGTATTAATTTATAACCATTAATAAGATTAGTCTTGATTGTTCAATAAACACACAGAGGGTAAGAAAGTTTTTTTAAATAAAAAAACCCAAGGAAAAATTCAGGAGTTTGTCTGGCAATTCATTTTAAGGAATTAAGGAACCACAAACCACTGGAGAATGGAAGAACGACGTGATCGTGATCGGGAGCATATCTGCAGGATAAAGTATGGATTCTTTTTAATTAATATTATTACTAATATTATTATGTTTTTGGTGAGTAATTTGTTGTATTGATAAAAAATGTTTATTGTTTATTTATTTTCAACCCTCGCTTACGGAAGACAATGAGCTTCGTGTTGAACCCGCCGTATGGTGAGTTAAATCTGGAAGATCTGATGGCAGACATAGTGGCATAGCACTTGGACCATAAATAGCTTCTTGCTCTTCTAATTGTATTGCAAATTGTTCTTCTAGTCTCTGCAATACAAAGAATATTGTTCAAAATATTTTCTTTAATAGAACAATATTAATTTTCTCTCAAACACCACCTGTCCTAGTTTTCATTTTCTCTAGATTAAAATTCAAACTTATTGAAAACAAAATCCAAAAAATAATTCAAAACATAAATTAAATTAATTCGCAAATAAAAATTTTTAAAAAGAAAAAGAAAAAAACTGACCTTAAATTTTTTTTTTAATTCTTTCTCTTCATTCTCGTCAAAGGTACTAGTTTATTTCATTTTTTTATGCAAAAAAAAGCAAAACTTTCTAATGATAAATAGAAATAAGTGATAAGAAAAACAAATACAAAAACAAAAAGCATAATGTAAACAAAATAAATGTATAAAGCGACATAAATGTAAATTTTCACCCAGTGGTTTTACATATAATTGTGTCAATTCAACTATGTAATGAATGAAAAAAATAAAACAAAATATTATTTAGTAATATATTATCCATTGAACAGATATTATTACTTTCAATAAATTATTGTAACCATCTTAATCGATGCATGGTACGTAAAGATTTAATAAATAGATTATTAAAAAAAAAATTAATTGTTGAATATTTAAACATGTGCACCCCTATAATTCTACTATTCATATACCAATAAAATGAAATATATAATAATTCTCTATCAAAACATTACATGTATAGATCACTAGTTGTTTTAGTACAACGATATAATATTTACAAAAAATTTATTATATAATAAACATATTAAATATTATATCGAAGTTAATATGAACTAAATATGGCATGAGAATATTGACTGTTAAGTAATTTCATTACTAATGGATCATGATAAATCAAAGCAGTGACAAGAGACACAAAGTGTGTAATTGATTGAAACAATGATGAATGTAAAGTTTGAAGTAAACAATGAACGATTATTGGATTAGAAACTGAAATTTCAACAATGGACGGAGAGAGAATGGAAGAAACGAGCAGATTATTTACGAGGGGGTGGGTTCACAATACGAGTGGGTCTGGACAAGGTTCCAGTCATTGAACTGGTATCTGAGCCTGTTTTCAAATTGACTCTGGGAATTGTAATGGAAGTTGGTGAATTAGGAGTAGAACGAGCTAGTCGGGGTGACAATTTCCATTGATCTACCACCGACAACGTTGTGTAAGCAAGTGTAGATATAGAAATACGAGAAGGTCGGGATGGTAGATAATCTTTGTAGCGTAACTCCAATTCTTCCATTTCACGCGCCAGCTGGGCCTCTAAATTCTACAAAAGAAAAAGGTCAAGATTTTTTGTTTAAAGTTTTGTTGTGTGGATTTTATAGAATTCACTGAAGATGGAATTTCTAATGAAGATGGAGTATTTATCTAGAAAATATGTACGATAGCCTAGACTAATTAAATATCTATAAATAATGACTAAAAATTGTTCGTTCGAAGATTACCTTCAATCTATAGTTTTCAACAACAAATAAAAAAATTTATTTATAAAATGACCTAATTTTTATTTTTTCGCGTTCAATAAATCATTAATATCACAGTTTTAATACGGTCTATACAAATATCAGCTCACTTTTGAAAAAATACAAATGTTTACACAATAAAAAAATATTCACTATGCTTATTTCACATCGTACGTTTTATGATTAAAGCTTTTATTCATGTAGCATAAATTAAAAAATTATAACGTAAGCATGAATTTAAAAAAATAAATATAAATGTAAAAAAAATGTAAGAATTATGTAAATAGATACAAAAAATCAATTGTTTACCTGTTTTCTGGGTTTCAACTGCGCTTTCCACTCCCTCAATTCTTTCGTATATGCCTCCTCCTGTTCTTTTAGTTTCATCGTCTCATGCTCCATCAACATCTTCCTTTTTTCATTTTGCAACTGTTCTAGTTCTTTGATTGTCGCATCGCTCTGCGCTCTTACCTCTTCCAACTGTCTTGCATGCTTCAATTCAAATCGCTGTTGCTCAGCTCTATATCTCTTTTTCTCATTTTCTTGGAATTTTTTCAGTTTCTCCCTCTCAGCATCAGGATCTGGCGTAAGAGTTGAGGAAATTGAAATTCTCATAGATTCTCTAAACATCATTTCTCTAGCTTTCATTTCATTCCTTATTCGTTTCGGTAAATTTCTGCGTTCAATTGTCTGTCTTTTAATCAACTCATCTTCCTTTCTTAAGTTCATTCTTTTCATCTGCTCCAGTTCTTTGTCGTGCCTTATGAGCATTTGATGTCGTTGTAAAAAGAAAATATCCTTCAACTGTTTCTTCAATAACTGCTGCCTTTCATGAATTTGCCTTTCTTCCAATTCCCAAATTGCAGCCTCTCTGTTACGCATCAATTGTTGTTTTTGCTGAAGGAATTGTCGATCCATCAATGCAATTTTTTCTCTGTAAGAATCTGAAAGCCTTCTCAACGAAGTATCATGACTGTCATTTAATTTTTCCATGAATATTTTTTCTCTTTCTTCATGTTCTGCTTCTAACTTCTCTTTTCTAGTTTTGAATGCACTCTTTCGTTTCTCTTTGGGCATCAAATCTACTTCTTGTTTTAAAAGTCTCAACTCTTGTTTCAGGCTTTCTCGGAATTGTTTCAATTCTCTTTCTTGTTCACTACGGATTTTTTTCGAAGCCAAACGGAAATCAGCTTCTTGTTGAGCTTCAGCTCGTTCGATTTGTTGTCTCTGCTGTCTTGTCAAATTTTCTAAATCTGCATCCGCACCACGTTCCAACATCTGTCTTTCTTGCTCAAACTTCCTTTCTTGTTGATCCTTTGTAAAGTGAGCTTTTTGCGTCAGATCTTGGAACTGTTTCTGCTCCATCTTTTGTAACATTTTCAATTCTCTCAACTCTTGCTTCCGGAATATTTGATCATCATAAATTCGACCATTTTCATCATCTCCATAAATAACTTTTGACGTTGTAGTTGTTACAACAACTCCATCAATTTCGAATTTTCTCGTTCTCTTTCTTGTTTTCTTCTTCAAATTCATCATTTGAATGTCTTCCTTAGTTTTCGTTCTCGGCACTTCTCGATTATATTCAGGCTTTCTTCTCAAAACAACTCCATCATCTTCCTCCGATTGTCGAGATTCATGAACCACATGATTTTCTTTATTCGATCCTCGACTATCTTGACTAATTGTTGTGGAAATTGACTCAGCATCTGATTTATCAATAGATTTGTTTGGAGTATGTGATCGAGTTGAGCTGGCATCACTGTGAGATCGAGAACCTTCATAACAATCGGGTGACGTTCGTTTGGTCTTGATTTCTTTCTGATTTATTACTCCATTCATTTTTTTTATGCCAACATTATCAACATCTGTTGCACTTACCGTTGTTCCAGTGATGATCATTGCAGTTTTGTTCGCTTCGTCACCACTATCACTCTTGGAGCTTAATCTTTCTGAACTTAAATCACTATGCGACGATTCAGATCGTATAACATTTTGTTTCCCAACAATTGATGAATCTTTGACTTGTTCTTTTTCATCTCCAACAGTTACTACAGACACGTGACTAGTATCCTGAAGTTCATCGACAATAGGACTGACAATAATGACCTCAGATTCATCTAATTTCTTACCGATTCGCTTAGAGGCTTCAGTAATAATGATTGGTTGTTCTTGAGGTGTGTATTCCAATGAATCTAAACTTGTAAATCCATCATCATCAGTAGAGCTTTCATTTACTTGAGTTTTATTCGTCTCATTGGCTACAATCACGACTTCTGAAGATGGAGATGGTCTCAAAAGAGGTAGCGTTGCTGCTGCATCGATCAAAACTGGTGGATGCGTTGTTACTACTGTTACTTGACTTATATTAGACGCCAAACTATTTGAAGGATCTGGAGAATCTGAAGTAATGCGAACTGTGGTTGATGATGATCTAATATCTGGTTCTTGAGATTTGCCAGTTATCACTACGACATCTCCATTGTCTTGTCGAGTTACACTTCGACTTCTCACTGGTGTCGATGTAATTACGGATACCACACTTGAATCTTGTCGGTGGACACTTCGATCCACCATGTCACGATTCTTCTCTTGAGCAAGAGCGTTTTTGTTAAACTCTGGGGCAAATTTATTGTCCGGAGAGTCGAGTCTTGATGAGTCTACACTTCTGCTCTTTGTTAATTCCGTCTTTGGACTTTCGTAGTTAGTTTTTATGTTTTCTACAGAACTTGCTTTTACATTTTTATCTACCATTGAAGCTTGATGCTTTTCCGATACCATAGATATACGTTTTTCTAAGACCGCTGTCAATTTTTCTTCCACCGATCGACGTTTTGCGTCCAAGCTTTTCCTATTTTCTGACTGTTTTTCATGTCTTGGACGTTCGTGTACTCGATCTCGAACTCTAATGAGAAAATAAAATAAAAAGTAAAAACAATGTTATATATTATTACTTGTTTTTTGTATAAAAGTAATCTCTTACCCTTTCAATTCTTCTAATGAAGTTTGTTTATCTTGACTTAATTTCCTCTTTTCAACATGCACATTCTCTTTTATTGCTGTTACGTTATCTTCAACCTTTTCCACCGATAACTTTTTATTTTTATCTACTGTTACTGATGAATTAGAAATATCACTGACATTATTTTCACGAAGTACTGTTGGCTCTTTTTCTACTAAATCAATCGTAACTGGTCGTTCATTTTTATCTACAGAATTCATTTTCTCTATGACTTTTGGAGGGCTTTCAATTTCTTCATTCCGACTATTTTGACGTATAGGTGGTGGTGGTGGTGGCGCTGGTCCTTTTTCACGAGATGTACGACGTTCATTACTCTCTCCCGTTGTTGGAGGTTTTGGTGCCTTTAGAAAAATTAATTTTTTTTTTAAGAATAAAAGTAATTTATATAAGAAAGTTAATGTAATTCTTACAGGTTTTTTATCAACAGATAAAGGAATATTTTCCTTAGATTCTGTTTTACGGAGTTTCTTGTTCTTTTCTTCTTTTTCAGAGTCGCGGTTCATCTCACGCTTATTGCTTTCCTCCTTCTTCGGTTCTTCCGGCGACACAATATTATCCTTTTCAGCAACTAAAGAAATAAATTGACAATTAGTTTTTTTTTAATAAAAGGATTACATCAATTAATTTTAGTTAAAAGAAAAACTAACGTTTAACTTCAGTGTCGCTGCGCATCGACGTTGAATCATCTGCGAGTTGGTCCAACTCCAGAGGCAGCTGCGACGTGCGCTGCTCCTGAAAGAGTAAATAAAAAGAATATATTAAAAAATATAAAAGTAAATATTTTATAAAATAAACTGTAAAATTGAAATATATTAATTTAAAAATCTAATATTAAATGAAAATTGATTACCCGTGAAGATGTTGAATCTTGAATTTAAAAAAGATTTTATTAATAAATGCACATGTAGATTGATTAATACTATATAATATTTTTTTTAACCGCAACTAAAAAGATACTTCATATTTCTGATATAAAAAATTATGAGTAATTGATATAAAAAAATGAAGCTAAATTTTTTGAAATTGAAAAAATTCTGAAAAATTGGAATCTAAATGAAAGGGTTATAGTTACTGACCTGACAGTTGGATGGGTGATGGGGCTGGCGAGGCCCAGGAGAGCCGCATGCACAGCCAAATGTTAAAAATTACAACAGCACATTCAAAATTTAATTGAAACATCGGCTAACTTATAATTATAGAAATTGATTAAACGTTTATCTATTGAATAAAAGATAATCTACCAAGACATCTAAGTCTGTAGAAGCTAAAAGAAAAATCTACAACTTGATAAATATCTCTAGCCTACATTGAACATTCATTCATTCTAATTTAAAGATTAATGTAAATTTTATCAGGAATTATTATTTTATTTGTAAACCATGGATTCATTAAAAATGTTTGTAAAATGAGGAAAAATTATGTTTACAATACAAAAATAATAAAAAACGAAGGATAATATTTAAAAAAATTCAATCACAATTTCCAATGCAAGGCGTAGCAATAAAGAAAAATGGTTTTTTCAACATCGATGCTACGTATTGTTGTCTCGGGAGCAGCTTACCAATCCGCTGATACTGTTCTCTGTGTTTTTTCGCCTTTTTGGCCTTCTATCATTGTGCAAGCGTGTAAAATAATTTATATAATCATTTTTTCTTTTAAATCGAATTAAACGAAAAATATTTTTCAATCAAAAAATATTATAACAAGCCTAATGCTTGGATTTATAATTTATTTTTACTCTTTCTCTCTCGCTTTTATTATTTGAACATGCCTACTCTAAATAATCAGACATTATTTAAAATAAAAAATTGAACAGATTTTTTTAAAACAATTACTTCTTGATCATAGATTTTCACTATTAAAAAAAATTCTAAAAATCTGTTCATTTTTTTATTACTTTATGTCGTAAACTTGCAATAACCAATGCAGTTTTTTTGATGTCAATAAAGTTAAATTGATGTATGACGTGCGAGGAGACTATGTATCCCGAGGGTTTACGAAAACTATTATAATTGATTTAATAGACAATATAATAATGTAAATTAAAATAGCAATAAATCAATAAACTTACTTCGGCTTCTTCATCGACAAGCTCTTCTTCAACAACATCAGCCTTGTATTCTAATAAAAGATCGCGGATTGGTTTCGAATCAAGCGTCCGATTAATAAATGGGTGCTTGAGAAGTTCATCTGCAGTAGGCCTCGTTGTTGGATCTTTTATTAAAGCTTTTGCTATAAAGTCATTAAATTCTTTACTCCATTTTCCTGGTTGCTCTAGCTTGGGTGGATCACTCTTTTGAATCTTTAATAATACTCTCATTGGTGACATCTCATGATTAGGAGGTTCCATTTGAGCAAATTCTATTAATGTTATACCCAGAGACCAAATATCCACCTATTATAATAAATCATTTGTTATTACAGAATATTTAAAATTCTTTCATTCATTTTTCTATGCTATTCGTTGGTTTTTTTTGTTAAGGAAAAATTTTTTTACAATCACCTTGAAATCGTATGGGTTGTCTCGAAATGTCTCACATAATACCACTTCCGGCGCCATCCAATAAGGCGTACCAATAAACGTATCGTGTTTCTGCAATGTATGTTTATTCTTTGCAGATACACCGAAGTCAGCTAAAAATTATTAAAAATGAATAATCATATTTTTATTCATCACATCATGTTTAATCATCTAGAGGTATTGCGTAAGAAGTTTTTTTTATTTCAATAAAAAAATCTTTTAACTTGTTTTCATGATTGAAAAATATTTTTTTATAATAAACATCAGTATTTTGATCGTATAATGTTCTGTTTAAAAATAAAATTAGCTTGACATTATTGATCTAACTTGATATAACATGAGCAAAAATTGCATGAGACATTTTACTTTTTATCGACGTTCTGCAAAACGTTATTAAGATGCTTATTATAGTTACCTACTTTTTAGAAGCATTAAAAAAGTGGAGTGAATATTTTCTATAAAAAATATTTCTAAGCGCCTTTTTTTCCACATAAAAAAACATTGAGGTTTTTTTTATGTAAAAACCTATCATTTTCATAAAATAATCTACTACCATCAGTATAAAATTATAAAGAAAACTTCAATATCCATGATTAAATGTGAATTGCATAAAAAATTACCAATTTTCACTCCACCAGCCATTGTCAATAGGACATTTCCGGCTTTCAAATCCCTATGTATGACTTTCGATTTGTGTAAAAAAGAAAGGCCTTTGGTCATTTGTTGACATACATATGATATTTGTGGCTCGGTCAATGCTTTTTCTAATTCAACCATAATCGAATCTACAGCACCACCGTCGCAGTATTCAATTAACATCTGAAAACGGTTAAATATTAATTAAAATTTAAAGACCGTAAACAATAATCATTTATATTTAACCAACTATTTACGCTCTAAGTATAAAATAGTAAAATAGCGATAAAACTAAAAATAAAAAAATTGTACGCAAGTTCTTACCCATAATTTTCCATCCATAAAATATGCTTCATGGAGTTCAACGACATTTGGATGTTTACACTCAGATAAAATGTCGATTTCTATCATAAAATCGCTCAGATCATCTTCACCTTCTAACGCACACATTTTTGCAGCAGCCAGCTGTTGCGTTTGTTTATGTTGTGCCTTAAAAAAAAATACATATTTAATTGATGAATAAACTCATTAGAATTAAGTACTAACACACTTAAATAATTTTTATTGTTAAAAAGCCATTGAAGTAGTAATAAATTTTTACGATCATTCATTGAACATATTAATCATAAAAAATAATTAATGAAGTTTAAATGATTACGCTATTACGTTGTATTGATAAGTTATATTGGTAGCTCTTTAACTAATGAATTATGATAAAAAAATATTTACCTTGTAAACTTTACCAAATGCACCATCACCAAGTTCTCCAATCATATCCCAAAATTCTGATGGATCACAATCCATTTTAATATTATTATAGAGTTTTTTCTTCTTTGCATCATTGCCACCGAAGTGGAATGCTTTCTTTAAATTTGATAGAAACGACATTTTCTTTTATTATAATGACTTTTCGTTTTCTATTTTCACTCTTATTTTTCGATTTTTGTTAAAGCAAAAAATAGTACAATACACAAAATAAGAAAATCTTTTCTTTTCAATTTATTTCTTATTCTTATCTCTTTTTGTGTTTATTCTTCTTTAATTATCTTCTTTGATTCTTTGTTTATATAAAAAGATTAATTTATAGGGACTAATTTTTATTCTATTACTAATTTTAGATCCCCACTAGCCTCCAGGGGATCAAATTTAATATCTCCCGCATCTTGATAAGAAGGAAATGGACAATTTTTCTCAGATAGTTATCAAAAATCCTGAGAAATTGATGCCAAAAATGGGTAAAGGGTCCATTTCTTGTTAAATTTTACCAAGTTTCTGAAAAATAAAAAATTCATGATCAATTAAATGTATATTAATAAATATGAATTCATGATCAAATATTTATTTCAAAATAATTTAAATAAAATAAAGAAATTGAAAAAAAGGTTCAGCTGTAAAACTAATGATAAATTTCTTTTTCTTAATAAAGAAAACTGGAGCGTTGAAGATCTGACATTCCACAACGAGAGATCACGTTTTTTGTTAACATTTCCAATAACTTTAGAAAGGAAAATCATCGAGATCGAAAATAGAAAAAATTTGAGAGAAAATTATTTTTCAATAACATCGTTTTGGAATCGATTTAATAATCAATGAAGAAATAGTTATAGATGCAACAAAAGACAGTTAACAATAAACAAAAACAACACTAATTTTTTCTTATAGAATAAAATTTAAACACACATAATTTATCAACATGTTTATTAATAAATAAACTTGAATGACAACATAATATTGATGACTTAATTTCTGATATGAAATAATTCTCAATAATCTACTTGATCGAATTTCACTATCATATTTATTACAGAAAAAAAGATATACCTAAGAGAGTCAAAGTAATTAATTTTAGACCACAAATAAAAATCAGGTTCTATTTATCTAGTTTATCTAAGCTTGATAAAACGTCTGGTATTTTTAACAGATAAATAATTATGATAAAATCCTTAAACAGAGTAAAAGAATATACAGTTCACACTTGATGATTCAATGATTACAACACATTTTCTTTGACTTTGCAAATTGTATTATCAAACAAATGTTATTATAACAATCACAAAATATAAATATAAACGATAATAATAAAAACAAAAAAGGTAGTATATTTACTCAAACAATGAAAAAATTAGATAATGAAACAATTTAATATTTAATGAGTTTGCTACATAATCTAGTAAATATATTTTTATGTAGATTTACTCATGATAATCGACTAGCGTAACGCATAATTTATGAACGTTACAGTTGAACGCACGAAAATAACATTACAAATTTTTATTTCCATTAATTTTTTTCAATTTTTAAAACAATATTTTTCATTCATCAATGTTAAATAATTCTTAATTAAGTAATAGCAATAATCAAATACTGCTCCAGATTGTTGTAAAAAGGATTGTAATAAATTATTAACAAGAATTTTAAGCTACTTTTTTAAAAAATCCACAATAAACATGACTCCATTTCTAAGAAATAAGGCACGTTTGGAAGAATGTGGTAAACTGAAAGAAGGAAAATGGAAACAGGTGTCAGAGAAAATTAGTAACAGTATAGCTGACACAATTTTGACAATTTTCTAAGCTTTCATATTCAATTAAAACTCACTAAAAGATAAAAAACATCAATTCGTTTTCTTTTCGAAGAAAGTTAACAAAAATAATGAGTACTGATTGATCTCATAGAATAAATAAACAAATAGTCTAAGTTAATAACATGAAATTCTATTACGAACATAATTCAATTAGCAATAAACAGATTTTTCATCGTATCTTGTCGTTCAAGTGCTAAAGAATCGGGCGCGTCCTCAAACAACATTTAAGTGTCAAGATTTGGCGAAAAAACAAACTAATTATTCAATATAATAAAATTTGTAAAAATTATAGAGATACATCTTTATGAAATCAAGAAACATTATTTATCTAAACAAACCATGAATCAAATTATTTGTTTACTTAATTATTTTTTTCTAAAGTGAAAGGTCATAAAGAATCGACAATTTCTTACCTCTCGCGCGTTAGGATTAACAATTTTCACGTTAACAATATCAATATTGTATTTATTTAATCACTATATCAACTTAATAATATTCACCATTAAAAACACTTTGATATTCATTAACTCTATTTCATAATAAATATCGAATAAATTTAATATTTTAGATAACAAATTAGCACACAAATAACTCAGTCAGTCGTCTGCTTGTGCACGGCCATTTTAATCGCAAGACGACACGCCTGGAAGTGACGTAATTTATAAAAACTGGCAGTAGAGGTCACTTTCTGTAGATTTGGAAAAATTCCCTAAAATGCTTTCTTTTAGGGACACCAAAAAATAGATTCTAGAGAATTTTGAATGTATGTTTTTTATTAAAGCTCTCTTTTTGGTGGATGTTTTTATTGCAAAATTTATGCGCAATAATTAATTATTTTTAAACTGACACGACTCGATTGTTTATGATATTAATTGTCTAATGTCAATAATTACGATCCAAGTCTGGGTACTATGAATAATATATAAAATACATAAATTTCATAAGAGAGTTGAACAACTGATAAGGTTAAGTTTGAAAAACTTCTACTATTTTGAATTTTAAAGGTATTTTTTAATTAATTAGAATTAGAATTATGATTAATTTAATATTGAAGATGTTTACTTTTTAATCGTCAATAATTTATTTTTTAATTACTCAGAAATGGCGAAGGAACGAGGAGTTATTATGCCTGTCATTCGAAATTTCTTAAATTCTTTCATGCCTCGAAAAAGCAAAGTAAGATTCGTGGGTGAAGATTATCATGGTACAAAATATTATGAAGATCCTGAACGTCTAAGAAACCGTGGACGTTCGTATGAACCAGCTGATCCTGAAAATTTACACCCAGAAATACCACCTGAGTGGGAAGCATGGCTGAGGTACAGAAGAGCAAATCCACCAACTCCTGAAGAAGTAATGGCCAACTATGAATTGATGATGACAAAAAAGAAAAATGCTGCAGAATTAGAAATCCAATACAATAAAGAGAAAGGAAAAACTGTTGAAGCTATACCGTCAAAACCTCAATTAAATTTTCCTACATATGATGAGTACAGTAATTACGGGCAGAATTACCAAATAAAACCAAAAAAATAAAGTTATGATTGTAGTTTTAATTCCTTACTGATCTATATTTACATAATAATTGATAATTAATTAATAAGACCAGCATTGTGATATAAAAATTGTAAATATTTATTGTAGTAGTGATATACTAATACATTAAATGTTTTTGTTTGAAGACCAACAATTTTATTTTAAATTAAAAGTTAAATTATAATCAAGTGAAAAACTTCACTTATTCAGTCGATATTCTCAGAAATAATATTTTAAGATAAAAATTTGCAAAATTAATATAATTGACAATTTACATTTATCTAATTAGGCTACTTTATCAGAAATTTGAAGTTCCTGGAATTGTACAGAGTATTATTATCAATCTAACAATTATTCCACATCACTTAATTTCGGAAATAAACAAAACGGTTGAAGTCATTATTTCCAATTTTCTTACAAAGTAACTATTTATAACCCGTCAATAAACACTAAAGTTTTTCATAAAAATAAAAAAAACCGCTGAAGAACAAATAGAGAAATAAAAAAAAATTCTTCAACCTGAGTAATCACTATGATCAAATAATGCTTGATCATAAAGTTCACCTTTCACTAGTCGACCACCGAAGTAGCGACCGTTTAAGGAATCTCTTGCACGTTCGGCCTCTGCAAATAAACAATAAGAGAATAAATTAGCATTTTTAATAAGACTATATATTTTTATAGGAAAAATAATAATTTACTAACCACTCATTCGTGAAAAAACTACAAATATTTTAACGATTACTTCAGCATCCTCATCATCTTCAGATTGTCGTTCATTATAAATAATAACTCGTTCTACAACACCAAATTTAGAACATTCATCTTGAATTTCTTCTTGAAGGCTTTGATCTACGTCTTTTGGAGTAACCATATTTCTAAGGATAACAACACGAGATTCGACTTTTCTCATCAATTTTTGCATGACTAAATGTCTGGCACTCTGTCCTTTAATTGACATATTTTCTTGTTGCTGAAGAGTTTGTGGTTCAGTTTCTTCGAGCAATTTTTTCTGTAATTCTTCTTGTTGTTTTTGATGAGCTTGCTCTTGTGCTCGTCTAGTGATATCAACCATTGGTGCCGTAGTTACCGGAACCTAGAAAATTAAAGAGCTTTTCTTAACTTAATGTATAATAAAAAGAATGCTACAACTTCTTTTTAATGTAATATTATATTAAAACCGAAAAAAGTAAATATAGACAATCGTAAATGAATATTACGTAGGCGAAGGTGTAGGCAAAAATCAACTATAAAGTATAAAAATGTATATTTACCACTGGAGTGCCAACAGCAGTAGGTGCGACAACAGCAGGAGGTGGAATGATGACAGGTTGTCCAGGGATTGGTTGAATAATTGCTGGAGGTCGTGTTAGTGTCTGAGGAATAGCAATTCCAGGTGGGGGAATGACTGGAGTAACAGTTGCAATTGCTGGAGGTGGAATAATCGTCGTTGGTGCAACAGTGGGTCGAACAATGCCAGGTAAAGCTGAAAAAAGTAAAAAAAATTTCATCAACATATTTCATTCTTCTGTGAAAATTTTTTTTTGTACAAATCACTTACTAGGAGTTAATATCGGTGAAGCTGCAGCCCCTAATTTTGTGAGACCAAGAGCAACAGCATTACTTGCAACAGCGTCCATTGCTTGAATTTTAGCCGTAGCAGCAGCAGCAGCAACAGCTGCAGCTGTTGGCATCATACTTGTACCACTCGGGGGTCCCATCAATGCATTTGGCGGTGTAATAGCTCTTCCAACTCTTAAATATTGTCCACCGAGATCAAACAAATTCATAGAAGCAATTGCTTCAAGTGCAGATTGCATTGTTTCATATTCAATAAAACCGTAACCTTTGTGACGATGTGGAGAACTTCCTTGAGCTAATTTGCAATATGTTATTGGCCCAAAAGCCTCAAAAACTGATTTAATATCATCTTCTGTTAAGTCTTGATGTATTGAAGCAATATAAATTCGATTGTAATGCTTGCTTTCTTCTGTTATTTCATCAATTACTGATTGTGCTTGAGGCATATTTGATGGTCTTCCTACCACCTAAAAAAGATTTTTCTTTTAAATCTTATCCAACATATATTTTTTAAAATGATTATTATTATTAGGTATTAAATGTGGCTTATAGTTAAGGATGGAGGTCTACTATGAGAAAGATTAGAAAACAAATTAGTATGTAGAAATAATGATTTTAAAGTTAAAGGAAAATAAAATTCTGCCGACCTCCGGTGATGAGGAAGGATCACGGGAAGATGGGGAATTGGTTATATGGGTACGTCCAGCTACCTTGATGTTACGGCCACCGATCATCACTCCATTCATTTGTTCAAGCGCTAATTGCGCTGCTTCCGGAATTTCGTATTCAACAAATGCAAATCCTTTATGTTTTTGCGTAATAGGATCCCAAGACATGTTGATAGATTTTATTGGTCCAAAAGGCAGAAATGCCTGACGAATAGTGTCCTCTTTCAGCTCAAAGCTAATGCTTCCAACATAAACTCTGTACAATAATAAATTATTAGTACATAGTTTCTATTTGTTTAGGTAATATTATAACTACACTCATTAATTTCATACAAATACAACTAAGAGTATCATAAATAAAATAAAAAGGAATAACTTCAGGATAATGAAAATAAGAATCTTGAATGTGAACAAAAACATCGGGAGTAGCTGAAAGTTAATAGGATAAAAAAATTAATTAATTAGTAATTAAAGATCTGGATGATTGGAGGTTTCTTGAAGCAAAGAACAAACCTGCACATGAGGGCGAGAGCCTGCTGTCTCTGCACTTGATTCCGTTGACTAGCCATTTGCTGTAACACAAAGGACCATCGGCCTTCTATTGATATCCCTCCCCCTTTTTTAAATTTTATTAATAATTAAATGATTTTTTAAAATCTAATCTTGTCTCGTTCACATCTATTCTCTTATAAAAATATAAGATTCAATGAATAATTAATTTGCCTTATTGATTCTTATTTTTTGTACGTAAAAAATATTATATTTCGTTCATGATACAGCTCAGCTCCCGCCAAATGAGAATTTCGTTTGACTTAATGATTTTAATTTAGATTACATGATAATTTTTGTTAATTTTGATGAAAAATAAAAGTCACGAGACACTAACCTGCACATTAGCAATAATACTTGCTGCTGTAGGACCAATTTATTCTTCTGTAGGGAGGAAAAATTAACCAATCAGAGTTATTTCACTTAGCGTAATAATTTTTTTTGCTCTTTTAACTCTTGCGGGTCGAGCTTGTTTTTTTATCTATAAACTACTCTAAGCTTTTTAAGATGAAAGAATAAAAATTAATTAATATTCAAAAATATTTAAGAGCTTAAAGCTCATGCAATTAATTGGTATTAATTTTATTTTTAATATATTATCAAATATTTAATGAAAAAAACCCCGAAGATGTGACGGGACTAAATTTAATTATTGATAATAATATAAATTTTTTTAAAAAAACATTTCAAAAAAGTATTAAATACAACTTTAAATTGACTAGAATTTCAAAAAAGTTAAGTATAAAATATTAAATTTTATTGAAATGTTTTTGATATGTTTTAAAATGATTCTGGTTAAATGATGAAATGTTATTATAATTGTGATGATAAATACCTGCTGTTGATGAGCTAAAGTTTGTTTCATCAAGACCATCTTGATGCTTTGCTCCATAGCATATTTTTTAGCTCTATTAACTGCATCCTGCTGTTCAGATGAAATTTTCGGCAGTCCGGCTCCAAGAATACCCGGAAGCGTAAGATATTTTGCTCCAGGTCCTAAAATATATATTTTATTACTATTCATTTTTATTCCAACATTAAATAAATAATTTACTTTTAATTATTTTAATAAATCAGATCTTATCAGCTAATGCTCATGAATTTTTCGGAGACTACAATCGACACATCTTTAATCGATGTGTCTCAACAAAAAAGAATCGCTATTTTTAATTTCATCATCAAAGATAGAACAAGACAATAAAAATCAATATCAAATGATTATTCTTACTCCTGTTAGTATGTCAAGTACTACTTTATTTTATTATTTAAGACTACATTTTTAAAGTAACTTTACAATGATTTATTTTCTAGTCTAAACCAAATAATTATAACAGTTTTACATATTTATTATTTTTCTTACCCGCAATGACTTGACCCGTTTGATTGAGGTCATAAATTGGCCCTGATAAGAAGTCCGAAGCATTGCCTACGAAGAAATCACAAATTAGACTTAAATGATCATTATGGATACAACTAATATTACATATCTTTATCATTGCTTAAATATCGATTCATTTATTTTTAAATTGAATTATTCTCATTATCCAATTTCGAATCATATTACTTCATACAATCAACTTATTACCGTTTAGAAATAACTTTTTTGCAATGATAAAGATTATATTCAAACATTGTCATACAATTTACAGAAAAATTTAATAAAGAATTTCAAGATTTCTGAAAAAATGGTCAGAATTATTAGATTAAAAATAATTTTAATTGAATATGTTTAAATGTAAATAATTTTCTTTTTTAAAATCAAAAGTAATGAACAATAAAATGATAAAATTGAATTGAAAGTAATAATGAAAGAAATTTTTTAATAAATATAAAGAAAAATGGAAAGAGTAAATAAATAATATGACATTTCTTTTTAAGAATCAGATAAAGAAAATGTTTGAATAGAAAATAAGAAGTTGAAAATAAAGTAACGTCGCCATGCAGCTGCTCCTAATGGCCAAGTATCACCCGTCAACACTGAAAGTTCAAAGAAATTAAAACAATCAAGGCTTAAAAAAGCGAAATAATTTTTTTCTTATACGAGTAAATGTATAAAAAGCCTAGATATAAAGAAAATTGAAAAATCCTACATTATTGATTATAATTACTATTTATCATTATAATTTTTAGCTAGTTTTGCTTTAATTTAATGAAATACTTTCATCAAAGTCATGATGACAGAAAATTTTTATGTTTATTTTGTATTTAAATCAGTTCTACTTGAGAAATAATTGGATTTTCGTTGAAAGGAATACTTTTTTCACATCATACAAAACCTGGGTTGATAATATTTAATTTTTAGCGATATTCACAACCGCTAGACTCTGGAACAGAAATCAGAACACGTTGAAAACGTAGTTTTGATCGATATCTGTTCGATTTTTGTTACATACTTTTGTCAATTATTGATATAAAAAATATACAGAAATTTTTATACAGAATAATTTGTTTAGTGATTTTTTATTCAATGGTGAATCAATTGAGTGATTATCAACGCCTAACCGTGTTCGGGAGTTGAGCAAGAGTGGTTGTACACAAATAATCCAAAAGACTTGATGCGACGCAGAAATCTGTAAGCACAAAGCAAAGGAGGATACGCTCAGTGCATTTTCTGCGCCATTTTTATTCATTTTGCCTTTCTCAAACCCTAATCAACGAAGCTAAACCCTAGATTTTTGTATTTTTTATCAAAGAAATTTTTAATTAAATTTTTTTCAATTTTAAATTGCATGTTTTCTAACAAGCAATGGCGATCCCAGCTTTCCATGATCCTGCTGTAATTATATGTCATAAACTTACCCATGATTTATCAAAGTAAAGTTTAAAATTTATTAATTTATATTGAATTAATTATTATCGCCACTGCCTTGCTTGATTATAAATTTCTATTTAATCAATATTAACTTATAAATTAATTAAAATATATTTGATAGCTTAAAAAAATTTAAATACGTTTTGACAATATTATTTTAATAATTCAGTAAAAATAAAAAATTATTTCTAATAATCATTCATTTCATTTCATAGAATTTACGTAATCTAGACCATGATAGTCATATTCATTGATAACGTAATTATTATTCTTGTAACACTTATTTTTTAATCATCACAGTCTAGATGTTTTTCAGTACATGAATATGATGTTATTTATGTAACAAAAAACAAACAGCTGCCAACAAGGTTACTTCAGAAATAAAGTATTTCTTCAATTTGTTATATTCATTTTCGTATCTTCAGTTTATATCAATGGCTAAAAAATTTTTTATTAAAAAATTACTGTCTTAAAAAATATAATCCAAATAAAAACTCTATATTTACAATATCTTCTCTAATTATCTAATGACTCATGGTTGTAAGATAATCATAAATATTATGAAGAGAATTTTAAATCCATTAGAAAGCTAAATATAATTAATGTCAGCAAAACAAATTGTAAATTAGGATTAAATGATTTTAAAGACTGAATTATCAGAATAAGTGAGCACAAAGTTATAGATAAAAATACTATGTCAAATAGAAATTTATAATCAAGTAAGCTATTGTAGAATTATGACTACCCTAAATGCTGACCTATCTAATAAATAAATCGAGCGAATTATTGGTACTCGATATAATACTGCTGTGTCAGTAGGAGTTTGCAAAAAACTCATATTCATTTCAGTTCGAATTGTAGCGTTTCACTTTCATTCGTTTGGCGCACGCTCATGATCACAGCTCAGATGAAGGCCACAGATTCTGTACTGTCTCCCTGCTGTAACATCTCAGAACAGAAGGATAACCAAACATTAGTTTTATTTACGGCTATCTTTAATCCGTTTTTTATTTGTTTTTTACCTTCTTTATTTAAAACTATTATGTATTAAACCTAACAAATAAATATTGATCTCAATCTTTTTTATCACAATTCCTTTTATGTTTCCTGACGAAATTTGACATCCATATTTCGCTCAATTATTTATTTTCGTGTTATTTTTTTATTGATTTATTATTCTGTTTTATCTGCATAGTCTTTAATTATTTCATTAAATAACTTACTACAAGTATGAAATATTAGCAAAATACCTTCAACTCGTACTTTCTTCATTGGTGGTTCTGCATTATTTTGACTTGGAGTCCCCTGAAAATGAGTAATTATTAGAAATAGATATGTCATTAAAAAAAAATTATCTAAAAGAGGAATATAAAGAAACAATGGCAACAATTCTTATTCTAATAACTCATTTTATAAATACTTGTATCCATAGTTTTTTACAATTACGAAAATTGTTAAATACTATTTACCTTCTGTTATCATTTCAAATATTAGTAATTGACGGCTTGAACTATTGTTTGTTTTACATTATCTTGAAGTAAAGCTTCATTGAAATTTTTGTATAATAAAACTTTAACGTATAAAAAACGTCTAGTACTAGAATGATGAAGAGTAAAAATATTCATGAAAATGAATCTTATAAAAAATGAAATACCAGCGACTACGGCTAGATAATAAATATATTATTAACAATTGAGTAAAATCAATAACTTTATCGTAAACCGCCATTGCAATATCGAATGTTCTACATAAGTATACAGCAACACGCGAATAATATTGGCATTTTTCTAGATTGGATTACTTACCATAGCCATTGTTCCATTCATTTTTCACAAAATTCACAAAGATCAATATTAAACAGTGTAATTTATTTATTGGTTAATAAATAAATTTTTTGTTGCAATTAAATCACTAGAACTGCACACACAAACCGTGTCGTTAGGGCGACAGCACTCTTCTCTCTCAAGTTCTCTACGGAAATCGCCATACCAATAAGTGTCGACTGCGTTGTTCAAATGTAAACTAAACACAATTTAATTAGACTTTAATTATTTTAATTAGCTATATTTTTTATTTTTAAAAATAATTTTAGACTTTTATTCCTCAAATTATATTTGAATTATATTTTATTGAATTATTTTTTCCCAATTTGTTTGACTCTATTTTGACTTTGGAGTACTAAGTTGGAGTTTCTAACCTAAATTCGGTAGTATTGCCGGCTATACAAAAAATTACATAAAACTTTATTTTATAGATCATCAATTGATATTTTAAATACTTAAAAAAATTTATAAGTAAATTTAATAACGAATTTTTTGATTAATTTTTTAATCCGAAATGGAATGCGAAGACTATCAAGTTCGAACAATCAATGAAGATAAGGTAATAAAACTTGTTTTATTAATTATTTATTTTTAATATTTTATTAAACATCGATAGAATGAGTTTAACTTTATTTATTTTCAGGGAAAAGGACTTTTTGCATTACGTTTATATAAAGAAGGTGAGATAATATTTGAAGAAAAGCCGGTAGTTTGTTGTCAATTTTCGTGGAATGCTGATTATGGTTACCTTGCTTGTGACAACTGTATGAGTCCACTAGAAACAGCTGAAGAAAACGCACGTCGATTAACTGGAAAGAAAGACCTAATACTACCTTATTCTGAATGCTGTGAAACAAAAAAAGATTTGATTACTGAATGCCCTGCTTGTGGAGTAAAATATTGCAGTAATGAGTGTTTAAATGAAGCATTGGTTAAATATCATCGAATTTTGTGTCTTCAATCGCGTGAAAAAAGCGATAGTCATCCACTTATACAATTGAAAGAAACTTGGAAACAAATGCATTATCCCCCGGAGACTGCTACCATTATGCTTTTGGCAAGAATGGTATCATATATAAATCAAGCTAATGATAAAACAGCAGCTTTATCGATTTTTCATCAATTTTGTCACAAAACTACTAATGAAGTTCAAGAAATAACACATAATTTACTTGGAGAAAAATTCATTGGACAAATTGATGTTCTCAGGCAGCTAATGGAAAATGCTTTGAGTCGAGAATACATTCCTCATGTAAATAATAACAAATTAATTTTTATGTTAATATTTACACTAAAGAATAAAATAACTATCTGATATTATTTTTCAGTGGTTTACTCCAGAAGGTTTTCGGAGTTTATTAGCTTTAGTAGGTACTAATGGACAAGGAATCGGAACGAGTGCTTTTAGTCGATGGGTAAAAAATGTATCTGCTTTAGACTTACCTGAAGATCGAAGAATTCAGATTGATAAATTTATTGACAAACTTTACGACGATATGGAAGAAGGTAAGAGTTGAACGTTACTTGCTCATTAATATTATTGGTTGACAATAAATCATATTAGATGGGCCAGTAATTATTTATTAGTTGATTAAATTATAAAATAAAAGAATCATTTTAATTAAATAAATTAAAATAGTCGTAGGAACATTTTTAAATAATGAGGGTTCAGGTCTTTACGTTCTTCAATCATCAATCAATCACAGCTGCTCTCCGAATGCAATAGTTGAATTTCCGTACTCAAATAGTACATTGATCATAAAAGCAATGCGTGATATTCAACCAGGAGATGAAATTTGTATTGGATACTTAGATGAATGTGAGTTGGAACGTAGTCGACATTCACGTCAAAAAGCACTGAGCTCATTATATCTATTTATATGTCGTTGCAATAAATGCATTGCACAAGCTGATGATCCTGATGTAACTTCCGAAGAGGAAGATTACGATCAAGAAATGTCTGATTAAAACAAATAATTGAAGAAAAAAGAATTTCGTAAACACGAATTTTTTTTATTCTAGTTTAATGAAATTTATTTTTTTATTAAATCACATGTTTAGATGATGTTATTTGATAACAATTTTTAAAAGTATCAGCAATTATTGTAATCATGACTATGATAAAATATTTTAATATATTAATTAATTATACAAAATTAATTTCATCAATTGTTCAATTCGTCAAATATATACATATTCAAAAAACATTATTTATGTTTAAAAAAATTAAAATTACATTTAATAATGACTTATGACAAATTTTCAATGTGTATCACGTGTCTTAAGATTTAATTCATTTTTACCAGAGCTCAAAAAATTTGTGATATAATTTGGTAAAGGATTAGAGAGTAATCTTTTCTCTGTCAATTGTACTAAAAAATTTGTAATATTGTGACTCTTAAATTCCCATCTGAAAATGTATATTAAAATAATTATAATTCATAGTAATTCAATTACACACTCATAATCATTAATATACACAAGGTATTAACATAAAATAAATATGGCATTTAATATTAAGAATATTTGTATTAATAAGAATCAATTTTTAAAAAATTCTTATAAATACAATTAGATCGACTGAACTATTAGAGGAAAATGTGAGTTTATGAATTTGATATCAATTGTAGACATTTAGAATAAAGTACATGTTCCGTCGTAAATTATAATAATGTAATGTAGTGAAAGAATAACTCTCAAGATGATACTTGGAAGTATTATTAAAACAATCGAATAAAATACTCACTGCATGTTAAAATTGATATCCGATAATTTCTTTGAAATATCATCATCAGCCCATTGAGTATTGGATTTATTTACAGCTAATACCTCCAATATTGGAGGCTCATTCCCAAAACACTGTTGCAAGTATTCTTTTCGTTGTTTGTGCTGTCGAAAATCTATTCCATTGTCTCTAAAATATTGTAAAATTCACTTAATATAAATTAAACTAATTTTTAGGTATTTTATAAATTATATAAATACCTAATAAGAGCTTCAGCTTCTTGAAAATCAGCTGGATTGCACAAAACATTACTTGTTATGACCCCTTGTTTTTTTAAATGCAATATTTTTACTAATGATTTAATATCACGACCACTAAGTGAAAGTTTTTTATAGGAAGTATATCCAGAACTTTCAGTTATTACATGCAAAAATTCTTTAGTTACACTTTTCTTAGAACAGAAAAAATATCCTAGATCAAATAACAATGCCATAAAAATAGGTAAAATACGATGTGAAGCCTTTTTTTCTCTCATAGAAAGATAAGTCACACTTTCATGCGTTATTAAATTTATTTCCATTTTCAATTGTAACATGTTAAGATTTCTTTCAATTGAGTTACGTATGTCTTCTAATGTACAACAAGATGCACCATTTTTTTTCTGTTTTAATTCATATCCGTACCAAATTTTTCTATTGGAGTGTCTGCTCACCTCTAAAATATAAAATATAGAATTAGATCGTTTAAAACAATCATGGAAAATATACTATCGATTATAAGAATAATTTAAAATAAATTTACCCGTTACTTCTAATATCGTTAAACGCTTTCTTAACTCTCTCTCAATAATTTCTTTTTCCTGAAAAATATTTATTTATTATTATCACAGCGAATTTTCAAGTGTAACTAGATAATATAATGCATAATTTATATTTACATTAATTAATTGTACTATTATTTTTACAACGTTTGTAGTAGTAAACGCTTCATGTTTTTTAATTAATTTATGTTGAATTTCATGCCATGTTGTTTCAGGAAATAATGGTAAAACGATTGACTCCAATTCATGAAATTTGAATTTTTTTATAGCTGATATCAACTGGGATGTAATATTTACAGCCGCTGTATAAACAATTAATTTTAATTACTTATATTATATTCATTATTGGTTAATTATAAATACATAACCTCGTATGATAATTTTAAAACAATAATTATGAATAGAAATTCACATATTTCCAATTATTACTTACAAGGAGGCATTGTGGCTATATTTTTTTACTATTTAGAATATCATTCACCTGTACACGTCCATGTATTATTTATTAATTAAATATTGTTTAAAACATAATTCGAAAATGGACAGAATTTTGGCGCAAAATACAAGCATTTACATTAATCAAATCATTAATTTCCGATTTTCATTGAGCGATTATAAATACTGCAAGTTTTCATGACAAAATGGAGTGTAAAGCCGCAGTTACGACGTTTCATGAAAATCAGACCAAAAGCATCGGGCTGTGCAACAACCAGAGACGCCAGAGACATATGAGACGCATAATATACATTTAGACATGTCTGCTCTGTGATATCGCGTCTTTTGGCGGGCATAATTTTTTGGCGGTATAAGAAAATTCATATTTCTGTGGTAAATAATTCTTTCACTTGTACAAAATGGCTGATAAGGATGGAGGTATGTATTTTTCAATTATTTATTATATTTACATTGTTGTTTTCACAAAATTAAAGTCCAACCAATTGTTGAGAATTGATGCTTCGTGTTCCGGAGTAAACAACTCAATTTATCATTTTTGCATGTCTTCATTTTTTGTAGTTTCTCCTTCTTGTCTGTTTATTATTGAAATAATGAGTATTTTTATTTACTTTACTTTCATTAAAGTAATTTATTTTCTATTATTAGAAACATAATATGACTGCAACGTGTTGCCGGGTTAAATGTTAAGGAGTAGGGGAAACTTCCATCATTATTAATATAAATATTAAATTTAAAGTCAAACATAGTAATAATATCATTTGTTTTTGCTTTTTTTGAAGAAACCTTTGATGATGCAGTAGAAGAACGAGTAATAAATGAAGAATATAAAATATGGAAGAAAAACACACCTTTTTTGTATGATTTGGTGATGACCCATGCTCTGGAATGGCCTTCTTTGACAGCACAATGGCTACCTGATGTTACAAGACCTGAGGGAAAAGACTATTCAGTTCATCGTTTGATATTAGGTACTCATACTTCTGATGAACAGAATCATCTTCTGATTGCAAGTGTACAATTGCCTAACGAAGATGCACAGTTTGACGCATCTCATTATGATAATGAGAAGGGTGAATTTGGAGGCTTTGGTTCAGTTAGTGGAAAAATTGAAATTGAGATAAAAATCAATCATGAAGGTGAAGTTAATAGGGCTAGATATATGCCCCAAAATCCATGTGTAATTGCCACCAAGACTCCATCCAGTGATGTTCTAGTATTTGATTATACTAAACATCCTAGTAAACCTGATCCTAATGGTGAATGCCATCCAGATCTCAGGTAAAGATTTTTTATTTAAAATAATATTCTTATCTTCAACTTATCTTTAATGGAGTAATAATTCATTCATTTTTTACAAAAGATTGCGAGGTCATCAAAAAGAAGGCTATGGTCTTTCTTGGAATCCTAATTTAAATGGCTATTTGCTTAGTGCTTCTGACGACCACACGATTTGTTTATGGGATATAAACGCTACACCAAAAGAAAATCGTGTAATAGATGCTAAAACAATCTTCACAGGTCATACTGCTGTTGTTGAAGATGTTGCTTGGCATCTACTTCATGAGTCATTATTTGGATCCGTAGCAGATGATCAAAAATTAATGATATGGGATACAAGGTAGTTTAATGTAACATCTGAATTGATAAAGTAGTTCATTATAATAAACTTATCCTAATTAATCATTTTTTATTATTTAGATGTAACAACACGAGCAAGCCGAGTCACACTGTTGACGCTCATACAGCAGAGGTCAATTGTTTAAGTTTCAATCCTTATTCTGAATTTATTCTCGCTACTGGTAGCGCAGACAAAACTGTTGCACTTTGGGACTTGAGGAATTTAAAACTTAAACTACATTCCTTCGAATCGCACAAAGACGAGATTTTCCAAGTCCAATGGTCTCCACATAATGAAACTATTCTTGCAAGTAGTGGTACAGATAGACGTTTACATGTGTGGGATCTTAGCAAAATTGGAGAGGAGCAATCAAGTGAAGATGCTGAAGATGGCCCTCCTGAACTTTTGGTAATTAATTTTCTTTAAAAATTTTTAATGCTTTGAAATATTTAATTATTAATTATTATACATAAATGGAGAAGTAGTTATTGAATTGTGAGTTTTACTTATTTTTAGTTTATTCATGGAGGACATACAGCGAAAATCAGTGATTTTTCGTGGAATCCAAATGAACCATGGGTCATATGCTCTGTATCAGAGGATAACATTATGCAAGTATGGCAAATGGCTGAAAATATTTATAATGACGAAGAGCCAGATACTCCTGCAAGCGAGCTGGAAACTGGAGCTTCATAATTGGTAAATAATTGTCGAGTTTTATTATAAAATTTATTACTTCAACAGGTAAAAAGTTTTTATGTCAATTGTGAGTTTTCTATTGTCCTTTCAAATATCATAAAAGTCGAATCTAGTTTCATGATTATCTAAATATTTTTTCTACTTAGTTTTAAGTCTGGATAAGATGATTGACTGAATTGCATATTCCAATAAAAATGTGTTTCTCACTCTAATAGAATACAGTTTTGTTATTTTGAAATATTCTTTTACAATATCCATGACAAATAAATTAAATATTAAAAAAATGTCACATAAAAAAACATGTTTATTTATAAGATTTGCTGAAATTAATTGATTAGATGATTGTCCTGTAACCGTTCATTACTCCAGATAAAATGGCTCAATGCTCTAAGATAGATGATTTGAAATTTGTATTCTTGACGCAATAACTAATGATAGTAAATTTATCATTTACTCAATATTGTATTTGCTTCTTTGAAAAAGTTAATTAGTATTCTCGTGTGGAATGATTTCCATTAGTCCGGTCATATTAAGCATACCAAAAGTTTACCTATTTTAATTTATCTTCTGTAAGTTAATAAACTGTTTCACGGGTGTGGCTTGACCTGTTACGAATTCATAATATCGTAAATAAGATAAATTTATTAAACATTATTAAATAAAGTTAAAAATATTCTTACCTTCGACAAGTTGTGTGTCTTTTAATTCCTTCAAGAAGATTAACTATCGACGGATTTAATATTGGACGAAATATCTAAAACAAAAAAAAAGTTTCTCTCAATAAGATAATATATTGAAATACTTTTTAAAGATTTAGCAAATTTGGTTACGTTTACTGGTGCATTGCGCATTTCACGCAAGTCAATATTTCGAAAAAGATCGTGGACTAGTAACTCTTCTATCGTAGGGTAACGATTATCCGGATTATCGAATATATATTCCATGAGGTCAGCAACCTAGAATAAGATTTTATCATTGAAATAATTTAATTATAATTAAGACAATTTCTGTTATTCAATTTAATGAAAAAACGTTTCAAGTAGGTTCGTTAAAACTTTCCTGAGTTAGAGAGTTCTTTATTAAATTTCTAAATGAATTAAAAAGATTATGTCGAACCTTTTAACTATTATTTCATTTAAATATTATAAGCCATTAATCATTATCAAAATACCTTTTGGTTTCTACATAATTGCATTATTGTGTTGAACTAGATCGGATATTCTTACAAATAAAGTCACTAATAGGATTAGTACTATATTTAAGAAGCAACATTTATTCGGATATTTGGCAAATAATTTATATTTTTAATTATCCGTAAATTCTTCTTAACTTCTGAATGAGCTACTTAGTGCGATAAAGGATTGAAGAAATATATGTTTTATATTGTTTCAATAATAGACGGCTACAAATAAATGTAAATACCAATGGATATTTTGCAACATCTTCATAATGGACCATGGACGGCTTGAATGAGCACAATTCATAGCCTGTACACATTTCGAAGAGCATATGACCTAGAAGGCAAAAAAGAAATCAATAACTATTTTATTTAACTATTGGTCCGTAAAAAATATGCCAAAACTATGATTACTAACGCTACTTCAACATTAATTTCTATTCATGATAATTTTAAATTGAAAATTGTTTTTAAAATTGACTGAATGAATGAATTGATTTAATATCCAAATAATTATCAATCACAATATGATGATGATTTATTTAAAATAAATAGCGAAAAATATAAAAGTCGCCAATTATAAAACTTAAAAATTAGAGCCTACCAAAGCAAATGCTGTCATTGGAGTTGCCATAGGCCAATCGTGAAGTTACGATTGGATGGATTCGACTAGTGAATCCTAGAAGAGAATTCTCCAGTCCAGCTACACGTGCTACACCATTCTGGATAATGACATTTCCCGAATGTAAATGAGTAGCCGTCGGAAATCCTCTTTCTTTTAGAAAAATTAATGCTTCCAAGACTTGACGACCCATCTGTTGAATCTGCGGAAGGTACAAACCATTTCCACGTGTTGCATATTTTTGGCCCCAATCATCATTCCAGCTGTTTTTATCTACCTGTTGGGAGATATTTTGTATAAACAAGAAGTTTTAATTACAAAAAAGCATTTTAGCAATTATAACTTGAACAAAAAATTATTTTCATATTAGGAATTCAAAGGAAATTTCAAAGATGATAAAAAATTCAATTACCCCATAAATAAGATCTTTGAGGCTTCCTTGATTGATTGGCTGTACGACGATAACATAATTATCTTCACCAAATTCAATAAATTCAAGATCGAGGACAGGGCACACATAAGGATGTTGAAGAACGAGGAAAAGTTTGTTGAGAATATCTTTTGTTGAAGGACAGACACTTAGAGGACAATTTTTATTTAGTGGTGCTAAAGTTAGTAATCTGTCAGTTTTTAAAACTTTATCTTTCACAGCAAACCAATATTTATCTACCCGAGATCCTAGAAGTTTTTTAAAAGATTTCAATTACTTTTTTCCGATTAATTTTTTATTTTTAATAGACATCTGATTAATAGTAATCTTTACCAACGTTGTGGAGTTGGTTGATGAGGTCATATCGAGAACTAGCTTGAATATAAACTTCGCAAATGGAGAGTGCTTGGTCCCTCGATCTTTTTTCCATTTCCAAGTATTCAACACCATCTTCACGAGGTGTTGGGCTTTGATCCAGTGATTCATATTGATATCTGCCGTTACTAGAATGCACAAATATAATTACTAAATTAAGATAAAATTAATTTTTTTTTATAAGTATGATTAAATTACATACAGATATATAATGATAAGTTAGTATCTGATCTCTGAGTACGTCAGAAGCTGTATTTAAATATATTTGAGAATCTAGTGTAAAAATAAATTGCTGCAGCTAACGTGTTTCTAGAATTCGTATTAAGAATACTCCATAAATCTTAATGTATTCGTTAAAATATCAGCTGCTAAAAATTTATTTCTCCCTGTTAAGTCCAACATTTTAGCTTGGCTTTTAATTAAAAGCTTAGTTACAAAAGATACTGTAATCTAGAAGCAAAAGCTTTTTGAATTTTTGCATGAATTGTGGTGATGAAACCAAGCCATTGTGATTTTCTTGCTATTTTCTAAAAATATAATTTTTGAACATCTAGAAAAATGTTTTAAATTCGCTCACTTCTTATGTCAAATGAAAGAGAAAAATATGAAATAAATGATATCTAAATCTTCTAAATTTATTTTCATTTATAGTAAATAAATATAAGCTAAACGAATAGTTCAGTGACTAAAATTAATTTTATTTGGACCAAAATAAATAAACATCTCTTAAATCAATATTAACTTAAAGCTCGCCGAAAATGAACAAAATATAGCTCAACTTCTGCTATTAAATTGTTAATTGGATTTGTTCCCATTCTGTTCCCCATAAACAATTTACCAACTGGTAGTTAATGGTGTAGAAGTAAAGATTTATGTAGAGCAGGCTAAGTAGGAGTTAAAAGTTACAGAACCTAACACCTAAAGCCTTAGTTCCTAATATAATAGAAAAGGGATTATTGTTTAGACGGAGAATGACTGTGATAATATTATTTGTTCTTTCATAGAATTAAACTAACCCTTACTTACTTCTTATTTTTTTTTTTACGAAATGTGAATAATATATTCCAATTGTGATGAAAGCTTTTCTATTTTTCACGAAAATTTCTTTCACACAAGAGGGAGAGTGAAATATGCTCGTGGCAGAAATAAGAAGAGTTTTTTCTAGATATTTCTAGCTGCTTTGTGATAGAAGAATATTCCTTGTCATGATAGGGAAGATAACCATATACATGAAATTGTTTTGTCAAGGATCTTTCAGGGATACAATAAAAAAAAATTATGATGCTGGAGTTTTTTCTGACTTGCTGCGTAATATAAACATTGATGTGGGTGTTAATGAGATCTAATTTATTAAAATGAAAGTGAAAAAACTTTCTCCCTCATTCAGATAAGCATCATAAATTAATAAAAAATTTTAGAAAACATCTAAAATGAATTTCTTGATGGATTACGTATTTTATCATGATTTTTTAAATTTAACTAGTGATTTACATTGAACTCAATCTGTTCATTTTAATTATTATTCTGTTGTTTTTGAATTTAAAAGATCTTAATAAGAAAGAATAAATGTCATGAAAATTAATGGCCCGTGGACTGATGATAAGGGTAAGGCATTGAAAGGTTTAAGGATTAACTCTTATAAGAGTAAGGGAGATTAAGAGGGCTACTTGATCTTAACGTGAAAATTACAATCTATAGTTTTTATCAAGAATTTTCAAAAGTTGTACTCGTAAACTAGAGTATGAAAGTAATATAAGTAATAGAATAAGCAGAGGGTGAAAGATGGATAGAGGGAGAATAAAACCAGGAAAAGAAGGTGGCTATACCTATTCATCGTTTTTATACTTTTTTTTTTTAAGCACAAACCACAGTGTTTTTTAATACCAAGCTTTTGTTTACTCTTCTAATTAAATTTTTCTCGTTTCTCATTTAACTGAAAATTATCGAACCGTTACACTTGTAGTCTAGGAAGAAAGTTTTTTTATTTTTTTGTATAAATTTGTACTTTTTAAATTAATTTGAATAATTATCAAAAAGTAAAACTTTGTTTCAAAATAAAGAATTTTTTTTATTCAGGTTTTTTTAAATAAATAAAACAGCGGTGTTTTTAATCAATCGCCAGACTCTACTTAAGTACCTAACATATGATGTTTTATCTATTTGATTGAGGAATAATCGATAAAAATAATAATCAATTTAAGCCAGAAGTGGTTTTTTCCACTTTAATGTTAATTGATTTAGTACTATCTAGCTGCAAGCAATGCTAAAAAAACTTTACACCCGTTTTGGGGTGGAGTCCCACTTCTTGACAACTACCCAACACTAGAAAGTTAATTTGCTATTTATAAATCTGAAACTTTCTATTATAATATGAAAATATTCAACTAAATTTTTCGTTGTGATATTTTATTTTTTTATAAAATTATCCAAATCACCTAATTCCTTCCTTATTTTCTGACAAAAATCTACTGTATAAAATATCAAATTTAAACACTTTATGTTCAATAATAAAAAAAGAAAATAATCTGTCATAATACTAACATAAAACAAATTCATGAATGTTTTCAATACTTATCTACTTGTTAAACGTGAAATAGAATTATCTATTATCCTCAAGGTTTTCAATTTTTAAGATATTACATTATTACGATTCCAATCTTTTCAATTACATAGGTTTCATCCAATAAGTTTAAGTACAGTAATTCTTTCAACCGATAAAGGAAGCAACGAAGAAGAAGAACGAAGTGAAGTATCACATAACTTGTTTATACATTAACTATAAAACAGTAATAACACCAAAATTTACCTCATCTCATTCTCTCGTGATGCTCGAGCAGCTGAGACCCGATTGAAGAGAATTTTCGCTAGATTATCAATTTTATTACTAAGTTGAAATCTGTCTTCTGTACTGCTACTTGCGTTGCTTTCTATACTAGCACTTCGATTATTCCTGACATAATTGCGAGCATTAATCATGGCATTAGTGTCAAGTTCAATGGCACTTTTGGAGCGACGACTAACAGGGCGTTTTTTACGTCTAGGTCTAGGACGTTCCTGGTAAAATCTGTCATGTCCTGTCACATCTGATGCACGACGTCTTACACCATCTCCTTCATCTTTCTTATTCAATTGTTGATAAATACTGAACATTTTTGTCCTGTAATCAATTAGAAAAAATAATTGATTAATTGAATAATTTATTTTGATTGATAAAATAGCAAAAAAAAATGTTATCAATCATTTTATGATGTTGCTTGGGTAAAATGAATTTTTATGTACCTCAATTTTTGTATCACAAGAATGGTTGCTTACATTAACCTCTTATCGGTTCCTTATCACCGCAAGGGGTGAACGACTACTGAAGAAAATATCAGAGTTAGTTGTTGGGGGGTAGATGCTCTTACATCCCTTCCATAGCCTCTAGCATGACACAGATTTCAATGTGAAAAATTCAGGTGGCAGGGGTGGCCTTTGGAGATGCGCCGTGACCGAATGTGTGTACACTCGTCTACAAGCTCACGCGTGTTGGATACTTACAGGGTCAACGAATTCAATTATAGATGTAGTTTAAGTTAATTATTGTACATAGAGTGCTTAATGAGATTAATGCACCTGCCAGAAATATACAAATGGATGTTCAATAAATGTTTTTATATTTTAAACAAACATTTTTGATAGGATGAACATTAGATTAGCTGAACCTTAGGTGAACTTTAAGGTGTATTCCTAAAACAAAAAAAAAATACCAACATCTTAATCCATTATATTTATACTAATAGTAAAATAATGCAAATGATATAATAAAAAACTTACCAGCTTGTTTCTTTCTTATGTCAATTATTGCAGTGAATTAATTTTTTACGAGTGGAGAATGAATTCCTTGAAGGTGAAAGACGTGGAATTGCAGTGGTAAGTTTTTATATTTACAAAACAGTAAGAGAAATAAGTTTTTCATTCAGGTTATTTTCAAAAGATCATAAGAAGAAGCTTTTCAGACAGGAATAACTTTTCAATAGAATGAGATTGAATTTTTAAAACACAATAAACTTTTACATTATATCTATGTTATGCATTAACAAACATTTATATGCATCCTTAACAGCTTTGCAACTTTTAATAAATGGTAATGTCTAGCATCTGTTGTTCATACCAATAAGATATTATTTATTTTATCATCGACCCATATACGTCAGTATTGATCATTTTTTGAATAATTACTTAACTTTTTTTTAAGCATATTTTTTAACAATCATTTTTACCTTTGATCTAATCTCAACTTTTTTATACTCGTACTAAAATAGGTTCGTGTAATAGAAAGCTTTGAATAATCTTTGAAACATTTTGTTGAAATGTTTCTTTTTTGAATATTTTAATATTGAAAATCATGAATTTTTTAGATTAATGGAGCACACAGAAATCTTTTGTAGGAAAAATTAATTACTGGACCAAAAATAAAAACAAAAAATTTATATAAAATAAACATTCCAAATTATTATCTCTGATAACATCTTAAATTTCATTTTTTAATTTTTCCCGCTATAATAACGGGTTAAAATTTTTGTTTATCGAGGGCGACACTTTCTATGTACTTTTTTCTACATATGTAAACAGTTGCTAATGGAATTATAACGTCGTATAACAGACATTCCTAACCGGCAAATAATAAAATATTGGAAGAAATTTTTATTAAAAAGCACGAATATGTTGTCTAACAATTGTTGACTTGTTACTTATACGATAAAATAACATTAAAGAACGTTATAGGTGTTACAAATCATATAAATAATGCATTATTTTGATTAACGTCATCATTATTATCATAGTGTAATGATTGGTTTATTTTTTAACGTGTTTTTCTACCTCAATAAGTATTTACGTAGAAGATACTATACAAGAACAATGGATTCAACAAATGAATCATGCGCAAAATTATCGGAAAACGTTTCAACGTCTTCGAATGCTATCAATACACGTGAATTAGAAGATCAGTTTTATGATGATGATGATGGTGACAAATGCAATATCAAATTCTCTCCACCTGCTTATATTCAAAGATACCAAGCTGTTATAAGTGTTCTAAACAGTCCTAAATATGAAGGCAAAATTCGAAAGGTATATTCATTTTATGTTTGATTCTTTGCTTTCAGAATTTGGTAAATTTAATAATTGTCTTGAAATTAATTTTTTAAAATTAAAATTACATAAACATAAACCTACATAAGTATATTGAATTATTTTCATATTGCAGGTTGTAGATTTTGGTTGTAGTGAGCTGGGCTTTTTTACTTATTTAAAAAATACGCCAGTAATTGAAGAAATCTTATGTGTAGATATTGATGAATTCATATTGGAATGTAATAAAAAAAAAATTGATGCATTGACTGCGGATTATATACATACGCGAGATCGTCCATTGACTGCCAGTATCTATAAAGGAAGTGTGACTGATAGAGATAAGAATTTAGAAAATACAGATGCTGTCGTTTGCATCGAATTAATAGAACATCTTTATGATGAAACTTTAGTAAAAGTACCCGAAAATATTTTCGGTTATATAAAACCACGAGTAGCTATAATGACTACACCAAATGCGGATTTTAATGTTTTATTTAGAGGAATGAAAGGATTTAGACATCCAGATCATAAATTTGAATGGACAAGACAACAATTTACGGATTGGGCAAACGGAATTGTCAATAAGTATCCTGAATATGAAGTTAGTTTCCAAGGAATTTGTCCAGGACCTGAAGGAACAGAAGATTTAGGATGTTGCTCACAAATGGCAATTTTTCATCGAAATACGGATTTTGTCATTAAAATGCCTGGGATTGAAGGATTATATAAATTAATTTCTCAAGAAATTTATCCTGTACGAATTGATAATCGCTCTGATGAAGATAAAATTCTTGATGAGGCAAGCTATCTCATTAGAGGTTATCAAATAAACAATGGTGATGATATAATACCACTTGAAACACTTGCTCATATGATCGGAAATATACAAATAGATTATTTGAAAGAGATTATGGAAAACGGAGGATGGGAAACTGGTGAAAATGAAGAAGGTCCTATAATTATTTGTAGGCCATTATCAGTAAGTTTAGAAGATGATAATGTATATGATGAAGAAGATGATTTCGATTATGAGAATGGTGAAGATGGTGATGATTACGATGATGATCCTTTTGATTATAATGACTTCAATAGTACTTCGGAAATAGAAATAATGGATCTGGATGATGAAGTTTTTGTGCATGATGTAACTAATTTTTCAGCTATTACTATAGGGGAACAGGTAGAAGAGGTACGATACGATGAATTAATTACAGACAGTTTAAACAGCTGGAATAGAGATGACGAGCATGAAAGAACTGGAGATACTGCAATACCTTCAAATTCTGGGGAAATAAGAAGTATGTGTAGTATGTTCATAGAAAGATCTCAAAACGATAACAGTTTAGTGTGTCCCGAAAATATTACAGATCCGAACTTTGAGTTTTCGACAACACATGATAGTGTTGATCTAGAGCAAAGAAATGAAAATGATGATAAAACCTTCAGTAATACTTATAACGATAATTTTCAACAAACTAGCACACCAAGGAAAAAAATAAAGCTATCGTTAGACGATTTAGAGAAAGATAATAGGCCTCTTGAAAATTCACAATCGATTATTCGTGACTTTTTTGAGAGTCCTTCAAGCAGCTCCGCGGTTGGAACTGAAGATGCTGAATGTTCTCATGCTTTAAGTATGTTAAATGCAGTACCAATAAATAATCCTCAAAGTAGAGCACAAACCATTTCTGATTCTGAGTCAGTTACAATTGAAGAATCACCAGGAGTTTATCTTCTGAAAAATACTGAAAGTCATAATTTAACGGATACTGCAAGTGAAATCTCAGAGGATAATATTAATAAAAATATCCATTAATATGTTATTTCTATGTTTGTTCGTTTTTTATGTGATTGAATACTTTAAGTTTCTTGATATGTTTTCTTTTTTTATTTTGTAGAAACCAAGTAGTTTCCTATCTGTATAAAACGATGACAAAAGATAACAGTATTATAGATAAGGTAAATAGGTTTCAAGACTGAGAAACATATCTTGTATATGATTACATAATAAATATGAATTTAAAAAAATTAAGCGCAGTGTATTTTGCTAAAATTTTTTTACCAATTATTTTTCATTAGATGAGAAAGAATTTGATGTTTGAAAAAATATGGAAAAAATTTCTATTTTTGTTTTAATATATATTTTATTCCAATAATTCATGGAATGAAATCATTAAACATAAAGTTTTACATTCTTTTAAGGATGGTATTAATTTTAGAACTTTACAATATTAGATTAATAGACATGAGTGTAATTGCAAGTATATTTACGTGTGTTTGTTTTTATGTACATGAATTATTTGATTCAGTTTTACATAATACACACATAACTAATATTTAAAGTAACTTCTATAACATTAGTGGACTGTTAAATATTTTTTTCTGGTCATTTATTCACTTAAAAAGTATTCCGCTTTCTTAAAAATTAATCACTCCTATAAAGCTAAAAAGTTGCAACCATTGAATATCATTCCTTTGTAATCCCTTATCATTATTCTTTATAAAAGTTACGTACATTTTTTTTAGAATACCTGATACTATTCATCAATGGGAAAAAGCTAAATAAAAACATAAATATATTTCTTTTAAACAAAAGCTTTTTTTTTATTAGTTGGAATGTTAAAATAATTTTTTAAATAAATTTTTTACGTAAAAAAATATTTTGTTCAGATAAAGATTCATTAGTTTGTCGTCATGGCATGGAAATGCTTTTTTATATCTCAATAACACTACAATCCTTCATTGGTCGAAATAGTCTACTCTACATTTCACACTATGGCAACAATTTAAATCAAAAAATTACTATAAGTATAATTTAGGAAAAAAATTCAAAATATTTTAAAATTATTTATGTTAAGGTTCCAAAAAGAATAAAATATAATTATAAAACGTAACAAAATTACTTAACAATAATGTCTTTCACTAGAATAATATATTATGAGACTAAAAATGATTATTAGTTTTTAATGAACTTCAAATTATTTCTAAACTAAAAATTACGGTGTAAAGTATAATAATGAGTACTCATAATGTTTGTTTTGTTTGTCAAACTTAATTTTCAACAGCCTCTTTTTTTCTTCCCACAGCCAATCAAAATTTTTTACTCCCAAACTCGATAAACTCGTGAGCCGGTTGATTCACCTAATCAAATAGCTTCTTTTATACTATCTCGACTCTGCGAATGCATGGCGTGCCTTAATTCACCTGCTGATGTACCCTCGCGTCTTAATACACCAGGTCCAACAACGTCTCTTTTATTTGCTGCTTCTTTTATACTCAAAAGCGTTTTACTAAGCCACGGCCACGAGTTTCGTGCTGCTTGGAGTTCAGATGCGGCTGCATGTAATTGATGAGTCAGGTCCTGAAAAAATTATTTCATTTTTATTTATTAAGAAGTGAAGAGACTAATTCAATTAAGTTTAATATAATCATGCAAGTTATTAATATTAATCAACACGAACTTGATTTCTGCATTCTGCTTCCACATGAGCTAATTTAGTTTGAGCCAACTCTAATTCCAATTCTCTCACACGCTCTTGTGCTCGATGAAGCATTGGATCTGTTCGATTCTCCAGTGGATGGGAAATGTCAGCATAAACTTTGGAAGACTCCATGAGAATTGTTCTACAATTGTCACAATTGGATATCTTTATCTGTGAATTAAGAATTTTTTTATGAATAAGTCGTAATTATAAAACTAAATATTATTAAAGCAAGTGATTTATAGCAATTTTTTATATTATTATTAAAAAATAAATTAAAATATACGAACTCGTAAGTCACTGAGTGCGGTTTTTGCGGCATTATAGTCGTCTTCCAAGCGTTGACATATCTGTGAACAAAAATGGTTTTTTTTTTAACTTTCAATATTTATCAACTAAAATAAAATATTTATGAAAACATTTCTCACCTGTTTATATTCATTAATAATTATTACATTTCTTCGACTTTCAGCATCAGCTCGTGTCACCTCTCTCTGCAACATTTCTTTAACTTGAGCAACTTCAATTTCAAGTCTCTGTTTTTCTTCTTCACTCCTTGCAACAGCCCCTCGTAGTTGCTCCACCTCATTGCTATACTCGTCAGCATTTTCTTGAGCTTCTGTATTCAAAAATAAATTTTATATTGGTCTCATTATCTAAATACACTGCGAAAATAATATTAATGAAATTTACTAATTGCATGTTCTCACTTAATAGCGTTAGCTTCGCTATATGACTCATATTTTGATGGAAAATCAGCAAAAAAAGTGAAGATATTAAAAATCAAATATGTTGCTAATCAACATTGAAGACTATAACGTGCTGGACATATACTCATACGATTACGACATGCACTTTGGCCCATTTCAAACCAGTGAACAGATCAAGAAAGTCTAAAAGAGAGGGGAAGAACCAGAAACAGCTGTTGCTAGATAACACAGCCACGTGTTGTAATCATGTGGTACCGATGACGGTTATTGAAATTATAAACACACCAATTATGTTGATTATGCATCAATTTATCTTTTTTACGTTGCTTCTGAATAAATATTATCTTTAACGACTTGAACAAACATTTTTGAAGTTTCTAAAATAATTATTAGTGATTTTGAATGATATATTACGAGAGTATTACTTTTATTACATACATTATAGAGAGTTTATACCAGACCACTTATCAACAACCACAATAGAAAGAATCTGAGGCTAAGCTATCAATTATGTTATTATTATTATTATGTTATTACATTCTAATAGATTTATACAGTTCAGAATAAGTAATAATAAGCAAATGCATTTTATTAAATATTTCAATTAAATTACAAGTGTTAATAACAATTACTGTGATAAATGAAAAGTGGAGTATTTTATTGTATTAATTTTGTTCTTCTTTGTTGTTAAAAAACGGTCATAAATTGATGGAATATATTTAAATGAATGTATTTTATTTATTTATTTTTATAAATTTTTATCCAAAACGTTGTTCAACATGTTATTATGAATGACTAATGAAATAAATGAATGATTCCCCAATAACAAACAGCACCAAGCAAATGCAAACGTGGGTAGATAATTGAGAACAAAAATGTGCAAGATTATTGTCTATCAAGTCTATTTTATTTTTTTACACTGATGACTTTTAATAGTTTATATGAGTGCTTTATTTAAAACCACATTTTCTGTCTAGCCACAATATTGATAATAATCACAAACAATATACATAAAACATTTTTAATTATGCCAATATAATGATTACATATGATGCAAATAAGCAAATTAATCTTGAGGGCAAGAGGTAGATATTATCATTTAACTAACATTTTTTTTTTAGTTTATAATTAACCAAGACTAGCAAAATTATTTGGCTATTTCATACCACATTGAATAATTATTGTAAAATAATTCAGAGATTTTTTATTAATTATAATGCTCATCCTAAACTTACTGAAAGACTACTATTACCAAATAGTAACTATATTATACGAGAGAGATTCATGCAATTTTATCTGGCCAATATAATAATGTGGACGGATATCAATCATTTATTTTTGTTTCTTTATACATAGAATATAAAGTTACCTTTCAAAGCCATGAATTCTGCTTCATATTTCTTCAACTTCTTCAATGTCACTGAACATGCGAGTTTCATTACATAACGTGATACTTCTTCGTTTCGACATCGTTTAGGCAAATGAACTCGGAAGTATTTAAGTATGCTTTCGAAATCCAATTGCAATAACTCTTTTTTACTCATCTAAAATAAATAAATTTAATGCACAAATAATTCATTGAAAAACTTGGATGTAATATTTATTAATTGAATCATCCATGAATCATCCGGATGCTTAATAAATTTTTATTGGCTTGATTAATTTATTATCTTAAGCATTAATTTTAATAAATTACTCAAATAAAGAATAAGCTTTTAATGTTCTAATTAAACTAAACTTTGCATAAACTTAAATGATTAATGGATGTATTATGAAAACGTATCAAGTATAAAGGAAAAAAAAAATTACCATCAATAATGCCAGTGCTACTTGGAAGAGTGTATCAAGTCCTTGAAGAAGGAAAACATCAAGGATATGAAATACCAGATACAGTGGAAATCTTGCTGTGAAAAGTGTTAGAAACCATTGTGCAGCAAACATATGCGTTTCAACTCCACGATCACAAAAGTGTTTGTAGAGTTCTGGAAGTTGGTCCTCCATTAGTCGATTTAATTGATAGAAACGCATATGAAGATTATCAAATCGATCTTTATACAAATCTCGTAATCCATAGTCATACATAAGTTTAACTAATACACAGAAAGCTTGCTCTTCCGGCATGTGTAAAAGAAGACTAGCGACTAGAAAGCTAAGTCCTTGACAATATCCTACTTCTTCATCAAAAACAGCATAAGCTTTACTTATTCTATACAATGAATCTTGTCCTAAACCACCAGTTTCCTTGAAAAAATCATGAGCTGGAAATGTTCGATTAATATCTCTTAAAATAACACTCTCACAGCTGCTTTCTTTCGTAATTAAAATCCTGTATTTATCCATCATTTCTTGCGAAGTGTCACAGTTGCTGAGTCGTTGCCAAACTTCACCACGAAGCGCCTCAGGTATTCCTTGTTTTGTTAATTTTATCAGCAACTTTGGACGATGTTTATTTACTTGCCAGCTATCTAACACTTCACTCCAACTTGCAAGTTCATCAGCTGAACAATCCTTGGATACTTTACCAGTTCCGCTAAGCATAGGTTCATCTCCATCAGAGTCTACTTCTTCTTTAGGCGTCAACGTATCTATACTAGTAAGTGATGATGATCTAATTAACGATGCTAAATTTAACGCAAGATTCAAACGATTTCTATCCAATTCTCCTGAGGTTTCGATATTTTGAACTTCATAGTGTACTTCTGATTTATCTTCTGATATTATTTCTTTAGAATTAAGTTGAAATTGTTGAACAAGGTTTTTCTTATTTAAATACCAAAATCGCTCATTTTGAGAATAAACTTTAACAGCAGTTTCAATTACAAATCGGACGGGTTCACGGATGCGCCGTATTACAAGATCTACGGCAACAGTCATGTAAATTTTACCTTCTTTAGTTTCATTATTGAGATTCTCTAATGCAGGATCAGCAGGATCCCATCGACCACAAATATTGTAGCATTGTCTATCTTGACCCATTGGGGCAGTACTAGATTGCATCTCTAATAGTCGCATATCACTGTGTCTAACATTACGTCCTGGGCTTACTAAAACTCCAAAACATCTTTCTACTTCAAGAATAATTCCTCCTTCTTTACTGGACACTTGCTGAATACTCAAACAAACTTGCTTTGCAACATTACTCCTTAATTTAAAACAATTTCTATCTTTAGGTACAGTACTGTAACTTCCTCTTCCATCTTCTTCTTTTAATTCCATTGTTACCTCGAAGATAAACACTCTAGAATTACTTTTCTCATTGCCAGAAAAGTTACTGAAGTCACTGGCAGTTAATGAACTTGTCATTGATGGTGAAATTTTCTTAAATGCTTTAGCAAAGCAAGCAGACACTTGGCCAACTGCTTCAGGTATATCGCAACGAAACACATGACACTGAAAAATGGCTGATTCTTGAGTATCACCGTGAGACCAAGTGAATGCAAAGCATGCTGCACATGGACCGGAAGTATCACCACGAGCATAAAATAAAATTCTTTGGACTTCATAATGAACTATAGGTTGTTGTGTTGCAGCATCATAAAGTACTACAGAGCCTTGAGAGCTGCTTGGGATTGAAACTGAAATTTTGATTTCTAAGCTCTGAGTTAATTCTGCTGAAAGTATTGCCATATTTCTTTGGATTTCAGCTGCTGATTTAGGAGCATTGATGGCTGCTGCACCTAAATAAGTTACCCCATTAAAAATTGTACAGTCTTGATTTACGTCAGCGAGAGAACTGATTTCACAATCATCGAAATCCTCAGGTTTCATTTCATCTTGCTTTTCTGTCGATCCCAAGTCATAGAATTTACTTTTTCCTACTTCCTTTGTAATTTGAGTACTTTGAATAAGTTTGTTGTCGACATTGTCTAAATTCTCCATTTTTGTATCTTCGATTAGAACCTTTAAAAATTGATGTGTAGTACATATTAGCAACCATCTGATTATTAAAAACTTGTATAATTTTTTTCTTTCAAAGTTGGCTAATAAATTTTATATATCTTTTTTATATTATTATCTTTTATAAATTTCATTTTCAATAAAAACATAATGGATTTGTTGAAAGACAATATAAAATTTATTTCCAGTTAAATAAATATTATGAGTAATAACTTACCTCTCTCAAATCATTCTGCAGATCTTCCAAATTACCATTATTAGCAATTTTCAGCATTGGTGGTTCAAGCAAAACTTGGTTATTTTTGCTTGGATCTTTTTCGTTTACAAATTCGTACTCGTCACTCGTAGCTACTGATTCCATTGACTTAACGCTCAAGCTATCCTCCATAACTGAGCCTGTAATTAAATAATTATAAATAGCATAGATTTTTCATCATTAACCTAATCTACCAGCGTCATCATACTAAAAAACAATAGCAACTCCGTAACATATAGCATAATCTCAAAACTGGACTTTTATGTAAATTGTTTATTGAATATTTGAGATACATAATGTTTACAAACACTACCAATTATGTAATCTTAATTGTAGCACATGTTTAAGATATGCATATGAGGATCAACGGAAGGACATTTACAAGGTATAAAAGTTTATGATATGATAAAAGTCAATTTCATTTGATGTGAATAAACCGTTGGATGAAAAACATGAAATGTTGGGTAGGAAAGTTATGACAAGTGTGCCAGACAATCATATTTTATCAGTTAGACTAATAATCAAACATTAAAAAATGACTGTTGTTATGAGCAAATATAACCACAACATTAAACATAAAACTGACGCCTCAAGTTCAAAGTTCATTTGTTAAATAGTTTATACTTACTAAGGAAGTCACGTTACTTCTCTTCAAATCATTTGTAGAGCATTACACTTGCAGTTGGTCATTGACAGATGTATATAACCTCGCCAGGTAGTCGCCATTTGATGAAATAGATTTATTGTCACTTCTTTTCGTGTACCTTCCTTGCTGATTGAATGTGTGTGATACTCTACCACTACCATAACGATCTTTAGCACTTCGCTGAGAATGTTATTTTGAAACAATTATTTATCTTCATTAATGCAGATGATTATTCTCTAAAGATAGACACTCTCTCACTAGATTACTCTTTGAAGTGCTCATTGTTGTTCAATGTTAATCACATCATTTCTTTAATCATAATTTAATTTTTTTTTATAAAAAGCAAATAAATCCAGCGTCAAGCATATATATATATTCATACATGTATATATAGATATAACATACGATCTATTCGTTCCGGAAGTCTCGTCGTAAATACTCTCCAGCAATCTACGTGTCAGAACTTGAATTTTTTCGCGAACAAAACTTATAAAAAAATATATTTTATTGAAATATATTAATTTTTTAAAAAATTTCTTTAAAAATAATGTAAATATTAATATTCAGATTTTAATTATTATAAATATTTATTTTATTAAAAAATTTTTAACTTTTCAACAAAAACTAAATTTTGGCGCGCCATATAGTTTTATTTACTTCCGTAACTTCCGCGGTGGCGCAACTAGCACGAATTCAAATTTTTATTTACCAACATAAAACCCGTAAATTATGGATTGAGCGTCAGTAAACAATCAATCATAAAAAGTTTTTTGACCAAAAATTGATGGCTAAAATTGAAATTATAGAGTTGAGTATCAATTATTTTTATTAACTCATTGAGAATATAGATAAATCATTTAATGTTGCATAAAATTTTTTATTATTCATAAATTGTAAATTTATCGCAATATATACATATTTTGGATATCTAATTAATACTAAAAACCAGTCTTATTATGGATACATTTGTTGAAGAACGTGAAAATATTTCTATTGCATAATCTATCGATTAATTAAAATACTATGCTGCTGATATAGGAGTTTCATTATCGGTAATTTCATTATTTGCATCAGTATGACAATTTATATCAACTTCTGTATTTTTTGTACTATTTTCTGAGCAATTATTTGAGTGAGGTTTTATATCTGGAACTTTCTTTATCGGCGTCTTAGAAATTTCCACAGCCATTGATTTTGTACTATCATCATTTTTGTGAATTTTAAATTTCTTTAAATTCACGTCAATTTGTGTAGGTATAATTTCTTTTTTTACAAATTTTTTATTTACAATATGAGCTTGTTTCCCTGTCTTTTCCAAAATTACCTCTTTAAGAAATTCATCCTTTGAACAACATTGTGATGCAATGCATTGTATTCCTTGACATCTAATTAAACAGTCTGTTTCATCTGCATTTGGCTTTATCTAATAAGAAGCAAATCGATGTCAGTAGTGATTATTAATTAAACATTAATTAGGTATTTAATTTCTCGAAGCTCTTTCACTTTTATTAGATAAAATAAAATATTTACTTTATGGAATTCTGGTTGGATCGTCACATGCATAATACCCATCTCCATAAAGAATGTTGTCACCTGATCTGTAATACTTGCGTAGACCTGTTTTATGTTGAAACATATTAAAAAGAAAAAATAACTCATAAATTAAAGACTTGTTGAAATAATTGAATAACCATGTTGAAAAGTTTTTCTATGAAATTTACCATTGGATCCAAAAATATTATATGAACTGTCGAGATTATTTGTTCTCCGGCCAGCTGCCAAACATGAAAATCATGGACATTGACGATTCCAGGAAATGCGGCGAGTAGTTCTTTTTTTAGAGAGTCGATATTGATATGATTTGGAATGGTTTGTAAAAGAATCATACCCGATTCTCTAACTATAAAAAATAAATGAATTTTTTTCAGTATTACTTAATTCTGGGTTCTGAAAGACAATTAATTATTCAATTCTCAAGGCCTTGGAATATTTGTGGATCGATTCAAAACTATTGGATTCATTTTTTTTATCAATACATCTTTTAAATATAACATTGAAAGATAAAAAAGAATTTAAAAATGAAGCTTACCATAAGGATAGCTTAAGACAAAAAGTGAAATTGATGAAATAATGGCAAAAATTGGATCAATAAATTTCGCAAGATTGGCGTCTGTTAGATAAACCAGTAAGGAAACTATTACAACAAAAATACATCCAAGTACATCTCGACACATCTCTTGGAAGCCTTGTCTTCTTGGTATTGCCAGAGGACTTCTTCTTGTCGGCACAGCTAAACGTTGCTCATCAGTTGTTTCATTACTAGTCGGGACATTTCTGTAATTAATATCATCGTTAATTATGATTGAATATTGTGTAAAATGAGTATAGCCATCAATCAATTAGGTTGTTAGTGACGATTTAATATTGAGTCATTAATTTTTAATATTTTTTATAAAATATAAAAAGATAATTTACACCTTTGAAGAATAACATTTCCATCTTTTGTAACATGCAGAAGGAGGCCCTGATTGAAGGTGTAGCCACCGATGATGATGTAACAAAAAGCATTTAGAAGTATCCCTGATACTCCAATGCACATAACCGGTACTGGATGATGCATTTCATCGAGGTGACCAATGTGAATGAGAGTTTGTAAAGCTTCAACCAATAAAGAAAAACAAAACGATGCTAGCAAGACACAACATACCAGCATTGTCACGATGTCAATTCTCGCCCAGCCAAAGGTATTTTTCATTCTTCTATCTGAGCATGAATGCTTAAAACAAATTTTATATTCATAGAAATTAATTAATTAATTAATATTAAAGAATAATTCTATCTATCATACCTTAGAATTATTTGGTATTGAAGATATAGATCCCTTTTCATTATCATTTACACAGATTGATGAATTACCTGGTGAACCGCAATTTTTTTCACCCTTACACCTATCTTGATTGCCGTACTTAAAATAAATTACAGGTATAATAATATTATTTCCATGAGAAGTTAATAATTAAAGAATAAGTACTTGACAATTAATCCAAAAGAACTAGAGCAGTTTTAATTAATGCAATTTTTTTAATTTTTTTTTTGTTACTGTAATTATTCATTTGTTTGTCTACATTCTTTTAGAGAAAAAGCATGCAAGTAATCTAAAAAAAAAAAGTAAAACAAGTTGTAATTAGTCAAAACAAAAAACCAACTTACCTTTAAAGAAGCGATGCATCCGACAAGTGCAACGATGTTACAGAGCATGTGATAAGCATTGAGTAGTAGGGTAAGAGAGTGTGTCACATGACTTGCAATTATTTCGATGATGAAGAAGGTTGTTGTGAAGAAAAGCACGAGGTAAAGTTGAACTGGCTGTAGTCGCCTAAACCACTCTTTCACAGCCATGACCTTATGTCGCTTGTGTACGTTCGTACAAAGTCTAGACTGCTTCGCGTGTTAGCAGGCAAAAGGAGAATTACGTCGTTTTCTTCGTGGCCACTATCTACCGTTGACCAGTTCCACAGTTGCTTCGCGGCCGTCTCTTTAATAAAAAGACGAATCAAACTGTATGAATATTTCTGGATGGTCCTCTATTCTATCCTAAATTTTTTTTTTTTTACTAATACATTTATACTTTTTATGTCTGAAATCTTGACACGTGTTTTAGTATCGTTCATGTCATTCTCACAACAATAAAAAATCTATTTAACTATAAATTTAAATCAGTAGGTATTTTTATCACTTCTTACTGTAAGTTTTTTACAAATATTATCACAAATAGAAAATATTTTTCCCTGGTAAAACTCCAACATTATGAATATATACTTGCGAGCACAGTAAAATGTAGATATAGTAATTATGGAAATTACAAAGGGTAGTATGAAGATAACACTTACAGAGATGAATGATAACAAATTCAATTTAAAAACCACAGCACGTGCACGCGAGGATTCCTATGTTGAAAATGAATGGATGATGTTTTGTTGCTGTTTGCATGGTAGCTACTGAACCACAGTCAACTTGGGTCATTCTTAAGATATCGACTCAAGAACTATTATATTTATATCTTCAAGTGAATGATACGGTAAATAAGGAGCAATTTAGTTGTTCAGTATTCAGCATAACTTTTCCATTCATGTAGTGACTAATCAATGCTTATTTTGGAAGCTTCAAACAAGTTTATGATTCATCAGATGCTGATGAGAGAAAGTAACAAAACTGATGAATTTTAATAAATGTATTTAAATTTTGATAATACATCTTGAGATAGAATATATTAGACAAACATAGATAAAGCAAGTAAATAGATAAATGAATCTAGGATTTTCGGGTCAAGATAAAACCTTTTATAGATACCTTGGATAAGGAGAAGATACTGGCCAAGATAATTATGATAAAGAATTAAAATAAAATATTTAATTAAAGCTAAAGTCTATTGAAAGGTAATTTCAAAATCAAATCAATATGTATAAATGAGTGAAGAGTACAAAAGCCATTATTTCTTATTAGCTTTAGATTTATGAGCATTGTTTAATAGAGATTACGTTAACATTAGTTACTTGTGTTTAAAGTTTAATGCTCATTTCTGACCTGTTCTAATATATGCTAAACAATGTCATTGAGTTATTGTGTAAGATATAGAAGGACGAGCATATCAAAGCCCTAGTTGGCAACATCCGGGCTACAACCATGATGCTTCAAACGTCGATTAGTCTCACGCACAAGTATTGCTGACAACATAATAGAGCTGCTTGATAATAGACATGCTGATTTTAATTAAAGTTACCAATTTTTGTTTGTTTATTTATTATTAAATTGGAATATGTCCAAGTAAAAAATTCTAACCAGTACATACAAATCATGTTGATAAGTTGGTTGATGTTTAAACAAAAAAGTGAAGATTAGCGTAACATAAAATATTGCAGATTAGTGTAATAATGGATTCGACGAAATAATTTGAATATTTATGATTTAACTAATTCTTTTTAAAATTTAATGTTCTTTTTAATGAGTTTCTGTGCATAAGCAAAATAAAGTACTGGTGAGACTTGATGACTTACTTAGAAAATATGTTTATTATATTATTATATTGATAAAAAAATTATCAGTAGGTTCTTTGAATAATAATTATACATGACAATGAATTGCTGATGGAATGTAATAATATATATAACTCTAAATTATGTAAATACTTTAATAATAATTATGAATAAAAATAAACTCACGTAATAGGTCTATCAAAAAGCCACTGTGATAATATACTAAACTACTATCAGAAAATTATTTATCATTTGTCAAATAATCTTATTATATTGGAGAATTATATGCTACCGAGATAATAATGGTTAATTGTTTTTAGCGTTATCTGTATTTTATTTCACATATTTTTTTATTCTTTTTTAAGAATTAATGATAAAAATTTCTTTAAGAAATTTGTCTAAGTAATTTCTGATAAATTTATAATATGAAAAACAAATTATTCCATAATTAATCATAAATTGTTAATTATTTTAGAAAATAATAATTATTCAATTAATCACCCTTTTTTAATTGAGATGACTCATGAGATTATGAAGTATTCCTAATGTAGTGTCGAACTTGATTAAAAAAAAAATTCACAAAATTAAATGCAACGACAGGTGCAATTACATTATTAGTAGACTCACAGTGAACTAAGCGTAAATAGGCAATGCAACTAACACATATATAAGTAGTGATGTTAAATAATGGTACGATAAGCTTTACTAAATGGTCTGATCATTTGTCACGAACGTCCAAGAGTGTATACCAAGCATAGGGTTCATTTTTTTAGAGAGTACCGAAAAGCGGAAGCTGGAGTATGACTGAATTATTAGATAATTGAATCAAATTAGAAGAATTATTATTTTTATTTTACTGTGAAGATATAATTTGATATATAGCAAAAAGACTTTGGTTAAATGGTCATTTATTTTGAATGAATTTTATGATAAAACTGTCGTTGCAATTAAATTGCTTGACTGTCAGAGATTAATGAGTTTAATCATTAATTGATTGCTGTGTAATTGAACAGAAAAGTCACGAGCAGTTTGAGAACAAACAATCTAAAACTTCGACTACCGTGTCAGATTGAAGGTAGTGTGACTAAATAAGCTAACGGAGTTTAATGGCTGTTTGTAGGCAAAAGAGGAAAGTTAGTTGTTGCATTAATGAGTTCCAGCAAATTATCTGCCAGAGATACTCTTTTTCCTTTCTCTTCTTCCACGTTTGAATTAATTCACTTAAATGCAGCATCACGTTTTCTTTTGATCGAACAAAGCTGAGGCAAACTTCACTTGATAATTCACTTATTTTTTTATGTCACTCACAGTCGGCCACAAAAACTTCTATCACTATAGAAATTAAATTATTATAATGTTCAAAAGTACATATCAATGCATTGTTTTGTTAATTAAAAATATGTATCAAATTTATCTATGCTTATTGTGGTAAATAAATTAAGTCTTTTCTCTGTAAGATATGAGACGTGGAGAGAAGCCGACTGATGAAGAAACGGAGACAGAGATTGACGAAGAGATCACTGAGAGTGAAGAGTCTGCAGCAGCCAGTAAGAAGCTCCAGTTTCTAGGAATACCGCTATATAAACTATCTTATAAACGGTTACCTAAGAAATGCCTCAAAGTTTCTTTTCTTGCCATCAATTCTGCTATTTTTGTAAGTACTTATATATTAAAAATAATCATTGAATTTATTGTCAATCGCCATGTTATTTACAATCAGCTTATTTTACTGATAATATTTACGGTAAAAATACTTACTGATAATTTGAAGGCTTACGTATTTAATTAAGAAAATTTTTATAGTAACAATAATAGTTTTAATTGGTCACCATTAGCTGGCTGGAATTGCTGTAGTCGTAATATCAATGTGGATGTTATCGGATAGCAAGTTAATGTTACGATTAACGGCGCAAAAACTTTTTGTTACTATTTTGCTTATAATTGGTATATTCTCAGCAACACTAGCTTTTCTTGGAATCGTTGCATTCATCAAACAGAACAGAAAATTACTGGTTGTAGTAAGTAGAACTCTGGCTATAAGTGATAATTTTAATTATAGTAATGATTTATAAAAAGCAGATAATAAAAAGTTATTTTTATAGTACATTATATGTCATTCTGTGCTACTATGTATCATATTTATTTGTTCTGTCATGAGTGCCTCTTTTTTCGATCGAATCACCAGTAAAATACGGGATGATATGAAGAGCACAATTATGAAATATCATTTATTGGATTGGGTTACTGAAGCTTGGGATAATACACAACAATATGTAAAAAATTTATCGAAATATGATTATTTACTTACTTTAACTAATTCATCATTATTTGTTCCAGTTACAATGTTGTGGAATAAAATCTTATAAAGATTGGGAAGAATATTTAATAGATATTCCTAAAAGCTGTTGTTCCAAAACAATTGATCAGGTGTGGAAAATGATGTTGATTTTTTGTAAAAATTTACGTAACTTTTTTGAACGTTAGTAAATAATTCGTTTTTATTTCAGTGTCTTCACATGACGGAATTTGTGGCGTACGAATCTGGGTGTCTTAAAAGTACTTACTTTATGCTAAAATCTCACATTGATACTGTTACCATCTCAACTTTGTTCATCTCGATTACTTCGGTAAGTACTTGAAAAAATTATAATAATAACAAAAGTTTTACGAAAGTAATTTATTTTTCAAGGGTATAAGTCTGTTCTTGGCTATAGGGATAAAAAAAAGATTCAAAATACTTCATTCCATGGATATTTGATCAGTTAAAAACAAAAATAAATGTACAGAGCGACTTAAAAACGGTTTTCCCTTTTTTATTATCATATATAGATCATATATTTTTTTAAAACACTTAATATATCGCACTTATAATAATCATAATGATAATAATAATGATAATTAATAATTAATAATATCGTAAATTATTGGACATGTTTCGAAATCTCTTTATCCACAACTGCCACTTAGTGAAGTATATTATCTCACGTGAGAGCTTTTCCGAGCATTCATTAGAAATTAAAAATAAATTGACTCTCGCCCGAAGTCACTTAATCACGATAGAAATATTTATCAATTTATTAATTTTATGGCTTTTAAAAGATATTTTTTTCTTCATTACGATTGAGAATTGAGTATTGAGAGTTATTATTTAAACTCAGTATATTTTCATATAAATATGAAATATTGGCAATCGTTCAAGTGCATTTAATGGTACTTTGAACACGTAATTTTTTGTTATATCCAATTAATAATGACTTAATCATTTATTTATTTATATAGATATATTATGTGATAAAGGACAGGATTTGGGCGCATTTTCAGGCAGATTCCATCCAGTTACAGATATTTTATATATCATAGCAAACATCGTGACTATTTACAATAAATACAGTTGATTAGATTATATAAATAAAATATATATCGTATAGTATAGTTTAAGGTTTACAGCAACACGTGACAGTAAACAATCAGATCAGCGGCAAAGTAGCATAATCTACCTAAATTGTGGTCGTAGCTACAGCGTGGTTTAATTATGCTCTTACCTCGGCTCACTACTACTCCGTTATTTCTTTATACTCCTCTTCTTTTCATTTAATTTTAATTTATTTGTTTATTTAATCCTGATAATGGAATAAACGTGAACCGAGGATTAAGCTACCCAGCTATTTCCACACTTTTTATTCTCACTTTTATTCATCGTTTCTCATACATTTAATCTCGTGCAAAATTCACCTTTTTTTCTTTTCGAATGATCACCGCTTCATTGATGAATTTTAATTTAATCAAGATTTCCTTAAATGCATTTAATTAAAATAAACTTGGTAATAAACAATAAAAAAGATTATTCAAGTTTACAAGCGATGAATTTATTTTTATAATTTATCAGTGATTTTTTTAAGTTTTAGATTTTTTTATCTTCTTAAAATCTTATCTTTTCTTTCAAATTATTAAGTAATTTATTTATTAGCATGTGCACGATCGTCTTGATTTACGTATTAACGACACATGAAACATGTATTATAATTTGACACTTGATTTTAAAAAATAGTTAATTCTTTAAGCGCCATTTTTTAAAATATCGGTCGTCAATCGCAATTTTATGTTCAAACTTAATCTAGACATAAAAAATAGCAATTGTTTAGCTACAATAACTTTTAGCTTTACAATCAATATTTTCAATTTGTCTAGACTCTCACTCATACTAACAATATTCTCCAGAATATTCCTATCTTCTATATTATTTATACATTTAATTTAAATAGATAATTTACCTATCCAGAGAGGTCAATGTCATTGTGCAACTATCTAACCGTAGGGCACCACGATTAAATTTCAATAAAGATGTTATGTTTGCGCAGGACGATGAAAAAAGTCATAAATTTGTATGGATTTTAAAAAAAGGTAGTAGAAAGACTGTCAAAATGACGAACGGGGAGGTGTGGGAGAAAGATCGTTTTTATTATGTATATATTTCTTTTACTAATACGATAATACGTATGGGATTTTTAAAATTACATTTAGTACTTAGTGAAGAAACAGTACCATTTTTCCATTACTCATATTCAGCAAGCACAAATATGTCATTATAATACGTATTATAGTATACCGATAATAATATCGGTCTGGTACTTTATGTATACTCACGACTCTCGCGGTCATTAGATCAGCCTGTCTATTTTAATCAATTTTTTTGTCATTTTTAAAAACATTATTTTCATTCTTTTATTATAAAAGTTTATTATTTATTAGTTCATGTATATTTGATCTCATCATTCTCACATATCATTTGGGCAAAACATTGACGTCTTCTCAGCACTTTTTTTTTTTGGACGCTATAACGCTAAGGTATGTCATCAAATTATCTTAAAAAATATTAGCTCTCCTTTAAACCTCCAGGAGAATAGTGTCTTGCAATTTACGTTAGTATTAATTTTAATTTTTCTTGTAATTTTTTTAAGCATTGCACTATTTTCACACACTGGAGGAAAAGCACCACAATATAATACAAACTACGTCACGAACTCCATTTTATTTATGCAAAAAAAAATGTGACAGAAGTTCGAGACGGGTAATTCGGATCGATAGTCGATCAGTTACAGCTTCGCTCACATGCATTCTTATTTTTCTCTTTTATCACACTCACAATTTCTCACTTAAGTCTTATTAATCCTACATTTATCGCGAATGTATAACAAACTGTGCTACCTTAAAGGTCTTTCGTGGCCATTCGTCACTAAAAAGTTTTTCCATTCGTATTTTTACAACCAGCAGTCGTATACAATCTCTTTATCTATATTATTTGGTTTTCTTTATAAATATTTAATCGATAAAAAACGGTGCATCTCCTCCACATAAATCTGGTAGGTTTTATGAATGTCAATCTAAAGCTAATTTATTGACTAGGTTTTCGCTTTCCTGCACTGTTTTTTCGAAAACTTTTTGGACGAATAACCACATGATACCATTCTTAACTTGTTCCAATAGCGACCGGTTTAACATTGTGAACAACATCGATCCAGGCAATAGTTCACTGTAATGTTGTCGTTACGTTCGACGTAACGACCTAACATTCACTTCAGTCCAATTAAATTCACTGAAACACCGGTCATATATATATATATATATATATATCTATATCACTTGTACATACATTTATATATATATATTTTTATATTTATATATATTTATTTATATATCATTTTTCAATAAGAGAATTTTTCTTTCGTGTATACGGCAGTCAAAATTTCATCATAGATTAAAGTCTATAACGAAACGTTTCGCACGTTGCATTATTTATTTGCTTAATCACTATGACCCTATGTATGGCTTTTATAATATAACATAAGTGTTTGGCATCTTTGAAATACACAAATAGACTTTGGTATAAAACTTTTGATAGTAATCAGTGTATGTACGTTTTTTTTCTCTCTCTTCTTTTCTATCGTATGATGCGTTTCGCATTACAGCGGCATATTTTTTTATATTTCATTGTATTCTTTCCGTAATTTCACACAAACTTTTTTTTAAAAAAAAAAGGAAATGTTTTTATGTGTTTCATATATTCTTCAGACACACACGCACACAGCCTTGTAAACTAATTGAACAAACTTTCGTGGATTTCAAAGTTTGCGAGTTGTAATTTTCTCTAGCAAAGTCCATCAAGTCGCCAGAGTTTGCAAACAGTTGAAGTGCCTCTCCTCCTTCGTCGTTTCTTAGTCGATGGATTCGCTGCTTTCTTTACGAACTTAATATTGTAAGGATCTTCAGCTAACTCTGGGTACAATTGTGGATCATGAATGTATTCACATTCGTAATTTGATGCAGAGCCATGATTCTCTATTTCTTCTTGTTCTGCTGCCATCCATTCAATAGAAGTTGGAGTTTTTGCTCTAAGAGCTTCACGTTCACGATGCCAAGCCTTACGAGTTGCGGTGGATTTTGCATGATGAAGTAGCCTCTGTTTTTCTTTTTCTGCTGTTGTTCCGTAACGAAGATTCACTACATAGCTGGCACCATGAATTTTTACATCAACAATATTACCACTGCCATTCTCATTTCCGTGGAAAGTCGTATTAACTTGTCCACCCAAACGCTTGAGTTCTCCTCGATCGTCCTCAGCTTTTCCGATTTCTTCTTTAACAAAGTAAAATGCATCTTGCTGAGCATTATGAACAACAAAGCTGAATGGTAGAAAGTACGATCGATTGAACACAGTCGTAAAGACATCACGGTAAATTGGGTTAGCAACGGAAACACTTGAAACAACTGCCTGGCCATCGGCAGTTCTTGAAACTAATATTCCTTTGCCAAATGGTGGATCTGAAGCAGCACCCAAGCGATTTGGAAGGAGTTCACTTAGATCTTTCTTCAAAGCTGACCTAGGAGGAGCTAAAAGACTTGCAGCATCTCCTGAATGTCTTTGAGCGATGTATGCTAAGAATCCTGATTGAACACCCATATTGCGATTTTTATTTTTTTCACTAAGAATCAAAGCTTGTGGGTTTAATGATGGAGGCACTTGACTATCAGGCAGTTGGTTCGGGAATAGTTGCGGTGCGAGGCTTTTTAGATCATAGCCAAGTAGTGAAAGCCATGATATGTGGTCTGTAAAAAATAAATTTTTAAATAATTAAAAGATGATTTAAAAAAAAACATGCAAAAGTACAGAGTTATTTTTAATATTTAATTTGTGAAAATAGATTTATATTCTTCAATTTAATAATAAAGAGTAAAACTTTATTTTCTTTTCAAATAGTATTTGTTGATTCGTAATAAAAGTAAAGCTCGTAATTGATAAGAATTTTTCAATTAAAATTCCAATTAGTATGCGTTAATTATAATGATTGAATCTGTAGATTGTTATGCATTTCCAATTTGATTAAATGAGAAAGAAACAAACCTGTTGGTTTGCGTTCTTCGGTATGTCTAACATCGATTGGATTATTTCCATTAAATCTATATAAATGAAGATGCGTTGGTGTTGCAACACGATCAAGAACATTTTCCCAGAGAGGTGACATCCATTTTCCTATTAGTGGGTCATATACTTTTCCATTTGGCATGTGTACCAAAGATGTTACCTAAAAGATATAACATTGATTAGATTCTATAAAAATAATTATCAATTAACTCTATAAAGTAAAATAATAAATTGAATTAAATGATCATAAAGAAAGTTATTTTTCTAGAAGATAAAATAAAACTTTACGAACCTTATCTAAAAGACCACCGCAAAAGTCAACAGGAAGATAAAGATATGGATTCGAATCATAAACTATATGACCGTAAGGAGATCTCATAAGTTCTCTAATACCTTCTCCATATTGATTAAAAATCATGATTGGTGTACCACATTGATCTGTAGCAATATAATATTTATGTCTATAAATTTGGGCATAAATAAGATGACCTCTATCATCGTAAACCAGAGACATAAGTTTTCCATCCCGAGGGCTGTATATTTGACTAACTTCATGAGGTCGTTTTTGATTGTTGTAGAAAAATTGAGTAACATTTCCATAATTATCTTTTCTTGTAGCTAATCTATTTAGATGATCGTAGTAATAACGTACATCAAATCGACCTTTCTTTGTAGCTCGAGTTAGAAGACCTTTAGCATTATAATTAAATCTTTCTTCTCTTGCATTTTGAATCACTTGGCCACGGTTGTCGTATTTATAAAGACCATCGCCAAATTTAACGATTCTATCCATATTATTGTACTCCATAGGAATAGTATTTCCTCGATAAGTCAAGGACAGCATATTTCCATTACCATCATACTTAAAACTCCAGGGTTCTTGTGCTTCTACACCTGTTAATTGACCATCTGAGTCCCAAGTGTAATTTTTAACGTTTGTATAAGTATTAACTCCAACATTGCTCGTATCTGTTCGTGTTTGGTTGATACGGCCTTTCGAGTCATGAGTGAACTCCATTCTGAATACGACTAGTCCATGAATCGTCACGGTTACTTGAGTTTCGAGGAAATATTTGTCTATGATACGAGAGAAGACAGCAATTCCATCCAAGACCATTGTTTCATTTGGCGAGGGTTTGGTGATTTTGAATTGGCCAATCTGGTCTAGTGCACCAGTTTTTTGGCTGTAGGCCATAGTGTGGGCTGGTAACGTTTGACCTCCTATTCTACCTTGAATGGCGATTAATCTGTAGTTGGCGTCGTAATCAAAAGTAAACTTGGCATTGCTGAGCCCGGTCTTAGCTTCGAAGTCAATACGCTCTTCTACTAAAAGTCCGGCACTGTACTGATAGTCCCACTTGTATTCCACATCTTTTTCTGTGTGAATTACTTCTGAAGGTAAGCCACTTTCAGTATATCTAATCTCACTCTTACCATCACCGTGAACGACCTCAGACAATTGGCCCCAGGGATGATATCTATAAACAATGCGCGCTCCATCGCCAGGAAAGACTGTTTGCAGAAGATTACCATCGTGACTGTAGTGTTGTAAATAAGAACGAGTACTTCCTGGTGGTGTATAGGTGACTCGAAGGAATCCCAAAGATGCTTGACAAGAGAATGAATGTCTAGTACCAGCAGGCAGAATGACATGTCTCAATCCACCGTTTTCATCATATTCCAAAGAGAATTCTCGTCCGCTTGCCAAAGTTATATTAGACAGCATGTTAAAGTCATTGTAAACGTACCATTTGGTACCGTCTTGTTTATTTGTTACTTCGGACAATTGTCCGTGTCTGTCATAATTATAAGATTCATTGGAGGATCCCCATTGCCAACTCTGGATTCGATTAAACCAGTCATAAGTGATATTAAGACTATGCCCGTATTCATGCGGCTGCCAAGTTAATGGTAATCCAGCAAGATCGAATGTCACATTTAACAAAGGATTTGAAGGTTGAACGTAAAATGTCTCACGTCCTAGTAGCTGTTCAAATTTCACGCCAATTACGCGCGAATCATTGACCCATATCTCGCGGTTGAGTGTTTGTTGAGGATGACTGACTTCACCAACGAGGTTGTACGTTGTTGTCATTGTATTAATTAACTCTCCTAATGTAAGCACTTGGTAGCTCCACATAGGCAACATTTCAGCTTCTACAGGCAATGCTGCTTCCAACAGTGGATGTTTAGTCATTGCTGCACTGAGAATTCTGCCGCCTCCAGGTAATACAACCTCTAAGCTGTTATTAGCAAATGCCGTTGCCTTTTGAATCTTACTACCGTCTGTTATTGTTAACATATTAGATCCTTGCTTCTTCATTTTATATTCTATTATTTTATGCTTGTTAGTCTTTGCCAGAGCTTGTAATGGTGCTTCAACCTTTACTGACAGACCTTCATCATCAGATAACTTTGAGGTCAATTTTATAGTCTCTCCTGTTGGTAAAATAATATTTGATACACGACCTAAATTATCATAGTTGTAAATGTATGTTTCTCCACCACCGGAACGACTTGTCAATAAACCAGAATCTGCATCGTAGTCTAACGCAATTTCAGATCTACCATTCTCAGATAGTTTTTCCAAGAATCCAACTGCAGATATCTTTAACTCAGATTTATGATCCTGTGAATTCTCAATGGAGCTGACAACACCACTGTAATCTCGTAAGAATGTGATTTTATTTCTTGCACTGTCAGTTACGGTTGACAGCTTACCGAAACTTGTATTCTTTGAGTAAAGGAATGAGTATCGTGTTCTTCCGGTTGTCAAATCTTTTGTAGCTGCATGTTGACCGTATCTATTGAATACATAAATTTCATTCGATGGTGGGTAAGGTATTTGAAATTCACCAGCCTCATCAAGTTTAGGTAAATAAGGCTTAAGAGCGAGTATATGAAGACTCCCTTGATCTGCAACGTGAAGTACACCATCAGGAGATACTGCAAGAGCAGAAATAGCTTTAAACTTTGCATTAGAAGATAATAGAGTTTCTGTACTACTGATATCATCATTGCAGGTACATGTATCAGATATTTTTGAGTTTGGTGTAGTATTATTACATTCACATTGGTCATGACGGTCTTGTTGACGTCCAGCATAATGGGACATTTTTCCAGATGAGTCCACAACTCGGATTGAGTTAACACGATGTGAATTACTTTCTGCAATGTACAATTCTCCAGTAGGGCTAAAACTAACAGCAAGTACGGAGCCAAGTACTTGATCAGACTTTTTATTATTGATTGGAACAGTTGAATTGACTTTTGTCGCATCTCCACTATTAACATTGCTTGTACAATGGAGTGGAGTTCCAGCGACAACACGGACTTTGAGATCAGTAGTCAGTTTGAGAACTAGTCTGTCATCAATAAAATGAAGTGTACCGTCTAGAGGACTCAATGTCAACCCCGTAGGCCATTGGAGTTGAGCTTGACGAGCTGGAATAGCTCCAATACACGGGGCGGGTGACCAATGATTGTGATGTCCATGATGACCAACTAGAGTATGAATTATTTTTCGAGAATCTACTGCTCTGATATTAGTTCCATCAGCAATATACATTGTTTTATCGGCAGCTATGGCAATGCCTTTAGGGTGTGCAAGTTTAGCAAGAATGGCTGGACCTTCATCTCCACAATGTCCTTCATCACCAGGAATACAACGCTCTCCACTACCAACAACTGGCTCAATATTAAGACTAGGATCTTGTACTGGAGCCAATGATATTGTTTTGAAAATTCGATGTTTTTCTGGATCACTGATATATAGGTGACCATCTGCAGGCGATACACATAAATAGTACTGGTAGGCAACTTGAGTGGCACTGAGAATAAGTACAGTATAAACATTGCCTTCTGGGTCAATTCTTCGAACAAGATCAAAATCTCCTACATAAATACTACCATCTGGGCCACTTGCTAGTGCAACTGGAGTCAATAATTTAGCGTCTTTGGCTCGCCCATCGCAATCTTGACAAACGAGCTTTCTTTGGAAGCCTGTTCCCATAACAACCTCTACTATTCTTGGATATTGTTTGAAATGCAAAGTCGAGCCATCTCCTTTCTGTAATATGCCTTCATGGAAATTATAGTGATGATGAATATCCAAACTCCAACCGCCAATATCCGAGATATCGACATCAAAGCCTTGTAAGGTTGCTGTTTGCGTTTCCCAAATGATTGAAGGACAAGTCGAGTGCTGATAACCCACAGAAATTCGTGCTTGTGCTACTCCGTAAACCTTCTGCTTATAGACATTCCTCTTGTTCCAAGCAAAGGTATGAGTCAAATTAGGATCAGCTTCATAGATTTTGGTATGTACAGAACCCTCGATTTCCACATGAACATGAACATGAGTCAGAGATGGTGGAATAACTGACCCCGTCAATTGCATTCGAACTGTAGATAAGTAATTAGCTGCTTGACTACTCTGGTACATCAGATGCACATTTGATCCTGGTATTGGAATACTTTCTTGAACAATCTGAAAAATTATTTGATCAATTTAGTTCAAATGTCATTTTTTTTTATAATAAAAAAAACTTTCTTATATAATAAATATTTACCTGAGTCTCAGCCAGAACTAAACTTTGTCCTGGCAGTCCGCCAACTTTTTCAGGCATCCAAGTGCCAACAATTATAGGTTTAAGTATTTCATGATCGTGCTCCATGCAAGGTCCATTATCGACAAAGAGACCCATTGGTAATCCCGAAAATCCTATTTTAATTAAGAATAACAAAAATTATTTTAATTAAAATTTCTTTTTATAGATACACTTTTTATTTATCGATTAAATTTCGTTCAAATGATATTCGTTAAACCTCAAACAAATGTAGTTACACTGAATAAAAACATTATTTATCAAATGGTAGTAAATTTGAATTTACTGGACAAGAATTATTCAAATAAAACCTTTATTAATCAAAATAAATGTTTACGTACAGCGGATTTTAATGAAGATTTATTAGATTTGCATATAGCGCGTTAGATAAACTAAATTCATTATCTGAATTTCCTCTTGAATCTAAACGACAGCTGTGATAATAAAATAACTAAAAACATAACAGAAAAAAAAATACTCACCAATACTTGAACTAGATTGTTGATTAGATTGATCAGACCCTTCCTCTGCTAAAGTCATTACCACTGGTGGTAGGACAACTATTTGATTCCATGGGACAAATACGGTCCTTGTGAGAGGCTTGAAGGGGTTACGTTGGAATTGAAGTGTAACTGCTCCACCGCCATTCACCAGAATATCGAACCTAGAATATAATGAACATTAGAGTCGTCTGTGTAATTAAATCGGATTATCAGAAAGTATTGATTATCAATGTGAATGAGAATAGAATAATTAAAAGTATCATTAGATGAAATGAAAAAATTTTAATAATAATTGTATATACATTATATTAATATGAAAGCCTGTCAATTTGATTGCGTGTATTTTGGTTGATAATTCGGAGAGTTTAAGCGCTAAGAGGATTTCACTGTCGACCAAGAGAAAAGCTAATCCTCATAATACCCTAGATGCAAGAATAATTAGGAAGCTTTCAACAATATCAAATCCGGCTTTGACGTCATTTCTCTTTTCCTTTGCGATCTTCTGATCTACGATTATCAACTTCATAATGCTGCAATCGATAATGAGACGTTGTCGAAAGATTTGTTCTAGTGATAGTGGGAATTAGATAAATGAATTCAAAATTTAATTGATAATTATTGAGGGTGAGATACTGCCAGCAAGTAAAGTCTAGGTTATTGAAGATCAGCTTAAGATTGGATCAATGAATTGTACATTGAAACCAGCTAATTTTATTTTAAATAGTCTTTGAGGGAAGTTATTTAATTTCAATTTTCCTTTCTAAATAATGACATAATTCTAATTATTTAATTAATTAATTAATCATCTTTTTGAATAGTCTATCATAAATCTTGAAAAATATTTTGTAAATGAAACTTTTATGATTTATTCTTGAAAACCAACCCAATTTTTATTTTATCTTCTTCAAAATGGGTTATAATACCAGCAAACAAATTTATTATAATAATGAAATGAATGAATTAAAGAAGCCTTATTTGCCTAAGTAACTTTATAAACTTTTAATACTCACCATCCTCCAGCTCTAGTGAGTGTAAATCCAAAGCGTTGAGTTTTGTCCACTGAAACTCGTATTCCTACTATTCCCAGTCCTTGTTCCGTTACTACTTGGCCCCTCATCACTGCGACTCGGCTGTGACAAATGTCAGATATACTACCCAATTCTCATAACAAATGTAATAATGTGGTGTATGATGTGGATTGGGATGCTGTCGATGATTCGGGAATGCCGATTCGATTCGTACCGAAAAGAGAAATGCCACGCTTCACAACTGAATACTTGAAATTTCTAATGACGTTCTCAAGATCTCGTTATCAAGTTTATTAAGTTTCAACAGAGGATGCTGAGAGCGAACAAGTGGCTCCGACGTTCAGTAGAAATACGTAAAAGTACCAAGGAAGTAGAAAACGAATTTTAAATTTACGTGAAAAACGTAGGAAAAAAAAAAGTCAAAGTGTAGCAGGAAGAAGAAAAAACAGTAAGAAGAAGAAAAGTAGAAAGGTAAGATAGAGAAAAAGAAGTAGATTTACGAGTTTTGACGTTGGACGATCGTGAAGATGATGCTTTATTGGTAGGTCGCGCATACTCCGTGCAATACCGGTATTATATGGATACGAATCAGCTTTCCCGGTCAACGATTCTATGCGATTTAATATTCTCACTTTGCTTGGCACTAGGATGCGCGGATCGATAAATGCTCCACCGACAAACATTGAACTCGCTCGGACAGCAATGCTCGACCGGGCCGAATTTGAAGCGACGAGTGGAACAAATAGATTTTACAACTGGACAATGAAATGTGCGAGGAAAACTCGACCTGATATACCACCCCCTTACGCCTGATCATATATATTTTTATTTCGATATGGTCTACCAGTTGTACGCAGGGGAAATTTCAGGTCACGATATCAACTCGTTCAGCTTGGTGAGAATATTCAATCGTTTGAATTATAAAATTTTCATCCCGTGGGTCGGGGACTTTTCATGAAGTAAAATAGCATGCATATAGATATTTGTATTTGTATATATATATATATTATGTATAAAATATGTGTATATAAACGAATATATAGATAATGTAGTAAATTGAAGGGTATTTGGATGATTGCGTAAAATTGAAATGTAAGCTTGAAATTATTAAAGCAATCATGTGTGTGCTGAATATAATATAATTAAATGAAGATTATATAGAGGCGATAATATATATAATATCCTTGCATTGTAAAGTTTGTTATATATGATATATATGCAAGAAAAAATAGTGAATAAATATATATTTTTTATTGTGTGTGCACGGGATATCAAAAATATTCAACGAAATATCCCGAGCTCGTGGAATATTATTTCGTTGCATACATAACAAGCTATACAATCATGATGCACTTATGGTATATCCAAAAATATATATATAATATTCAATTATGTATCAGTCAGTTCCTAAGGAACTGCGAACAGGGGAAAGTATATTTCTTGGAGGATCACACTCCTTCTTGATTGATCGTTACCTTGCAATCAATTTCACGTGCATCATTATACTTTATTGATCTATAGACCCCAGACTGACACACCTTCTTTAGGCTTTCATTCAACAAAATAGACAGCAGACATGTTCTTTAATCATCCAATTATTTCCCTGTATCAATTATTAACTCTTGATTGGCAGGACATTACATTAAATTTTTATTAGCTTTGGAATGAAAGAAGAAAAAAATATTATACTGAATTGATAACTGTAGAATTGTATTTTAATTATTTATTTTTAATTCAACAAATTATTTAGATTAATTCTTGATTGACACATGGGGTGAATATGTGTTTTTTTTTTTAATAACAATTGGATGAATTAAATTTTATAACAATCTTGATATTTTGGTGCTGATTAAGGATCAGAGGGGAAATGAATTATTTTTGAAAAAAAAGGTGGTGTGTCACTTTAGGGAGTGTTAAAAAATTGAATGTAAAAAAGTATGTTTATAAAATCTTCGCAGCGTTGCTTCCTGCCATCTTATTATCGATGACTTGGGGATCAAACAATCCGGGGTGCTGATCCTCCAAGTATGAGCACAGCAAGGTGGCAGGCACTGTTGTCAACTACTTAATAATTATTTCAAACCATAACAAATGGTAAAAATAAATAAATGAATAAATAAATATATTATTGAAAAACACATTGAGATCATTAGATACAGACACCAAAACCTATTAAATAATGTAAATTAACAAAATAACGAGCGGTGTCTCTCGCGAAATCATGTCATTCTACTGTCGACTTTGTTTTCGTTTATCTATAAGAAAAGATATTAAAGACGCGAGGTAGTCGAGGCACATCGGCAATACAGAATAATTGAAATTATTGCCGACATAATCGCGTGCAACATGCCTCATAACTATATAATTCATTCTTTAGTATTTTATTGATATTTTTGTAGCTCTTTTCCATCCCCGAGGATTTTTCTTTCAATTTTAGGAGTGAAAATGAGCAAACCCAAATTACTTTTCCCTATATTTTTTTGTTTTTATTTTTTAATGCATCGAGACATAATTTGTAGATGTTTCAAATTTTTTTCAATTATTTTAAAAATTCCAATTTTTAATCTCGTCCTCCCGGTATACTCACATAAAGGGAATATATTTTTATGGAGTGGAGTGGAATAAGACAATGGATAGACAGACACAAGGTACGATGGTGTAGGCTTGATTGGACAAGGGTTATTGGTACACTGTAGACAGTAATACAGACGTAGACAAAGGACAAGGAGAGATTGTGAATTTAGATGTATGTATTTTTTTTTAAAACTTATTATAATAATAATAACAATATTTTATTGATTAATCAAAATCAAATTAAATGATTATTCAGAAATATATACAAGACAAATATCGAACCGATTGAACATAGATTTTTCAGCCGATCATTTGAGTTAATAAGCAGTGAAAAAGTATCGGTTAATTGCTTGTTATTGTGTAAATAATTTATTTGAACAATGTCAACAAAATAAAAGGAAAAAATTCAACGAGTGTATTATTTGGCGCGTAACATTATTATTCAGCGATGTGTAATAATGCTAAAGGACGTTCACTATATAGACAAGGTTCGACAAGGATATACACAGAATACAAGCCTCGCAACACAAAACAACACAAGACTGAGGATTATTTTAGTTGGTAACATGGTAACAACACTAATAGGACTATAAAACGCACTAATAGGACAAGAAGACAAGGCATAACATAAAATGATAAACATCTGATAACATATCACAGATAGACACAGAGACAGCTCGTACAATTTGTACTCAATGTACTTTTATAAAGGTCGATTGCTCCGGCCACGTTTTATCGTTTATAATTTTTTTATTTTATTTTTATTACTATACACAGATTCATTTTTTTCTCTCTCTCTCTATCTTTTTATTTATTTATTATTTATCAATTTTCAATAAAGACTAGTCAATTTAATTCGCATTGAGTAAAGTGTGATTGATGGAATTTCTCAAATAGATTATTCATTGAATGTATGTGAAAAAGAAGGCATCTGCGAGCTAGATAACGCAGACGGAGCCTCGAAACGATATGAAGAATATAAAGGGCTGAGAGCCAAAGTAAAGAAACAAGCGCTCAAACTCAGCAACGCAACAAGTAAATGGCTAACCTATTGAAGTAAATAATTCGAGCAAGAAATAATAATGATGATATTTAATATAAAGATGATACGAGAAATAAAGATCAAAATGAAAGATAGAGTTAAAATAATAGTGATTATTTTAAGAAAGAAGATGAATAATAATATGAAGAAATATGATTGATGAACAAGAACAAGACGAGCAAGAACAAGAATAGAAAAAGATTTGATTTTATTTTAAAAAAAGAAATAAATAATAATTTTCAGTAACAATAATGAATAAAAAGGCAGGCCAAGAAAGTATGGAGCCATTATGAAAACATATAAGATGATTTGTATACGAGCGAGGATGCATAGATGATTGGACATGAACGTTTGGTTTGCTTTTTAGCGAGAGCTGCAACTTACCACGGTGTAAAGGAACTCCAGAACGCACTACGTGTGGGAAAACCAACGAGAAGAAAGGGCGTTACCACGGTCACAGAACCCACATTTGCGGGCAATAACGATGCTCGTACGCAACATTGCACGCCCGAGAAAAAAATTCGCAACACGTTATTTACGGCTTTCTTTGCAGCAAAAAAAAACCGTTATAGTTTGTGAAGCGAACGCGAGAAAGACTCTTTTACTAGAAATTATTTTCATCAGTTGATTCTATTTCATTATTTACTTTACTTTCTCTTTTATTTTATTCATTATTTCATCTTATGATTTTTTCCAAATTTTCATTTATAAATTTTCAATGAATTTCAACAAAATTTACTAAATCCGGATTTTAGATAAAATTTAAGCTTCCGATTCCGGCCTCGGCGAGCTAGAGCTTTTAATGGAGTCCAGACGAGCGAGAAACAACGATGAAAGTATATAATAAATATATATATGTATGTATTATACGAAGAGCTTTCTCGATTCTGGTCTCTCTTTCTCAGCCTCACTTGTCCAGCTACTCTCAACGGTCTCTTTTGCTCACACATATTCTCTCGACTTTCTTCCGCTTTCTCTTTCTCTCGTTGTTGCAATGTTCCGTACGTCATTACAGAAACAATAGACGTAGACACACTAATCAAGCGTACTCATCATACATACTTGTCTCCATCCTCAGTCACTCACATTAAATTCATTCACTCGCTCTTACATTCAACATATAATGGTACATTAATGACAGACACAAGTTGGAACACAACGCAACAACACACGATATTAAATTATATAACAACGTAAACACCCATATCGGATAACCATTTTTTTCATTTACATCTCAATTATTTTTTATTTGCTTTCTTCTTTTTTCCTCATTTCTTTTTTTTTTTTTACTTTATTTCATTGGACTTTGTTTTTTTTCGTTGTTTATTTTAACAATTTTCTACAAATTACTGCTCACATTGGCTTTAAAATCATTTAAGTAAAATAGTTTAAAGAAAAAAACAGGAATGACGAAGCGATACTCTTGGGTAACGATTGATTATCGATAGATATTTTCTCCAACAACAATTCTCTCGTGTGTCTGACTGTATCTTTATCTCTTCCACTGCTCGATCGATTACACAGGCCTAGTTTTATTTGGTCTACACAAAAAGTTAACTTGAATTTTCGTTTACTATCAAAACATTCTCCTGATGCCAGTCGTACACTTTATTAATCCGAAAATCGACTTCTTGATGTTAGAATTTACTTAGAGTTACATTGAGTTTCAAGTCACTTCAGTTACGTATGTACGTCAACGAGTGATTTATTCTGTCCCACGACAATTGAAAAGTTCTATGCATCAGTAAGTGGGTTTCAAGGTGTGTGTCACGTCGTGAAGAGAAAAAGAAAATTGCCAAAGTGAAAGAAAAAGAAGGTCCAATGGAACCCCGTTTGTCAATAGCTTGAGGAAAATTTTAGAATCTCGTTTTCAAAACTCTACTTCTCTTCCCTTACTTCTAACTCAACTATTCAAAGTATGCTCGTATGAATTTCAAATTTTTCACTTTACCTAAACGACAATAATTTTGAATGACTTGACAGTATTATATTGAATGTGCATTGAATAATTTGATAATAAAAATTACTATGATACAGGATGTGATATTTGACCGGGATTGACCTCGTCAATCGATTTGACTAGACATGGCGTGATCATGGCGTATATTGACAAATAGAGAGTATTGAAACCTGTCTTATTGTGACAGGTAGCAAAATGATTGATACTCTTCGTGATATCTTTAGACTCGATTCGCTTATTCCTATCGCTCCGTCATTCCTATCTGCAGAATACCAACACCAGTAAAATATAATGCACGCTAATAAAAAGTATATAAAAAGAAAATAAAATGTCAAGTTACATCTTTTCATTTCCTTCATGAGGAAACAGTAGAATAAAATTGAGAAAAAAAAACAAAGCAAATAATAAATAGCGGATTTCAAACTTGTGTCCATCATGTTAAAAGTACGTTTAAATTGAATGCCAAATTGAGAGATGAATTCATTATTCAAATGTATGATTAATTTTATTACTTCCACTATTTGAGCTAAATAAACGAATAAATTAAGTTTTCAACTTGGCATCAATTTCAACGGTTTTACCATGAAATCCTTTCGTATTTGCCCGAGAATTATAATAACGGGCAATTCTGAAAGTGCACATATGAAATAGCTAGCATTTGTCCATCGTTATTCTTATAAATATTTTCTGTCTTATAGCGAATTTTAATTGCCATTTAATTCATACGTATAAATATATAATAAATATATATATAAAGGAGCTATTTAAGAAAGATTTACGCGAAAGCAAATGATCTTAAAAGTAACAACGAAATTACTGCTGAAAAAAATTACATTGTTTTTTTTTTCTTTACTTTAATGATTTTCGTTATTCTTTGACGAACACTGAGTCTCAAACGGCTATAGGTGAGTGGTGATCTTGGTGATGGTAAGGTAACACACATAAGGTTTAACATTAGACAATTACACGAATCCCCTGAATAAAAGGCACCAAGTCGATCAACGTTGGATAAAATATACCCATCATGTGTCCTCGCAGCAATGCCAGAAGTAAAGAACCTTCAGAAATCTTGAGACTCTCAAATTTTCTCTTCAAGTTTACGTTCATTATGCATTATTTTAAGCTCTGAAATATTGATCAAGTATACCATGGTACAACGAAGGTCCCTCGTTTAGACTACACTTGATAAAAAGGTTGAATAAATTCATAGCCAATCAATGATTTATATAATACATATTGATTGATAATTAGCACAAAGAAATGTGTTTATTGTAAATCAATAACAAACGTAAAGAATAAGAGATAAAGTAGTCCTTTGCTCCGGCAATGTTATCGAGGTGATCGTCGATGCACCTGTCATTCAGGGGAGGGAGAGGGCAGGTAACAAACACTTGGAGAAGGACGTTTGATTTAGTAAAAGGAGGTTCGATTGGAGTGAACTTGTCACTCTGTCGCGCGGTAACCTGAAGACCGTATATTTGACAACGATTGAACGTAACCACCCCGTGGGACATGTTAAATAAAACTTATCCAAGTCTACGTCGTTGTTACTACTTGACCGTCACTCACGATAGGATCCACTTGTATAAAACACAGAGTGAAAGAAATTCTTTTATCTTATTTTTTCAACTTTAATTCTTTTGCTTTATCGCATTGCTCCCTTGACACAGCTCGAAATTTACAGATTTTTGTTCGATATATTTTTTTTTTTCCATTGAAGATACCTTGAAGCTTATAGGGATATTGGCACGCGAAGAATTCCGATTATCAAAGAGATTTCTCTCTTTTCACCCTTTTGTTAAATTAATTCAATCGCATTTCAATTCTTGTATCTTTTGGCCAAAGAAAAGCGGAGTAAAGGCTAATATCCGTGAACGGGAAAACTCTTTTGTAGTAATTTTCTTTGTTTATTTGATAACCCCATTTCAACTGTCAACAGATCTAATTCAACGTACCTTAAACTTGATAAGATTTAATCTTATTTAAGTGGTACTTTTTAGATATATTATTAATGTATAAAACATAACAAGGATGTCATCATGATTGAATAATATTTAATTAAAATTCCCATCGTGAGTTGAAGCAGCCATGTAAAACGATATTTAATTATTCGAACGTTTGTTTATTATATTGAATAGTTAATTAGTCCCATTAAATTCGCCGCGTGCCTCGAATATTTTTATTTCAATTAAAACAAGTAATGGCAAGATTGACGAAGATAATTTTATTAGAAAATTAATTTGTTAATTCTTTTTTTCCTTTAATTTTTCACTTTAATTTCAATTTAAATCGCGATTTATTCTCTGCTTAAATTTTTATGAAAAAAATTCGGATAACCATCTTTTTTTCTTTTCCTTATTCCCAACGCAATATATTCTCTCTTTGAAATTTACTCATTTGTACTAATGAAACTTACTGAAAAAAGTTGATCCTACCTTTCATCATACTCGTCAGTGTGCACGTAACTCTGGACGCTTTTTTCTTCAATAAGGAACTTTACTCGTAACCAGAAAGACGCTGTTACACTTGGTGGTTGTTTCCGTAGTAGAACTTCAACAGGATCACTACTGACCAAGCACATAACATGTTTGACACAAGATGGTTGAGAACAGCACTCGCTATCAAAACAATCGACCATTCCGTCTAAATAGAAAAGAAGAGTTTTATCACAAACATTTCATCAAATGGTTAGAGTTTATCTTCTTGATGTAGAAAATCATCAAAACAATGTAAAAGTTATGAACAATATATATCATGAGGAAGTTTTAAACTCACCATTGTCATTATCAATATCATCGTTACATTCCTTTTCAAGTTCTATACTACAATCTTTGCCTGCCCAGCCAGTTGAACATTCACAACGATATTCTCCATCTTGGAGAGCACATATTCCATGTCTGCTACAGCCATTCTCACATCCAGCTAAAAATAAAATTAATCAATAACATAAATAATTTATATTCCAATTTAAATAGAGTTCATTACACTTTTGCTAATTATATTAATATTTATTCACAAACTAATTCTATTATTTAATCAATTTTTTGCTCTCTAATATTATGACATTAAAACAGTCAGAGAAACGGATTAATTTTATGTTTTATATTCAGTACAAAAAAAACTTCATTAAGCTTTAAAGATGTAATTAAGATAGAGTATTGGTTTTATTGCTACATTAGTTACAGTTTGTTGGCAATTATCAATTTCATTCTCATGAATTCTATAATAAGATGGTAATTTAATTCTACTTTTGATTCTTCAAACAGAAATACTTTTTTTAAAACTGTCAAACAGTATTACCTGAACATTGAGAAACTTTCTTTCAAAATATCACATATACTTACGTAGAGTACAATGTCTTCCATTCCATCCTTGGCTGCAAACACAAGTGCCGTTTTTGCACTGGCCATGTTCAGCACATCGGGGGTCGCATGGCTTTTGATCACATTTGGTTCCCGTCCAACCGTCATGACATCTGAAAAAGTAGTATAATAAATCGTGAAATAACAATGAGAAAGGTATCAGCAATAAATTCGTACTAAATAAAAATTCTCGATATCGATAATATATAGATGGAATTATTTTTAAATTATTTATCAACTAAAAATATTCAAGAGGAGTTAAGTCTACTAACTTGCAAACGCCTTGCTCACAAGAGCCATGAGAGCCGCAATCAAGGCTACAACTTGACTGAGAACAATCAGCTCCAGTCCAATGTTCCTCACAAAGACAAGTGCCAGTCTCAAGATCATAAGACCCATGGTCAGAGCATCCTGGTAGGCATTGATAAATCCTTTGATCTACTTTATCACATTTTTCACCTTGCCATCCAGCTTTACAGTAACATTTTCCAGCAACACAAGCACCATGGCCACTGCATGTTGGATCTCGACAATCAGCTATAACAATAATAATATCATCAATTACTATAATCACTCAATTAATAATTATTTTCCTCATTTATATCTGTCAGGTATGAAATTAATGGTCATCCTACACAATAACCACAAGCTCGATTTTTTGGGAGTATTTTTATTGTCATTTTTTCTTGAAAAACAATTAGAATGGATTCTTCTTTATATTAATTTGCAATTACAATTACTAATTATCTCTATCGACAATTCTATTATTCAATTTTAAATTATTATGTAATAGTTTTCAATTCACAGATAATTTGATTACTTTATTATGCGTGTAATTTTTATTTAAAAATTTTTTGAATCAAACTAGGCCAACGATTATTTTCATTCTAATAATTTGGGGTTGAAAATAGAGAATACAGATAAAAATAGTGACTATTTATTAAAATATTTTTATCAGAGATCGTTCATCACGTAGGATTGATTATTGTGGTCTGTGACAGCAACAAAAGTTCTGATTTCTTATCAGAGATTTTCTCCCATTTTCGTTGTCATTCTTTCTTTAAAACGCGTTCGTGCTAGTTCTGATTACAGTAACAGACTGAATGAATGGATAAACTTTTTAAATTATGACTCCCTGAATAATCGTTTTCTATTCTGTCAAATCTCCAACAATGAAAAATGAAGTTGTGTTGGGAATATTTTTAGAGCGTCGAAACATTGAAAATTGTTTAGCATTCCAGTAGTTGGAATTTGCTATTATCAAAAGTACATGGATATTAAAATTAGTTTTTCGTTATATTTTTCTCTTTCGCTGAACAGCAGAATTTATTCTTGAGTAAAATTGTAACCTGGCACATCGTATTATGTGGGAGTAGAGTGACATAACGGGTTCTGTGAAAATGTACGGAATATTTATGGAAATTTTGCGAGGAAATCCACGGAAGTCTGCATTGAATCTAAGCTCGACCACATGTAAATTCATCGTACCTAGAAAGCTTCCCTGAGCATTAATTATAGGTTGTTCTATACTGAGACGCTAGTGTGTTGCCATAGTTAGCCTTCATGTTACTAATATCTTGGATCTCTATGAATGTACTCAAGAGGCAAAATGGAAAGAGAGGAAGTATACAGGATGTATGCTCAAATTGGTAGAAGATTAATCACATCGTGGATAAATATTACCGTATAATCGCTTTTTAACATAAAACTTTAACTAAGTCTCTCGAATAATCATCAATTATCTTCATTACATGAATGTTTTAGTGGTAGAAAATTTTAATGAAGAAGAAATATATAAAAATAAATATATCCATTTTTCTATGTACTTAGTGGAATTGTTCTAAAAACACATTTAACTAATTTCAAAGGACTATCTGGAACTTTCGTTTTTATTTAATTATACAGAAAATTCAATTAAGTGCGAATTACTATCTGGAAACTAATTTTGAACTTTGTAATTTGAAAAAAGAAAAGATTTTTTTTTTTTTTTATTTTATTTAAAAGTTCCAAAATATTTTACATATTTAAATATGTAATTTTCTCTTATAAACTATGAAAATGATTGGAAATCCATCAAAATACCAAATAGATGATTTTAACGTGAAAAGGTCAAATTATGTACTATAAACAACTTTAAACAATGACGTGACCAAACTTTTAATGTGTGCACTGAATTTCTATCGATTTGAAAGTTTGATGAATAGCTATTGAAATTGGGTAAAGCAAGTTAATATAATTTTTTTAGGATTTGTAATTACTAATTTTAACTGACGTGATCAAATTTACTTTGTGCGTTGTCGAACTTACTAAACAATCGAACACGTTTTTCCAGTGTTCGTGAAATTAAATTGCAAAAAAGGTCTATAAAAAGTCTAAAAAAAACCTCCGGCATTCAACCAAAAGTAACAATTTTTTTTCCTGCGGAAGTCGGTAACAAAATTACTCACGCTCTTCACAGAATTCTCCCTTCCATCCGGGATTACAGACACAAGAGCCACGCACGCACTGTCCGTGCTGATTGCAATCGGGGACTTGGCAATCACCAAGCGGAATGTCGCACTCGGCACCCTTCCAGCCTTCCTCACAATGACAGATACCACCGCCGTACACTCCATGAGATGAGCAAAGAACCGGACAGACACTCTTGCTGCAATCTGCACCCTGTGGAGAAAATAAATGTTGTTATATTTTGAGTAATCATCCTGTCACTTGAATCATCATTCATTTAGACGTCCGCTTACCTGGTAGCCATCAATACAGTCACATTTTCCTAGATAACAAGATCCACGTCCAGAGCAATCATTTGGACATGTAGTAGATACTCCCTCAGCTTCAGTAACAACTAGTGTCACTTTATAAGGTCGAAGTTCATCATTATAAACAGATAAGAACCAACGTCCAGTGTCTAGATATTGAAGTAAGCTGACATTGACAAGCATTGGATTAAGTATCGTCCGTTTCATCAGAATATGATGATAATTTGTCACATCACCATCATTGTCATCATCATCATCAGAATCTGGTCGTCCAACTTCCTCATGAACAATTGATTCTTCCATGAAACTTACAGCTCCTGGGATGACTTCTCGCTTCAATCTTTGATCTATTCTACCTCCCTTAACAAATTTAACAAAGTCATACTGCGTAACACTAGGAGCGACATTTCGTCGACCGTAAACTGCAAAATTAGCTCCCCAAGGTAATGTTAAATTAAGCCTTATAAAGGCAGGCTGCTTGGTACGAAATTCCGAGTTCCAGAAATGATAAGGCGGTATGACGGCCGAGTGCGCAACATCGTATGCTTGGAGCTCCAGAACTGTTGGCCATTGTTGGGCTGATTGTTGCGTCTGAGGGTCGCTCTGCTGTTCATTGCTGTCCGAGGCGCTTGAGTGTTCTGCTGTACTCGTAGGTAGAGATTCTGAAAGATAACCATCAACTATATGAGATTTGGACAAAAGCATGCTTTTTATCGTACTCTATATCATCTAAAATGTATGAACCTTCTGTTGGTAGTTGAGTTGATACAGGATCGTGGATGTTGGCATTCTCGTGGGTTACCGTCTTTGTGTCTTGGTCGAAAATGCAGTTGGTGTTGTCTATCGGCCGCATAGAGCTGACAGCTGTAAAGAAAAAAATAGTGATTAGAAGATTGATTGTTTTTATGTGTCTAAAAATATTTTTAAAAATTAGTCTTGACGTGGAGATGAAAAATTGGTTAAAATATGCTTTTGGTAGATTTTAGATATTGTATATTTCGAACAATCATATATTTTGCTTTGATATATTTTTTTTCCACATTTTATCATCATCTAAAGTGAGCTTTGTGAATTCATTTTTTTCAATAAATATTAAGGCTTTGATACAGTTTTGTATGAATAAAAAATGGAGAAAAATGAACAGAATAATTTACGGCAGTGCATAATATTAATATTGAATTAATTTACATAAAAAAAAAATGATGAAAAATATAGAACTTTTGAATAAAATAATTTAATAAATTTGGTAATGCAACATATTTTGTATAAACTATACACTAAATCATTTCATTCATTATTTATTTTACAAAACATTTCAATAAATTTCTAAAAGGAATTTGTATGCTCATTAATTTTTTTTTAATTTCTATTTAAAATTTTCATTTTTTATTGAACATAATATAACTTTTCGGAGAAATAATTTGGCAAATTAATATGCTATAGAAAAGCATCATTCAAATATATTAAAAGTATAAATATATATTTAATAAATAATTCTGCAAATCATGGCATATGATAGAGTATTCTATTCTTTCATAGTCGCTGAGTGGATTAAGAGGCTGACAATTTAAGATGAAGAGATACAGTGTTGGTATTTACGTTAAAACTCGAAATCGACGGAATGGGAACAGAAAGAGAAGACTTGAAGCATCGAAACAAATGGCAGGAAGATATAAGTGTTAAATGATTAGACGTTGGCTGTGAAGATTAGTTAAGTTCTTAGACTGATGGATGGTGACGTGAATGAGGGAGAAAAGAGTTTCTTCCGCTCTTCAGAATCCTATCATTTAATCTCTGATCTCTCGAAAAAATCTATTTGATTGCCACTCTGACCCAATGGGTGTTATTTCGTCAATAAAAAATAAAAATACTTGACACATTAATACCCAAAGCTTATTATTATCTTCATGAATTCAACTTCAGATGAATTGCGTTTTGCTCACTAATATTTGGTAACAAAAAAAAATATCATAAGAACACTTTAATACTTTTTAGTAAATCCACTCTGTAGCAGTAACGATGGAAAGGAATTTAAAAGAGTTTCAGCTAATATTTTCTGATGAGTTAAATAAAGAAAAACTATATGGGGGCTTGGAGATAAAAAATTAATTAAATTTTTTCAACTTTTTTAGAATTAATAACCACTCACGTAACTTTTGTATTATGATTTCTGTTTACATCACTGGTGAATTGTTTAGAACAATTCCATGCTTCACATTTATTGTCAAATTTTTTCAATACATTCCGAAAAATAATGCTATTTTGCACAAAATGAAAAGTAAACGAGTAGAAGATAACTGTTTTTAACAGAGCCGGCTGTATCGAATTTTGAAAGCCATTCATTGAACTTTTGTCTCGTTGGTTTTTATTTTTGATAATTTTTATTACTCTATTCTTTTGAATTTTATTTAATTTTCTCTGCAGCTATGCAACTGACTAAATGAAAACAAAGGCCTTACACAACGAAATCTGTAAAAAGTTCATTTTGACTCATTGTCTGTATCTGTAACCATAGTTACTTAGTCATATAGATAAATATAAAAGGTTTTTTTTTTATAGAAATTCCGTACGATTAATATGACTATAATCGATTTAGTGCATTATTGATAAAGTTTTTTCTATCTTACCAGGATAGAAATATGAAATTTTTACCAAGACATCAAGCAAAACTTTAGTGGTTTTGATATTTTATATTTACCAAGAAGCAAACTTTTATGGAGAAGGGAAAAAGTTAGGTAAGTTTTGGGAAGTACGAATGAGAATTCCTGAACAACTTAAAGGAGTAAAGAGAGGATGGTGAACCACAGACCAAGAAACTAACGTGTCTTGGCTTTATACTGACGTAAGATGAAGCATGATGGACTATTCCCTTAGGGTCCTTAGTCATTTCCGTTATGTAACTATCGTTGAAATTGAGTTGCAGAGAATTGTGAATTACTTTATTTTACATTTATATAATAAAGTATTTATTACATAATACTTTATTCTCACAATTCTATTAAATTTTTTTATTTTTCAAATATTACTCTGACAAACTCATAACTTCTTTCCGTTTTTTAATCAATAAATTCCTGCAAAAAAGTTACTTTTACTTCATCTTTACGATCCTATTGATTTCTGGAGCATCATCAACTTCTTCAACACTTCTCCATCTGTTGATGACAAATTCAACAGATCGCCAGTTTTCACACTTTAAGAATATAAAATATATAAAAATACAGGAAATTGGAATAGCTATAATGCAAGAGGTTCCTGCTGACCAGGAAGCAACGGGTAAAGGGGTTGGCTCTCAGTGGAAAGGATAAAGTTATAGATGGGGGAAGGATGAAAATAGATATCGAATGCCAACTAAGTTGAACGGGCGTACAGTAGACTAAGATGCTCTGCTAACTTTTTCAATTATATCGGTCTAAGGATCGATGCCAGAACTCAAATTTCTGAGTTATATTCAACGGATTATCGCCGGATAATCCCACTCTTCTCTTCTAGCTAAGCTTCAACTCTCTAGTTGTCTAACCTAGTAATACGTACAAGAGCTACGAGTTGGCAGCAGAAACTATCTCGCAATTCTAGCATTTTACAACATTGATATCATATCAGAAGGATTTATAACTTATTTTATTTTCAAAAAAAAAAAAAAAGATTCAAATGCATTTTTACTCTAGGAATATAAAAATTTAAAGATGAATTCATAAAATATTAGAGGATTTGCAAACAAAAAGAAAGGCTTGTTTTATTTTTCATTTAGCAGGAAATAATTTTCTTATTTTTAAAATTAAATATGGAAAAGATTATTTTTCTTTTTTTAGGTGAGAAAATGTTTTAATTAATAAAGTGGTTGTTATGGTATTAAAACAGAGTCATTAATTATGAATGAATATTAACATTTAATATTTTTCTAGAATAAAAGTTGATACTAAATAGGAAAGCTGATTTTTTTTTGGTAAATAACAATTGAAGTAAAAGAGAAAAGGTTTCAAGAGTCTATTCTTTTATACTCTGAATATAATATTCAACTGCTGTTGGGAAATAATTGATTCCAAAGCTGTTTATATATACATTTATTTTTCTACTGAGTTTCATTATTTAATTTAATAAAAATTTTCAAAGCAAAGAATAATTATTACTTTAACTATTTAACGTACCATAAATATCACTATTATTAAACTGAAGCTTGTACACCCACATTAAATAATAATCTCTAGTTCTTTAATTTTTTAAATTACAAAAGAAGAGAAGTGACCTATTTTTTTTAAGTAAAAAACAGAGCTTATTGTTCATACTTTGAAGTTCTAAAAATATTCAAGAATTTTTACAAAAGAAGTTAAATTGTTTCTCTGCAATTTACATCAAATACTAGAATCTTAGTGGATGATTGACTTGTTAATTGAAAAAGAAATTACCCAACACAATGATTGAATATAAATTCTGATTGAAAAATATCTTGATGATTTCAAAATTGTGTAGGCGAAGAATATTGGATTATAATAGAAATGTCAGACTCGGAAATAATATATACATTTATGTTGGAGGTGTTGGCGCGCGTGCGAGACGTCGCGTGAGATGAGAAAGTGAAAATGGAGAAGATTTGAAAGGCTGCAACACGAGAGCAATACGAGGAGAGAAAAAGGGAGGTTCGATAGATGCAACGACAAGCAGGCAGATTGGATTCCCAACTCGATTTACCGGAATGCAGGAATAACAGCTACTGCAGGGAGCTATACTTCTGGACATTTTGAATTTGCAATCTCTTCTACGCGAAGAATATGAGACAGGACACGTGAATACTCGTCTATTCATGTGAGAATGTGCTATTGCTTTTTATCTTTATTTTATATATATATATGCTCCTTGAATTCCATTTATTTCTATCTACTTTCTTCAAGATAAATCATCTTCCCTTGTGTCTGAAAACCTTGACCGTCGTCCAGGATTTTTCTGTCTGCTCCAGCAGACTACGAAATGAAGAACCAAATCCTCAAGACATTCCATTTTCTTTGTCTATTAATCTTTTTCAAAATTCCAACATTTTCACGTCTCTGTCTCTCTTGTGTGTTCAACTTCTCGAAAGCATAAACTAGAATTTCACTCTGCTCTCATTAGGTTAATTAAAATTCATAAGATTTTTTATAAATTGCTGGAATTTTTACAAATGACTTTCTACCCTTTTACAATCGTGCAAGGTGCAAGAGTCATAAACTTGATGGTCTTATTAACATTAAATTCATTTGTCAAACTTATTTTGAAAATAGTCGAGTTAAAGTTAATGTGCTTTACACATTCAGGATAATTAATAAATTTTAGTTAGGAATAAATTTGATTTATAATTATTTTTCAACAGTATCTCAAATATAGTATCTAATCAAGTAGTTCATTCTTGAATGGAAAATTTCATTTACTTAATTATTTTTCCTCTCTATTTTCATGAGAGAAAACATGTAGTAATTTTTTTTAATTCGCTAGCATTATTAATTAATTTTTTCCATCTAAGCTATTTGATCTTCGAGTCACGTTGGTAGCTACTAATTCCCACTTTAAATAAAAAAGATTATCCCTCAATCAATGTCACAATTTATCACTTCTGAGCATATTAATCATTTTATTGGGGATAAAAAAGTATATATGCTCTCAAGTAAGTTCAATTTTTTTTGCTCAATGAACCTTCATTAATATTGATTAATAAGTCTGATGAATAAATAATAATATAACAACATTACATAATTAACTTTAATTTGTCTCCAATAGTTTACATTTTTAATATTCAACTGCTAAGATTATTCAAGAATTATAATTAAAAAAGAAATGATAAGAATTTTATCTATCATGAATCTTAGAAAAACAAAGAATTATAATTTATGATTAATCAATTTTGATATTTTATTGATTAATGATACAGAAATAAACATATTTGATTTTTTTGACAAGATTAAACCCTAGTATTCTATTTTTTGTTCCGTTATCTACGATCCCTTGTACTATTAAAAACTAATTTGTCTTCGAAAGATGATCAGCTCGAAACAAAACAAAAAACAATTCGATAAATACATCTCCAAAGGTTGTTTATTTAATGAACCCATCTCCAAAAAGTAAAACTTTTTCTCTCCGAGGTATTTAATAACCGAATTCCGGAGTTAAAAATGCTGTGTAATGAATCAAAATGAAATTTTCAATCACATCTGTCGACAGAATCATTGTCCAAACTAGAATATGGTACCCGGAAGAAAAACGTGATCACTGACCATAAGGGAAATTCTCAACGGTTAATCAGAATAGTCGAGAAAATAATGATTAGTCGAGAGAATTGGGAACTATGGCTGATCAATTCCACTAATCTCAAGGGATTGGAATTTATTTAGTTGTTGGCAGGGTTTCTTCACCCTGAGTAAGCACTTCTTAAGCCAACGTGAATCTGTCCCATGTGAATAGAGCATTTATTATGTATCGAGTCTGCTAAATATTCCTCCTTCTCGGTGGGAAGTTGGTGGCGACTTTTCGACTTGAATGAATCAATAGTGAGTAAGACTTGGGAAGCAATCTAGAAAGGGCCGTTGACTCGTCTATTAAGACAGTAAGGTTGGGCGACATCATTAGAGCAAATCGTTAACGGTCTATTGGCTTATTGAGAGCAAAGTCAGGGCGTTCACAGGAACGCTCCACTGACAACACACAAGTTATGCATACACCATTGCCCACCCTGGCTGTTCGTGAGAACGGACGTGACCTCCATTTGCAATGTCTTAACAATGTCGTCAAGAGAACGAAGAAACGCATGCGTCCAACAATATCAAACTCGCCAAGTCCACGAAACTCAAATAGTCATTTATTTCTGCTTCCCATTTGCTTTATTTCTGTTACAAATTCTCTCTAGCTGTACCATTGCATCAAGATGGTGGTACATGGAATAATACTTACCAGCAAAATAAGCAAGTATCGCTGTGAGAGCGACAGTAAGGAATATCAAGGTGACAGAGAAGCACTTCCATGAACATCGATGTTGGCATCGTTTGTCAATGTGGAAACGTGAAGGCGAGTACGGAGAGTAATGGGGTCCAACAGCGGAACGGAGCGGGAAGCTAGGCATAACCAGCGGTTGACCCTGGCCACCCGGAGCTGCTCCACCATTCCCAGTACCCACTCCGCTACCTAACGAACCGACGGTCACCTGCTGTTGCGGGGGTGGTAATCTGGAACAATTGGAAAGAAAACAAATATATTATTACCAGTTTATTGTGTACAATATACCTGTTTGTATTTATTTTTCGGTTGTTATATTCATCAGGATTTGAAGCGTATATAACGATGACATAATATAGGAGTTATTCCAAAGGATATAATTGTTAGTAACAATTGTATAACATGGTTTAATATGACTCTTTTATCGATCTTGGATTATTAAAGTTTAATGTAGCATCACGCAATTTAAATAATTATTGTATGGAAGGTTGGGAAATAAATGGTTAGCATTGGGTTATAATAATTAATTTAATGTCTGTTGAAATATTATTTAAGTTTTTGAAATTTTACCTGTACTAATTATTATTTTATTATTAATATTCATAAAAGTATTGTGCTAGTTTATTTTCATTATAAAATTTGTTTAAAAATTCTTTTTTGACCTGATTTTTTTTCACAAAATAATCTACAAAGGGTTCATTGAAAACGAAAAAAAAAGAGGTTTTTTTTTAATAATTTATCTCCAAGTGTATATTTTACATTACAGAATGGATTTTGCATTTTTCTCAATACTATTGTGCATTTGTTAAGGTTTTTATGATAAAGTAATGAGATTGTGAACAAGCTGAATTAATTATTATTGCAGTAGCTTTTATGTTCTTTTTTAGCAGATTGTGGAAAAGATTTGTCGAAATAACAATAATTGATAGAAATCAGCTTTATTTAAAATAATAAAAAAAGCTTTTTACAATATATAAATGTCTAAAATAGATATGATTATAAATCAAAAACTTCTTCACAGTGAACATAAATAACTTTTCAACTTTTTTATTCTTGTTTAAATCTAGTAACTTAATGTAACTTATAATTATATTTTTATTAAAGGGTAAATATATGGGCCGTTCTGCACTGAATAAGTAGTCGTGTACTGAGTATATAACCGAGTACAAACGTGTAGTAAAAAAATGTCGTGGGCTTAATAAGAATAAAATGAAATATCATGCGGTGGTAGGTGAGGTGTGTAGCTTTTGTCCAACGGCATGGAAGAGACAAGATCAAGAAAAGGAAAAATGTTCTTCAGTCTCTTGTATAAATCTTTCAAAAGTAAAGGTGAGGGAGTGAGAGAGAATCGTAGGGCGAAAAAAAAAAGAATTGTCCTACCCATGCGCAACGACCTGAAGAGCACGTCGACCCGTGTCAACATTTTTATCTTCGTCATCATCGATATTTATGATCCGAGAACGTAATGTGTGCATTCATAGCTTCACGTCAATGAGAAAAAAAAAACTAGAGGCGTGGATATTTAATAGAGTTCAGGCAAGTAAATATAATTATTCGATAATCGGATAAACTCCTGTATGAATGGAATTAGTTTGACCACAATCTATACATGTGTGTGCTTGAGTTCTGCTTTTATATATCAATGAGATGAAATTCTATTATGAGAATAGAAACGACCACGATTCACGGCTGTGGCTAAGTTTGTGGCCAAAAAATATGGAAGAGAACGATAAAAGATAGGAATATGATGGAACGAAGAGACCGTTATATAGCTCCTGCCAATACCTAAGGTCAATATTGAATTTTCCCGCGTGCAAACCATAATAACAAGACCCATATGGTCTTCTCCGCAACTGGATATTTTCTATCTCTAAATAGTTACACTCGAAACCTTTTTTTGACAGGAAAAAAGATGAAGATAACACAAAGTAAATTTTTTTCTAAATAAAATACAAAATATTTTCGAGTTACCGAGTGAAAATATATTTTTTGGGAGAAAGGAAATGTAGGTATTTGGTTAAAAATTTAAACTGTCGTTATGTTTTATTCATATTATTTCACTGGATAAATTTTTTTGGTCAATAGTTAATCAGCATGAAAGAGGGAAAAATGTTTTGATCAATTTTATTATCTAGAGTAATTTATTTGTTGGATAAATGAAGTAATTAGTGGCTAATATTTTTTGGATTTTGTCAAGTCGCAAAAAATTGAGATCGTTAATGTGACTTCTGGCAGAAGTCCGAATGGTTATAGACCATAAAAGACAAAGGTCATTGGATTACAGAGAAATGAAGCGGTGCGACAAATAATTACATTTTTCTAAATGTACTATCGTTAACTGAGAAAGATAGATATCATGGTGAGAATTAATTTACCAGAACGATCGTGAGAAAGATCCAAAATTATTCTTCGGGTCATAAAGTGCAATCTTTTGTGAAAAAAAAAAATTCACAATAAAATTTATTTAATAGAGAAGAGCATTTCAATTATAATTTAAACCAAAAAAAAAAAAAATATTTAGTCGATTTAAATAAAGACACTAATTTATTCATGATGATTTTTTTTTTTTTGTAATAAAATAACAGAATAATAATTTAGATTCTCAGCACATTAAACAATGGTTACAAAATATATATTAAAATGAATGAGACTTTCACAACAATTTTTATAGACTATTCTCTCCATGTAGGGATGTAGTTGGAGGTGGCTAAAGACACATTATAGCACAATATCACGAATGGTAGGAAGTAATAATTCGAATGTAGGTAAAATTCAAAGAGTTTGGGTTTCGTGAGTAGGATCGATATTTCATGAGGTCTCAAGGAAATAGAAAGAAAGAATGCTCGAGACATATGTCAAAAATTATCGTCGCTTGCACATTGCAGGGAATGAAATGCATGATAAATAATTCATGATGGCTATATGTGTTTTAACCTGTGGTGCGTGGAACGTTGATAAAAATATGCATGAAAGAAATAACAACGAGTAAAACATATAGGTATAAAGTCACAATACATAGAATGTATATAGAAGGGAGGTAGGTAGTAGGTTTTATAGTGATAGGCGCGTCGATCGAGTCAATGTAAAACACGAATCCCATTAATACTCAGTCGAGCGTACAACGAGTGGAGCACATGGTTTGTTGTGTTAAATAATTGTGAAGCAGTGGTGGTCGCGTGAACACCACCCTGCGAGGTCCTTGATTGCACTTAACGGACGGAGAGGGTTCGTAAGGAAAGATGGTCGTGTGAGCCTAGCAATAACTTCAGCTGTCTCACTTATTCATTCTCTTGGTTCATGGAACCCAATAAGTCAGGATGATTCGTTGCTACTCCCCCTAGTCGTAATACGACTTAATCCATTTGTACAACTAAGTCGTTTACTCAAAATTGGGTTATATTTTCTAATCGATATGATGAATTAGGTTGGCACCAAGTACTTGGTGTCGTTGTGTGTGCTCAGCTCTCTAGATGTGTTTGAGAACTAAAGCCTTGTTTTATACGGCACTAAGCGAATCCGCATTTCGGGTCACGATCTCCAAGAAGAGCATCGCGGTAGAACAGATGCGTCTTCGCCTCGTCTGCTTTGGGTTTTGCGGGTTTTGTAAGTCACGTACGCCGAGCATCGTGTACCCACGTAATACGAACAGAATTGGTTCGCGTCGAGTCGAGTAATAATTCTGGAGATACGTTTACAATGAGTCGTAAGCACTACAAAATATGTCGAGGATTCAACTGCAGAATATAATGACACTCAATAATTGGAAAAAGTTCACTATTGAATTTGTGATGAAATTACTGAGCTGTGTTAATTGTCATGGGAAGAAAATTTAAAGTCATTTGTTGGTTTAAAAAATATTTTTAAAAACCATTTCTTTGATTAAAGAAAAATATTTATGTACTTGAGTAATTAAAAATTAAATTCAATTACATATTCCTAGGTAATAACAATTGAAAACAAAGACGAGAAAAAATGTTTTTCAATAGAAAGTGAGAGTTAATTTGTGTAGAGCAAGAATTGCAAAGCGTTGGGGTAGAAAACCCTTTTAGATAATTGAAGATATGAATTGATAAAGTCACTTAGGGTTGAAAGGGTTATTCTGTAAAATCGAAATTTTATTGCCTCGCAATCACCACTTTTTAGAATTTAATTTTATCAAACATTATAATCAAAGAAAACAATATATATAATCATGTGTTATTTATTTTAAAATCAACTGTAAATAAAATTAGCACTTGGGAATTAATTTTAACAATGAAATAAAAATAAATAGATAGACAATTATTCAATTTCAATTATGCAGTTTTATCACTATTATTTTATTGGAATGAAAGGAAAAGTAATTGATTTTCAGTACAGAGACGTCAAAAAGTATTTGCGTGAATGAAAAAAGATGTAATGTCTCTGGTGTCTACTAAATTGACTAGTGTCGATATTGAAAGCCAAAATGGTAATTGTCAAACTGGTTTCTGTACACTAGTAGTACATATTCACATATTGCGTCGAGAGTGTCGTCTGAGTGGAAGATTGGACCACTCGGGGTGCTTTGCCGATATATTCTTGCGTGTGATCCAATTACGACGTGCAGAGTTTGCAATGCATTGGTATGGATAGCCATTGTATTACGTTATTCGTTGTTAGCTGAAAGCGTTATATACACAAGAGCAAATACAAAAATCACTGGATACCTAAATGGGAAATAAAACAATTGCAAAAATAAAAAATGAAAGAATTTGTTAGAGGGAAAGAAGAACAGAGGCAAAAAGGTGATGAGAAAAACCGAATTAACGATTTTATCAAATTCTAAAAAAAAAAATATTCTATTCAATTATTTCATTACTGTTTAGTTTTTGCAATACACTTAATCACATGTGGGACAACTGAAAAAAAAAAAAAAAAAGAAATACTCGGATGAAATTAGTGAGGATAATTAGCATCAATCTTTCATCAAGTATCAATTACTAAAAGGAAAGATTTTAAGAAAATATTTGATATCCTCAAGTTAGCAGCTGCAATTCTTCTTCCTCAAGAAAAAGAAACGGAAGAGGAGGCACAAAGGCAAAAGAAAAGTAACTCGAGAGCGTAGATGTCAAAAGAGCTGAAATCGAATCTTGTAGAAGACTTGAGAATGAAAAATTACGAACCAAGCCATGTCTAGTTTCTCTACATTTAAGAAAAGATCAGACATCTTTTTCGTTATATAGCATACTTTTTTCGCATTACAAACTAT